CAGACAGGTAAAGCGATAAAAAAAAATTAGTATAATGGATTGGGAGAAAAGAACATATTCCACAAGTCATGTCAAATGGTGACGCCATATTCGTATCTGGATAGCATGCGCATTAAATACTATTAGTGTAGACTGGAATAACTGGACAGATTTGCCACTCGATTGAGACTTTTGGCGTATTTCGTCGAACATAAATGATTTGAAATTAGAGTTAAAAATGGAAACGATTGAATGTAAATCAGTTTATTTACATTTATATTACATTATTATGTGCGTTGGCACTCATTTATGTCCATCTCAAGGTCCCTAATATTAGCGATTTAGCTCCTTTAAATTAATAAAACAATCTGCTAAAAAGCGAAAAAAAAACTTTCTACAACTGATGAAGCAACAAGTCTACGGAAACTGCTGTATGGATCAGGGGTAATTGTGACATGTCGAATAACCCCAGAAAATTTGGACGAAAAAAAGAACAAATCGGAAAAAGATACGGATTTTGTTTAGATGGATTCAGTGACAGAGGCAATACTTCGACATAAAACTGTAGCGTTAATCTAACTAAATATGAAGAAACCACTATAACGGCATTTCATTGACATTATATTTAGGGAAATAACTATACATAAAACTAAAAACCTTTGCCCGTAGAACTTTCAGTAATACGATCAGTAACATTGATGCGCGACACTAATTTCAAGTAATCCCAGCAGGTGACAGGAGCGATAAATCCTCTTAAATTTGTGCGACACTGAACTTAGAGAAGATTATTTTTTACCTATAAACATAAACTTCTTGGCAAACGTTTTCGTTCGTCCTGGTAATATTTCTATCTAACTTATTCCTTACATTTTATTTATATAAAATTACACTAAAATACACATTTGAAAATATTGATTATAACATCCTTTTCTGTGTATGGGACGTCTTTTCAACAAAAAAAACAGTGGGACAGATTGATTTCCCTTTAAGTAAACGGGATTGGGTGGCCAAATTGTTAACAAGTAAGACGTGACAAGGAGTAGGGTCGCCTGTCCAACCTGCTAGAGCGAATTATTCAAATAAGATTGAACCATAGTTTGTGTATCTCTCTCCCTTTAAGTAAATACCAATAGTACCAATAAATCTACAATCATGCTACACCATTACTTAAAACTCAATGTCATTTCCTTGGCAAATCTCTCTCTCTCTCTCTCTCTCTCTCTCTCTCCCTTTAAGTAAATACCAATAGTACCAATAAATCTACAATCATGATACACCATTACTTAAAACTCGATGTCATTTCCTTGGCAAATTTATTGACACTTGAAATATTATAATAAATGTTGAAGTTTCACAATATGAATCTCGCTATGACAAGAAGTAGGGTAGTGTGCCTCAGAGAGACGAGGTGTTAAGTCTTCTTAACACAAACTGGGTCACTTCGGGACTAAGATATGGTGCAATTTTATTTTAATATTTCGTTTGCACGTAAGGTTATTTTTTAGCACTGATGTGTGTGTTGTGGGGGGGGGGGGGGGGCAGGGTAAACACACGAGGTTGAGCAGGCGGTCCTACTCCTAGTCACGTACGTGTGGGATAGAAAGCACGCCACCGTGACTCAATGGCAGACTTTGTCATGTTAGGCCATTCGGACACCCAACCACCCACATTTACAGGTGATGATAAATACCGACATAATCTATATGCCAAATGTCTTGATATATCAATAAACTAATAACCTGGCCCGTGGGCCATACAAGGTCGCGCGCTATATACAAAGAAAACTTGTCGCAATATGTAGCTTTAATTAAATTCTTATTAGCTTGCATCATGCTCACTGGTATCTTTTAATTAAGATAAATTAATCAACTTCAAATGTAAATTAATAAAGATATATCACCACTGACATGAAAAGAGGAAAGTTATGTCAAATATATGACGAAATATGAGTAATAATATTGATATTTTCTTTGTAAATATGCTTCTTTCGCCGTCTTCTATAAAAAAAAAGGGCGTTCAACCACAAAAACTAAATGCGAGATATTAAGCGAGGATTCCGTATATTTCCCCGGTGTCGATGAAAGATGTAAGAGCTAAATATACCCATTGTAGGTTTTTAATTTGACTTCAAATGTTATATAAACTATTATATAGACATTTATTCACAGAACAGGCCTATCAACTCTCTAGACCATCAGATGGCTGAGATTTAAATGACTGAAATTAATTCACAGGACAGGCATAATCAACTCTCTAGAACATCAGATGACTGACATTTAAATGGACTAGAACACATGCGATATTTAAAAATTTAACGATAAAATGGATGATCGAGACTTAGTCTCGGCTGTCAAGAACCGTTGCTACGATAATAAACAATCTATGCCACATCTTGTCAAAACTTCAAGCAGTCATAAATGAATGAAATTTTCAATGTAATAACAATCATTTTTCAATATCTATTTTGAAATATTATACCAAGAACGGCCAGCTCTTGATCTTAATCTTACAAAATGTATATTCGAGTAGCTTTGTCGGATTGTTTAAGCTATGTTCCCCTGTAGTAAATCTGGTCAATAATTTGCTTTCGGAAAATGGTGTGGGCGGTGGGGGCGGGGAGGGGGGAGAGAGCTCAGAGAAATTGACACTACTAACTGGCAGGTAAAGGCTGGCTGGGATTAACACCAATACTTGCGTCAACGATAGACATTTTAACCAAGTGGTCATGCGTCGGACGACTCGTCACCCAACACAACGTACCTCAGATACCTTAAACCCCACCACTAACTAAAAAGGTGCGATATGTGTTTTCATTTTTTTTTTTTTTTTTTTTTTTTTTTTTTTTTTGAGTAACTGAATCAAACAAAAGTTATATTCGTTTTATCCGTAAGAAGTTATTATTTATTATAAGGCAAATATTAACTATTGTCATTGTGTATATTCGAAACACATTCGACGAACCCGTTAATATTTTTATCAACAAAATTATATTTGAGTAGCTTAGCCTCCTGATTACTCATCTAAACCCATTCGGAATGTTTTGAAACCGTCCCTCTGATTGAAATAGCGGTACAGTCGCTGTTTAATGTGACTCATTGGGTAACAAACCGAGGGTTCATCACCCCCTAACGACAGATTTGAAATTATTTGGTGAAATGGCTTTCCGGTGAAATATATGTGTTTTTTTCTTGGTTTTAAAAAAAAATACCTATATTATTAATTTATGATTTTGAGTATAAATATTTAAACGTCAATGTGTATTTATCTAGATTTAAAGTTTTATCAGATATTAATCTTTTAAATGATTTAAAATTTTAAAAATATTTAAAATGTTATCAAATATTAATCTCTTCGAAGGATTTAGTAACTGGATACCGTTGAGAAAATACTTTTCAAAACGTTGCCCAAAATAAAATAAGTATGGGTTATAGTTTGTTTATCAAATATGTTAAGTGTAGTTTTTTTAAAAAAAAAAACAAAAACAAAAAAAACAAAAAAAATATACCTTTACACAATTGTCAATTGGATTTTTTTATTATTATTATTAATTAACTTACTTCGCCGTCATTTAGTTATCTGATAAAATTTCTTTGAAATTTAAAACGTAAAGGTGACACATTCCCCTGTGGTGAATGTCAAATGTGTGTTATTTTTCATTTTACATGAATTAGTATAGTTAAACTTTTAGCTAAGTGTTGTAGAAAACACATATCACACGTAATACTCGAATTTAGTATACACATGACATTCTTATCAATATTACATATTATTCATTGTGAAAATACGTATTATATTCAATGACCTGGCTGAATGGATGCTAATAAGATAGGCAATCACAATGTGTGGATTAATTTATGGAATTGACAGAAAGTCGTTCAGCTAAAAATACATATGTATTGAAGCTTGATAATTTATTCTGTTTTCTTAGAGTTCTCCACTTACACACTGCAATGGCAGTATATAGTAGTGAAGTATAGGGTTTAAAGATAATGTTCCTTCAAGCGATTAAACTCGTTGAATTGAACTTTATCTAACCGTATGATATTTTTAACTATACCTAGTAAAATCAAATTATAAACTAAAATTGCATGCACAGTAAGTCTGAAATGAAATGGGGTTTAACGTCCTACAGTTCTGCTCCGACTGGACTAATGAAGACGAGCATACGCCATACAATGTACTATAAGGGAAGTTTTGCCTTGACAGCGGTGTTAAGGCCTACTCGAATATCGGATTCCAACTGCCAAGGGATCTTTTACGCGCAGGCCAATGTGTACACGAGACCGCGGGTTTTCGTCCCATCCGAACAACTACAGCTGTTCTCGTCAACCCCTCCCTGCACCACTGACTGACAAGGGGAAACCATGCCCGAAAATCTCGATGAACTTTCTCGGCCAACACCGGGAGCGAACTCGCGACCTCCAGACTAGCCAATCTTAATAAGGAACATGATTTGCGTTATATATGGATTGAGGGGGGTGGGGGTGGATGGCCGAATGGTTAGCACGTGCGCGCTGTATCATAAGGTCTGTCATTGAGTCAACTGGCGTGGTTTCGATTCCCCGGTTGTACGTGACAAGGAGTAGGGTCGCCTGTCCAACCTCGTGGGTTTTCTCCGGGTCCTCCGTTTCCTCCCACTGCTAAAGCGAATTATTGAAATAAAATTGAACCATGTGTTAGTCCCGAAATGGCCTAGTTTGTGTCGAGTGGACGTTAAACCCATTTCTCTCTCCCTCTCTACAACATACAATCACACCAAAAGTTTGTGGCATGCTGGATTAACTGGATCAACTGTTAGTATCCTAGCTTCCTTTTCACCTGTACGTGCTACACTATAAAGTAAATCAAAAGAAAATCCGAGATCAAGATTAATTAACATAATCAATAATCTTAAATATAAATAAGACATCTATATTAATTTGATTCATCATAAGATTACATAATATAAATTAACGAAGACGAAGTGAGATGTCACACTCTTGACATTTTGAAACGTCCCCTAGATGTCGCGTTTAGCTGTACATTTCAAACGGCAGACACTGTTAACATGAGACAGTCGAACGATAGAGTTTACAGTTAAGAATGAAGTTTAAGGGCATCATTGCTCTTGTGGTGGTACAAATTTGTGTTGGAATATGTGTTGCTGTCGATCCATTTACAACCAGTAATGCCAATAATATATTTGATGCCTTAACATTGACATTGACATGTGGACAGGTAAGTTATAGAGATACCTGTTGTGACCCAGATTATTTCAAGATGGCCGTCAATATAATTATATCGTATATCAAAACATAGCATTGTTTACGTTGTATTTTTATTAAGATTAAGTTCAGATTTAATGTGATTTCTAGTATGTTTTATTGTGATTTTATACCGCTCAAAATATACATGGTTAATTGGTTCGTATTTAGTTATTTGAAAGAAAGTCGCATTAATTACATGTAAATGTGACATAATACATGCCCATATTTATAACGTTCCACCCCTTAATGTATTACTAATATTTATTTATGGATTCATAGATTAGATCTTAGTTAAGAATTGAATTCACGGGTCTTTGTTATTACAAACCTTTAATTCGAGTAGCTCGCTACACAAAAAAGATTGAATTTATTAATTAAAAAAAAACAAACAAAATAATGTTATATAGATGCATCAAGCCGTAGACCCATATACTCAAGAGTAAAAAAAATGGTGCAGAAAAGTAGGACGTTAGATCTCACTCAATTTGTGAAATAAATGAAAACTCAAAAAAACACAAAATACGTTGAATTTGTTAAATAATGTTTGGACTAATAAGAATACTTCTGTTTGTACTCCATATAAACATTGGGGGGGGGGGGGGATGACCGAATGGTTAGCACGTGCGTGCTGTACCACAAGGTCTGTCATTGAAGTCAACTGGGGTAGTTTCGAATCCCCGGCTTTTCTTCGGGTCCTCCGGTTTTCTCCCACTGCTAAAGACCCCTACGCGCTAGCGAATTATTGAAATAAAATTAAACCATATATGTCAGTCCCGAAATGACCTAGTTTGTGTCGAGTGGACGTTAAACAGTTGGAATTCGAAATAAGAGTTTTCCTTCATAGCATACTGTATGGCGTAAATGTATGCCTGTCTTCATTAGCCCAGATGGCAGACAAGTAGGACATTAAACCCCATTTGATTTCTGAACTTGATTAGGTGCGGTATTAGACTACAGATTTGAATAAGGAAAGCTATGTTATGTTATATATTAATGTTAATGTTTATACAGTTTCAGACATTAATTAAAGGAGCTGGTTTACAAACAGAAGCATTGTATAAATCACAGATTCGACTTACCTTGTTTGTACCAAACAATACTGCTTTCCAACTCTTACCTTCTTATAGACTTAAGGAAATTATAGATATGGTACCGACGGAAAAAGAAGATTATGTTCGATTTTTTACAAGTAAGTATGGGATATTAATGAATCATCCTACTTATCATCAATGTGGGATATGTCACACACAACTTTAAGTGCCCTCTAGCTTTGTATTCTGGTCGCCCGTTTAAATGACGTGAAATGAAATGAAATGAAATGGGGTTTAACGTCCTACTCTTCTGAACCTAACCTGGGCTAATTGAAGACGGGCATACGCCATACAGTGTGCTATGAGGGAAATTTTGCCCGGGCAGCAGCGCTACGGCCTACTCTTATATCGAATTCCAACTGCCAAGGGATCTTTTACGTGCACGCCAATGTGTACACGGGATCTCGGTTTTTCGTCCCATCCGAACGACTAGGCAGCTGTCCTTGTCAGGCTCTCCATTCTGCATCACTGACAAGGAGAAACCACGCCGGAAAATCGAGATGAACTTTCTCGGCCAATGCAGGGATCGAACACCCGACCTCCAGGCTAGCGAGCCAGCGCCTTACCCACTTAGCCACGTGATCCCCGTTTAAATGACGTACTTTCACATATGAAAGTTTCTTTTCAAGGGCTTAAAATGAAATTGGGGTTAACATCCTAATGTTCTGCAGCGACTGGACAGGGCTAATGAAGACGGGCATATGCCATGCAGTGTGCTATGAGGGAAATTTTACCCATACAGCGGTACAACGGCTTACTCATTTTTCGAATTCCAACTGTCAAAGGTACTTTTAAGTGTCCCCCAATTTGTACACGAGGTATGTTTTTTATACCATCCGAAAAACTAAATATTGTTCCTTCTCCGCCCGTGCTGCACCACTGACAAGGTGAAACCAAGCCAAAAAATCCCGAGACTTCCTGGTTAGCGACACAGCGTCTCACACATTGAGCCATCGCGGTTTCTAACTTAAGGACTGGGCTGTTTTTGTTTGTTTTTTGGGTTTTTTTTTGGGGGGGGGGGGGGGGATGGAGTGGCGGGGGGGGGGAGGGGGGTACCATGTTTATTTTAAACAGTGAACATTTGCAAGCCCGTTTTTTCAAATTAAGTTTCTATTTGCAGTTGGTGAAGAGCTACAGACTAGTGGTATAACTGAAAATATTGCCAAAAACAGCTTGGCGATAAATAATAATCGACTGTTTTTTAATAGAAGGGTTAGAAGAACCAATGTGAGTAGTTGATAATGATCCTTATTTTTATTCGCCCATATTTCGGTATGGCTTTATTATGCTGTCACCTATGTCCGTCGATCCATCATTATTCGCTCTTTAACGCAAAAAATTGGGGTTATGAAAAGGACGACCCCTATCGTTTTTCAGCTCTCCGGTACATTTTAGAAGTTTAGAAAGAGGCTACAATTTTTAACTGATTTATTTTAAATTTAGTATAAAGCATTGAGGTCATGAGATGACGAACACTGTCTATGGCTATCTTAAAAGAAATATCGTACCCACTTTGTACGGTTGTAATGTGTATTTTATTCCATTATTATGATAAATCTGCCATACGTCTGACAATACATACATGTAGCCAACTCTTGTTTTGTTTGTTTTAATTTTGTATACATTAAAATATGTAAATACCTCCTGCTTCTAAACAACCAAGTTACTATCGAATAAACGTAGAATTCATTTAAAAACGTAAAAGAAATGTAAACGTATTTTAATGTGCACCACATTCGTGTTGGAGTATATTGTCATCAACCAATGTCAGCCGGCCCGCCCGCCCGTTTGGTGACAAGGATTGTTCGAGTTTTGTCCTATAAACTGTAACTCGATCAAAATTTAGGGTGGCCAGGGCAATTATTTTCACAAACTTTACTGCATGTCACGAGAACCCTGTAGGTGCACAACAGCTAGGTCAGAGTTTTTGAGAATTGCGTTTCACACTTTCGATTCAAATTTGGAGTTGCTTCCCCTGTCACCGAAACCTATTAAACAGTCTACAGAACTGTTTTTGAGATTTTGTTTTATGCTCGGATTCTTATCAAATTTCGGAGACAAATATCAATTATTTCTAGAGTTGTTGCTTAAACCTTGTAAATGCTGTTCATGTCACACCGTTTTGCGATTTGCAGTCTTTCGTTAGTTTTATAAGTATTTATTGCACCTGGCCCTAAATCTTAACCACCCCCTTTCAAAAGGCAGGTGGTGTGCTTACATTCGTTGCCTGGATATCTACATGTATTTTTTTAGGATATTGGTGGTAATGCAGGAACAACTGAATATTTTGTCAATGGTGCTCTGATTATTCGTCAAAATGTACGAGCTGGTAATGGTATAGTACATGTTATTGATAGAGTTCTAGAAAAAAGCATATCAAGACCCGCTTATTCTTACCTAAAGATACCTGATACGAAATATCCCAACGTACAGTAAGTAACTATATAGCCTAGATTAGATAAAACCGGCATTATGCAAGAACTAAATCTGCCTGTTGTAGGTCTTTCTTTGTGTCTTAGATGTTATATAAACTATTAATTAGACATTAAGTAACCATAATCAACTCTCGATTACCATAAAACGGGATAATCGAGACTTTGTTTATTATCGTAACAACGGTAGCAGTGACAATCGAAGCTAGATTTTGATTGTTAGTTTGAAGTAATTGGATTGAAATTTTCAACATATTCCCATTTTATTATCTACTTTTTGTAAAACAACAATAGCCAGAACTGTCATCTCTTTATCGAATATTACCCACACCCCTTTAATGTAATAAATTCTCAAAATATGTCTACGGAACCCAGCGAATTGTTGTAATAGAAAGAGGTTAATAATAGTATTATTGCAGATATATTTACTGTGGCAATCGCCAAAATAGCAATCTCAGAAGTTATATTCGTAAATGTATATGCAAATCAAAGGCCGCGCGGAAATGTTCGCCCTAACTTCTTATGCAGCACATATAACTATATGTTTTTATGAATGAGATTATGGACGAAAATGTGTATACTTTTTCTTTTAGTAAAATTTGTGTCTTATCTAAATATTTTGAATGTTTATAGGCGCCCTTTTAACACCAGTCCTTCACATTAAATTATCTATTGATATTGACTCATATATATTTGGCACAGAAAATATGCAGTTATTAACGAAAAAGGGTGGAATTAGTTCTGATCACTGCCAGGAGTATGAATTATTAATATCTATAACTAAATATATTTTTATTATCAGCATTTTTAATTTGTTTCAGATCAGCATTTTTTCGGGAGTTTGTTAATTATTTAGATGGAGAAAATTTTGCTAATACAATATTACCACTTCAATCGGCCACCAGATTGACGTTATTTTTACCATCTGATGAAGCTATTAATAAAATACCCAAAGATAAGTTAGAAGAAATCAGATCACTGCCACAAAAACTAGCACTGGTAATTTCTTCAGATAATACTTCTGTCAACTTGAATAAGTTATCCAGTCTCCAGCAGATAATTTGATTTACCATTAAGGTCACGCCCAGCATACACTGTAAATCCAACGGACACCTGACGCGTCTGAATGTGTTCTTATTAGAACATTTTGCGTTGAAATGTGAACACGTTAATGTTCACATATGAACACCGCAGTTCTAAAACGTACGCAAATCCTTAAAATCCGTTCAAAATTGAACACATTGTGTTCTTTTTCCTTTCAATGGTCTTTGAAATCATTCACACTTAGAACATAACGGACGCAGAAGACCAGTAAGGAACGCATGGTGTTCAGTGGGTGTTCATACCGGAACATCAAGTTGGACACCATGTGTTCAAGTTCAACATCGGACATGCGCACGACGCATCATGTGATGCGGATTATTTTCAAAATCGCCATTTGCAGGACGCTGGTTTGACTTTAAGGCTCTGACTGTTTCAACAACTGTTATTTAAGGTAAAGTATTGTTGTTTTTTTTCTAATAAGGTAGACAAGTTGTTTCAAAAGTAACAGGGAAACTTAGATATATGAATTTGGAAGTAGAAATATGAATTTAGGTTATGTTGCTAGATTAACAATAGCCTAGGCCTGTATAAACTACTAGGCCTGGCCCTAGATCTGTGTTCCCAAATCAACTCGTAAACCCTCGTCAAGCATATTAATTTGTGTTGATAAATTATTTCCTCTTATTTTAAAAGCGCATGTATTAGAGATTTTTGGTCGAATTTGACAAATTATTTTCTTCTTCCATTTGTTTGAACACATGGTGTTTCTTATTGAACATATTCTGTTATATACAGAACACATTCTGTTACGTATACAGAACGCCTTATGCAAAATTAATAATCATCTGACCTTGGGGTTTAACTTCCTACTTTTCTGCACCAACCGGGCCATGGAAGACGCGACACATAAGGAAGGTATAAGAGACGCAATCGATTGTCCACATCTATGATTTTCAATATATTGATGTCTATAAGCTTATATCCAAAAATATTACTGTATTAAGCCATTTTTCGAGAGAATATTTTTATCTAGTAGAATGGTCTATTTAACCGTCTTCATTAGCCCAGTCGGGGCAGATAAGTAGGCTGTTAAAACCCTCTATTATAATAATTAGTCATCTTGTTTTTTCCTTAATATAATAGTGCACGGTAACAGTAGATGACGAAAAAATAAAATTGGTACAAGCCGCCGAATGGACTGCACAGTCTTCTAGAAAAGAATTATGTTGTTGCAGATTCGTTCAAACGGTAAGTTCATATGCTCAGGTATTATATCCATTTATTAAAACATAGTTTACACTTTACACATAGTTTACACCTCCAATATATATCTTATACCGGTTTCCTGGGTTTTAATTGGTGTTAATATTTCTATTGCAGGTGGGGAAATGAAATGGAGTTTATCTTCCTATGCTCATGAAGACGAACAAGCATCACGTGTGCAATGAGGGAAATTTTACCCAGGCGGTGGATTTTCCGCCTACTCTTGCCAAGAGTTATATGTGCGCGCCAAGGCCCATCCTAACGACTAGATGGTGTGCAGGATGGTGTGCAGGCGAAGAGAGAAGAACGAAAAGTAAACGTAGAACTAGAAGACAGAATAAGTGTACCACAAATAACTTTTTACTTGCCAACAATATTACATTCAGATTCGGATATTATTATAATAGGGGAATCTTTTTAATTGGGCCTAGTAGAATATCGACGCAAACAATATTTTGTCACATTATCTCTTCTCATGTTGTATTATAAAATTTAGGAAATAAAATAAATTTGTAAACTATGTTTAAATTGTTTTTAAATTGTGCCATGCTTTTATCATATAAAATAATAAATCATTTGAGTCTATTTAACCATTTTTTTTAAAATGTTTGTTAAAATTTCAGAGAGTCTTTCACAACAGAACATCCGGTGTCTGCTTAGAACGCCTGGTTCCCTCTGTGTGTGAAATTCTGAACGAACGGTATTCAAAATATGATCTCCGAACACCTTTTAGTGTTCATTATCTGTTTCATGCAGTTGAACACCTTATTGTATTCTAAAAAGAACACGTTTTACGCGTCCGATGTGTTGAAAGACCAATGGGGAAAAGTTGAACGTATAGTGTTCTAAAAACAGAACACATTTTACGCGTCACAAGTGTTCTAAAATCCAGAGGGAAACCCATTTAAAACTGAACACATACTGTTCTGAAAGTAAACACATAGTGATCTGATAGAAGAAAGACGCGTAAGAGTGTTCAAAATCTGTTTCAAAATAGTGTTCTAAAATGGCGTATTTGGTGTTCTAAAAGCGGACGCTGGGTTTACAGTGTAGTTGTGCTTTGGACGTCACATCATATGGCGTCGATATGTGTGTGTAAAATAGCTTTATTTATTAAAAAAATAGGAAGCAATCGAAAAAGACTGTTTTCCATGTACATTAAAAGTAACGATCAACTAATTGTGTATTGATATACATATTTCAGATTATAAAGCAACATGTTATTTTGGATAAAGTTATTTATACATCTTATGTATATCACAATGAAGGATTTAATGCTATGTATGGTAGAAATTTATTTAAAAAGAACACGGGAGACAAAGGTATGTGTTCATTAATTTTAAAATATAAATTAGAAACCACGTGGTCACATATGATTTGTATCTGTAATTCCTGAAACATTTTAAGACAGCAAAATTAGAGAGAGAGAGAGAGAGAGAGAGAGAGAGAGATGGAGATTCTGGTTAGATCTTTCTATAATCTCCGCAGCTTGTCAGGTATGTGAGGCTCCCCCTAGCTAGAATGTCCTTATAAAGTCGGGTGACTTACACATTTCTTTAAAGAGATGATAGAACGGGAGAATACCCGATGGGTTTTGTTTTGATTCACAGTTTGTTATTCTTTTTAGTGTATATCAGTGGTGGGGGCGTGAATGCTGAAATAACCAAAGGAAACATGACAGTTCAAAACGGTGCTATCCATATTATTGATAGTGTATTGGGTTTTGTGTATAATACTGCCAGAGAACAGATACAATTGGACAGATCTGCCAGGTATAACACTCGTCTCATGAATGCTTACAAAAAGGTTTAATAGCAGACCCCTAGTGACTTATTAGACCTTCTCTGACATTTGCGATTTTTGCAACTGACCGTATACAGCACACATTGGGGTGTGTGGAGGGGGGGGGGCAATTAGAGATTCATCTTTCACAATATTGTAGTTTGCTAGGGAACTGTCGTACATAATCTGCTATGGCAATTTAGCTTGACCCAGCTTGGCCGATGCCTTCAATACATGCTCAGTACATGGGAATTAAAAAATAAAACAGTTTAGCTTTGGCACTGAGACAATGGGGTGAAGTAGTATTTTTAATAATCTATTACATGTATAAGTAAAACGCACTTGAAGAAAAATTGAAAACTGTGTTTAGAAATCGTGTATTTTTGCAAAGCGGAACATGCTTGAACAGGGTATCAAAGAAAGAATGCTATTAATTCTACATCCGAACCAGCTGGCATAAGACATTACCTTCATCTGTAGGCAATATAATACAATGAGAATTCCCCCAGAGCATTCAAGTTCAATAATTTATTTTGGTGTCTTCACATTTAGTTATACAATTAGTAAAATTCAATGGGTTATCTCCCGTGTAGCTTAGTGTTCGTTGGGGATGCACGATTGCCTGTCCAGAACGACGAATTTACAGAATTGCAATTAAACACGACGAACATGTTTCAGCTGTCATGGTTGGTTGGTGTGTTTTCTTATTCAGACGGCGCATGCGTTACATTCCCAAATCCCCCTTTTGCTCGATTGTCACTATTTTTAGGATTGAGATAATTCAATTCTGGAACGTTCAATCGAGCATCCCCTCTGACATTAGTTAGACGAATCAAACGTTTATATCAAATTATTTAGTACTTCCTTGTTGTTTTTTCAGTAATTTTCACGCTTTGACTGACCGTGGCAGAAAAGAATTACAAGACTATTTGGTTCAACCGAGTGGCGTGACCGTCTTTGTTCCCAATAATGACGCATTTTCTGCTCTAACAAACATACCCGGTGCAGATTTTTATAATAACCAAACGCTCATTAATGAGGTAAATATTCCTACTACTATTACTGAAAATTAAAAATCGGTGGCAAGTGAATTGTATTTAGAAGCCCTCGTCCTAAGTAGTGCCTGTCATTGAGTCGACTGGCGTGGTTTCGAATCCCCGGTTGTATGTGGCAAGGAGTAGGGTCGCCTGTCCAACCTCGTGGCTTTTCTCCGGGTCCTCCGGTTTCCTCCCACTGCTAAAAGACCCCTACGCGCAAGCGAATTATGTAAATAAAATTTTAAAAAAAACATATGTTAGTCCCGAAATGAACTAGTTTGTGTCGAGTGGACGTTAAACCCCATTTCTCTCTCTCTCTCTCTCCTAAGTAGTGCAACTATCTGAAGCTCGGAAACCTTTTTGATGAAATATAAAAAGCCGGTTTGCAACTGTTGTTACAGAATAGTGCCCCCCCCCCCCCCTTCTCCCACCCAAGCATTCACCGAATAATCGTATATATGAAAATTAACTTGTTGAGGAAAGAAACACAGTATTATGCGCTAGCGCTTTCAGTTCCATCGGAATATCTTCAGGCCTTTAATACATATCCTCCATTATAGTTAAAAGTAGATAAAGTATACGTAATTCTACGTTTAGTATGTAGTTATATAGGCCCTACATAAAGAAATACTTCCAGGTACACTGTAAAAAATATCCATTTTTTATTTGGCCGAATTCCGTAATTTAACACCTTTTTTCTGTTAATCGATGGATTTTTGGGAGAAATTGTGTTAATAGTGTGAACTATTTCTTCCAATTACGTGTTTTATGTATTTCTGTAGAATATTCAGTATTAAACAGGAAATTTCCGTGAAATTTAGGGATAAAATGTTTTATTCCCTTCTATAATGGACTTAATTCTGTTATTTTACGGAATAAACGGTGGAATGACAAGGAAGTTCCTTGAAATTTAGGGATAAAATGTTTTATTCCGTTCTGTAATGGACTTAAGTCTGTTATTTTACGGGATAAACGGTGCAACGATAAGTAATCGTATACATATATAATCATTCCTAATAATCATCATGTTATATGTTCATTTCAATTTATTTACCATATTATGAAGAATCATATTTTGTAAAGTTTGGTATATTAATTGTCATGTATATCTAATTTCCATTATTTATAAGATCTATAAAGTGTATTGTGATTCATCATACGGAAATCAGATTGTAAGTTTTTTCATAAATATATAAAAATATGTTTTAATGCTGCGTGTGTTAAGATTGTAATATCTGGTAATCAAGCACGTTTAAATCCGGATAGTACAACCGGTTGGCCAGTGTAATTCGGTTTGTCTCTATGGCAGAGTCTACCTGCGAATTGATAATACCGCAAACTTACATCTGAAAGCCTCCAATCACTGACGAGTAGCGGTTTGTGATACCTTGCTCTCGATTCTTATATTAGCAAAAGGAGGTTACGTTTAAAGATTATCTGCGTTATCACTTCGGTAGAAGCGGACGTTAAATAAAGCTATTTCACGCACGCATATAAAGTCAATGGTTAATTTAATGAAATTTTTATCACCTTCATCATCGTCAGGAAACAAAATTTACCAGGGTTTTTTTCTGTATTTGAAAATGGAATTTCTGTTAATTGGGGGAATTTCTGTAAATTACAGGAAAAACAAATACGGATAAAATTTTCCTGGTAATTTTTGTTTCCGGAATTTTTTACGTTTTTTCACGGAAATTTTTGTTACAGTGTACAACAATCAAATCATAAGCTTATACATTTACATGGTTACCTTACAGTCCGTCAGCAGTTTTGTTGATAAATTCCGAATGATTCAGCATTTTGTGCTGGAACTATCAGACCAGTGAAATAGACAACTGTTTTTTGGGTGTTTGATTTACTTATTTAAATCTATTTCCATCGAACTGAAAACATTGAAATTTGGAATAATCCCCTGCTTGAATAGTAACATAAACTTTTGGAAATCCAACTGTGTGGAAAAATAGATAAACGTTTAATTCTACGTTTAAACATTGCAGGTTCTTGAACGTTCCATGTTAGAGCCGGGTACAGCATTTGAGATAACCAATGTCAACGGCGATTATACAGCAAGATATGAGACAACATCACAGTATAGAGGCATGCCCGTAAAGATTTACAGTCAAGGAAATGGTAAGTTTTATTGAAATTCTATACTTAGATTGACACTTTGTATGGTTTTGTTGTGGGTTCGGGCGTTATAATTATAATTATCGAGTAGTAGTTAGAGGTGATTTAAACTATGATCTAAAGGCGGCCATGCTGTTTCTTTTCTCACCCAAGTACCCCAAAAGAACACCCCGTAAAAGTTTTTCTACCAAAGTAGTGCGTCGTGTACATGGAACCACCTAGGATACATGTGCATGGACCATCTGGGATACGGAAGACAGTAATTTAATCTATATGTTACGATGTTCTTTTGATTTTCAGATACCTGGGTCGAAGGAGGCTATGTTAAAGCTCGTGTATTGCGACCTGATGTTGGTGTAACCAATGGTTTTGTACATTACATAGATGGCGTATTTGGTGTACCATCACGTGATCTCCCGGGACTTATATATTGTGAAGATTGGCTATTGTAAGTTTTTATACTGATGTGCGTTAACTTGCCATGCGACATAATGCACACGTTTTAAAAAAAACAAAAAAAACTACCTACCAGTTTTTACTATTCCCCAATTTGCCAAGTACTGTAATCCATTTTGAATGACGAATTCTATCATTTGCCAGCGCCAATTTCAAGATATATTAATTTCATTGTATTATGTATCATTGTAATCATAGGAGTCGCATTCACTCGTAAAACATATTTAGATTTTATTGATAAATGAAATGTCTCAGTACTATGAATTACATAATAGCTAAGAAATAAACAAAAACTAAATAGTTATAGGCCTATCTCATCAAACTATGTGTACATCTACTGTACATCTTTTATAATTACCATTTCTTTGAAAGGTCAACACAAGTCTTGCTGGACTAAACCATTTTGTTAACAAATATTCAATAGCCGAGTAACAAATTGAAATGGGATTAATTAGAGATATAAACATTTGAATAAATAACAATAGTTTGAAAGATAACCGGGACTAACCCTAACAACTCGTTTATTTAAACAGAAAATAGACTACAGGTTCTACTACTAGTGACAAATCTTATACATTGAAACAACAATAATTGTGTATGCTTATATGTAAAACTTCTTACATGTAGTACTTCTTACCTGCAGTACTTCTTACATATTTCTTACATGTAGTATTTCTTACATGTAGTTACATGTAGTACTTCTTACATGTAGTACATTTTACCTAAGTACATCTTACATGCTTCTTACATGTAGTACTTTTTACCAAAGTACTTCTTACATGTTTCTTACATGTAGGACATCTTACACGTAGTGCTTCTTACCTGTAGTGCTTCTTACCTGCAGTACACATGTAGTACTTCTTACATGTAATACTTCTTGCATATAGTGTGCGTCTTGCATGTAGTACTTCTTACATGTAGCACTTCTTTAGAATGTAATACATCCGTTTGTGTAGTCACCCGTAATTGAAATATTATGTTCTTACTTTCATTTCAGAAAAACGTCATACATTCTCAGTATTACCAATCTTAACAGGTACTTGAAAGATACTAGAATAACGGCAACTCTACCAGCGTGTCCCAGTACAGCAGCACGAGCACAAAACACTTACCTTAATACTCAAACTAGTGTAAATATGAATACCCAGAATTCTAACACTAGGACTTCAAATACCAATAGCCCGCTGCTAACAGGTGGATGTGGAGAGAGTAATAGGTTATGTGAGTTTACAGTGTTTATTCCTAATGGAACTGCCATAGATAATTTCCAGATGACAGAACTGGGACTTAGAATTCTTGATAACAGAAATCGACTGCGATTCGTAAGTGGCTTTCTTTCGTTTTCCGAGTTATATTTTGTCGTTGTTGATCGTTGCCCATTATCGATACCCAGAAAAGCCCCCGCCCCCACCCCCACCCCCAAATTCATGGAGACAAAAATTAATCAATTAATCGTTTCCTCATAGCTAACACAATATTAATTAACTTAAACTTGATATTTTGTATATTGTAGGTGTTGAAAAGGCATATCATATTGGGTAAAAAAATCTATATTGACACATTAGGTTTTGGATCACACAATCTCCAAGCTGATAATGGTGATTATCTACGATTAAATAAAATCAATAAAAGAAGTGAGTTAAAATTTCTTTATAATACGACATCCATTAGTATATGATTCGGATGATGTGCAGGAAATTCAATTTGTATACACAACAAGTATTCCTGGTATAATGGTCCACAATGAGTTTGTCCCTGTTTCTTAACCATTCATAATGCAATCGATGTCGAGTTTTATAGTTATATTATGATGGCTGTTAGCAGCCATTTAAATATCATCTAAATCGTCAGCCACAAGTCGACAGTACGACAAAATGACAAAATCAATCCAAAAACATAACAAAATAACCCGACAATGATATTCTACATTTAGTTTTGCCGTTGGGTCCTTTCTTTGGTACTTGTCGACTTTTGTCGTCTTTTTTATGCGACATGTTGCCTTGCCTTAAAGATACATTGTCCCGAAAGTATTTATGGGGTGGTTATTTCCAATAAAAGTATGGCAAATTTGGTATATTGTATGAAAAGTATAGACACCCAATCTTACTAGAAAAATATTGGATTACCCGAAAAACACACATGAGGCAAGCACTGGGCAAAATGTCAGGATATCACTTACTGGCAACCCGACTGTTGTGTGCCAGCTTATTTTGTGCTAGCTTGGCTGAGGGAGCGGTTGTTATTTCTTGATTAAATGGTTAGGCGGTTTGGGGAACATTGGGGTGTGTCAACGTACAAAAGACTTAAACAGTGAAAAAGGGGGTTGACAGAAAATAATTAAGAATTTACTTAGGCCTCAATATGTATGGTAGGTGGACAAGGAAAATACATTCTGAAAAATGGAACCTCTCACAATGAAATAAGGTGATATACATGGCGTTTAACAACAGTTTATTTATGGATATCCCCGGCAAATTCAAAGTTTTGAGAGGGATTTGTAGCAAATGTTTGATTTTGATAGATTAATTAGTTTGAATATGTTTATAGTCCAAATATATCATCAAATCACAGTTTGTACGCGGGAAAGTATCTTTAATAATTGTGCAACAATACGCAAGCTAGAGTTCTACTCCTGAAGGGACAAAGGTGGCGTTGAATTATGAATAAGTTGAAGGCGTCAAGTCGACAATATGACAGAATTGACCCCATCACAGAATGGTGAAGCTGGCGATTGTCTGGTTATTTTGTCGTGCTGCCGAGGTTTATTTTGTCGTACTGGCGACTTGTCCACGTCTTCACCAGGAGTCATTTGATTAGCCGCTAACAGCCAATATTATTTACAACATTTATAGGGAAAAATGTTGATACACTTGATATAGATTTTAGAATTTCCGGTTACTGAATAGACGAGTCAAATTATTGTATAAATTCTTACCATTTAGTCTTCTAAGATTGAAAGAGTGATTGCGTAAAGAACTGTTCTGGAATTTACAAAAGCACATAGCGCAATTTGCAAATCGACAATTATTCTGCATTGCAATTAACATTATTTCATTTTATTTCCAATTTCCACTAGTTATTGAACTTTACTATAAAGGACAGAGAACGAGGGTAATACACAGCGATCTAGGGGCAACGAATGGTGTTATTCATATAGTTGATAGAGTTTTATATGAGCAGGATGATTTAACCAGACAAATATCAGCAGCAACAACTATCTTTAAATCATATTTCATTATTTTATCTATGTTAAGTTTAAGTTTGATTCCACCATTCACTTAAATTTATATTTATTTAATGATCCCTTATTTTTCAAATTTTTTTACCATATTTGTATTAAATGTAAAAAAATATCATTTGTATATTCATGATCATTGATTTGTATATTACCATCAATCATGTTTGTAAAATATGGGCCATCCTTAGATGGTAGTTTTATAGTGTAAATAATTATAAATACATCTTAAAGATGAACTGCAACCGTTGCAGATTTTTTATATTTTATTTATTAACTACTATTACAATTTTTTTTAAAGAATTCACAACCCCAAGAACAAATTCAGTCGCCTTTAAAATACAGATCGACACGTCGGTTATGGCGTTATACGGCAAACTGTCACTTAAAGTTGTGGCGACGTGAATAATGTACACCGTAAGAAAGTCCTGATAGCTTGTGATCTGAATTTCATGTTTAGTATTATTGAAATTATTTTAAAATTAGTTAATGAACAGGATATAAATGAAATTGATTCGCATTTAATGATATTGTGCCCAGCAGTTAGGTGATCCATCTATGCATCCTGACTTAAAATCTAGTCGCCTGATATTTTTTATGATATTAAAACTGGACGTCTAATATTTGTTTTTTTATTATAAAACCCTTTTATTAAAACAAAAACAAACTACAAACATATTATTAGACCCACCTAGCTCTTTATTTGTATTATTATACATGTATAGTATAATTATTATTCGGTTTAAGGGACAGTCCCAGATCTCAAAAGAAATCCTAAATAAAAGTGGATGGAAGTATGGCAATCAGACGACAATGTATCAGGACCGGATTAAGGGCTGGGGGCTGACTGGGCTGCAGCCAGGGGCCCCAATATTAAACGTGCCCCCAAATTAGCTCTCAAATATTTTTACCATATATAAATAAATGTCATTTACTATGTTTGTGCTATATAAATCTACCATATTAACATACAAATAGCATTTGTGTATAACTAGAGGACAGTGACCAGAATAATTATGACCCCTTTTCACTGTCGATGCAAGGGCCCCAATGACATTTTTAGCCAGGGGCAACATGCAAGCTTATATATGAATACATGTAAATAGCTTATTTACCCAATTTGAAAATTTCCAATCAGAATATTGAGCCGTTTAAAAATAATCCCCAGATTTAATTATGTAACGTATTTAAGGAATTTGTTTCTTTTATTATGACTTTTCCTAGTATATAAACATGGTTATCTAGGTACGTACACGGTCTTTAATTTAGTAAAAATTGGCAAAACTCGCTAGCAAAATGAAAGTTGGAGATTTTTTATGAAGAAGCATCCCAGAGCTTCATATTATATAGTTGCCCGGGACTATTATAAAGGCCTTTCATTCCGCATAAATTAACTTTATTTACTATAATATAATTGGGACTGCTCAATATCAGTATGAATATAAAACTTTAATTGTATTGTTCGTAATTGTTGATGATTCTACTACATGCATATTCCTACATTCTGATGTATATAGCAACCAAATTGATATTGAATAGTCTTGATTATTATGTTAATTTCATTTATTAAATGGCTTCTTTTTTCAATTATACAACCATAATTACGCACATCAACAATATTACCGTCTGTAATTGTACGAATTCATGGCTGTAACCAAATTTAAATATTTTAAAGCAGTTATGTCTTAAAACAGAGCGTTGAATTAAGTTGATATGGCGTTTTGTTTCGGTTGGCTGTGTGACAAAATATAAATGATTAAAAATGTTCGTTAAGAAATATTAAACGGAAGTCGATTTATTTACTTATTGTAGTTTCGTTTTTGGCTTATACTTTCGACAGTGGAACACAGAATCAGATATCTCCCAACACCGACTCGAATCATTTTAACTGTAAAAAGCGTATTGTAAATTTTATTTACAAAATAATTATGTATATTATGATGTTTTTATATCCTACAAACAGATTTACTTCTATTATTGATAACGTTTTGATTTAATTTTTAAAAGAAATGTTGTTTGTAGCAATTTCGAACGAAGGACACAGACAATAAATAACATAATACCTTTTACTGTACTAGTGTTTGTGGAACAATTGAAAGTGGTAGAAATAAGAATATCAGTACCACTAATATAACAAAACACTGCCAGATACAAATTTGACAGTTCGTGTCTTATTAGAGATTCTAGATGAGTTGGCAGGAGATTGTCACTAATGTATTTTGTCTGCGCGTAGGGGTTTTTAGCAGTGGGGGGTACACGGAGGTCAAGGGGAAAACCCAGGGTTGGCCAGGTGATCCTACTCCTTGTCACGGACAAGCGGCGAATCGAAACCACGCTGCTTGACCCAATGACCGACCGTATGATTTCAAAAAAAGCCACCCCCCCCCCCCCCGCGCCTGCCATTTGCTGTTATGAAATAGGCTACATGGTTTTAATGATTCAGTAACATTCACTGAAGGACCAATTTAAGCGTCTATCTCTAACATCACTCTTAAGTTAGATATAATACCATTCTTATTTTTTGTTTGTGCGCAGACATGTTAATATGGTAGTGCCCCCCCCCCCCCACACACACACACACACATATATTACAAGTTATGGCCCCTGACAGATACTAACGTATTACCGTACACGACGTCAATCTTCACCGACTTTCATTAATTTTTTAAAGATTGTTAGTAGTGGGTTAATAATGGTTCCTATCGATATTGATCTTTTAGCTAAAGCAGTTCCAGAATTATAGCTCCTGACGTATGTGATCGTTGATGAAAATATAGCATGTGTGTGTGTGTCTGGGATATAACCGGTGGCCTCAAAACAATTGCCCAAGATTTAACAAGATGTTTTAGCTGGATAAACATCATGTTCCGCAAATATCAAACTGATTTCAGCTTAATGACATAAAAAGCCAGATTTCCAGAACCAAAATAGTATCTAATGTCAAAAATTGCAATTTCCCTCCTCCGCGAACATTTTTAAAATTTGGGTCGTCAATGGTGATTTGTTGCTCATATCTGTTGCTCTTATCAGTCCAACCAACATAACACTATCGTCAATGATCTCCACATATCCCATAAGACAGCCCATACCGTATTATATAAATCACACACAAGTCATATAATCTGCCATTAGATCAATCTTCTATACTAGTATTTGTGAAGTTTGTCTGTCTGTTTGTCTGTCTGTTCGGGATTGGCGGCTACACTAGGTCTGCCCCAAGTCTGAAATTTGGGGTATAGGGGTAGCTCGGACCGGGGAGTAACATAGGCCAGGTGGCGTTAGTCTACCACTTCCGGTTTCGGGGTTATGACCCCCGAGCGAAGCCGGGCATTCTTCTAGTACCATATATAGTTCATACACTGTTCAAAGGGGACATCATTTACCTTTCCAAAGAAGCCTCTACGTTAAGATGTATCGATACATGTTTTGCACATCTGGTAATTAATAACATCATATGGTGTTTCAGGCACAATTCTAAAAAAAAAAGCTCGGGGGCTATGGAAAAACTGCCAAACATTAAATGCTAGGGAATGAGTTAATAGAATTACTCAGGTGTTAATATTCCGTCGACCACAAGTACAATCGAAAAGGTAGATGACAAAATGTGTTCAAACGCAATAATAGTTATCATGGATCGGATTAAAGTGGTCAGCATTGGTCTACTACAATAAATGCATGAAAGATATTTTCAAGATCGTGTTACAATATAGCCCCCCCCCCACCTTTACAGTCTTTACAAATATTTACCAATATCTTAGTAGCCTATCTACCCTTTAGAGAACGTGATTACCAGCAAAAAAATGTCATGGCTTGCTTTGTTCGGCTCAGCACTATTTACGATGCAGGAGTGCTGCAGGACGCTAGTAAAAATGAATTATTTTTATAACCTCCAGGGGAGGATCCAGGAATTTTTACAGGAGGGGGTTTGCCAGGTTCCTGAGAAAATGTATCCCCCCCCCCCCGGCTTGAATTTTTTTGAGAAATACATGGTCTCTATCGTCATTTTGGCGTATAAACATACACATTGATCTTTTTAAACAGAGAAATCCAACATCCTGTTTGACGTCAATTTTTATTATGAATTAATACGATAACATTGTGATTCAATTTTATTGATGCAAAGCATTAATTGTGATATCACATATGTCTATATCATTATCTCGCGCTTTGAGTGTCCATCCCGTCGCACCATCTGACGATAAAGGATAAAGCACAATTATGACACTTTTCTCATAAAAAAGGGTGTTTTACAAAAAAATTTATGTAGCTGAGCAGGGGGGGGGGACCCCCCCCCCCCCCTGGATCCGCGCCTGACCTCATAACTGTCATGATAGTATGATCACACTAATGCCGAAAGTCTCAGTGCCAGACGAACAACACCCTTCAGTCGGCTTTGGCACAATGCACGCTCTGAAATATCATATTTCTGTTAACTTATATCCATAATGGCAAAACCAACAATTTACGTTTATCCCGCAGTTCAATTTGTTTAATTATTAACGTCGGTGAGACTTCTAGTGATCTTATTTACTTACGATCGAAGGCACAGGGGACTTCCACAACCAACGGACCACAGTGCACCTTCCAAGTTTAATGCCAAGTTATAAAAATATTTCACATTGTACATTAGTCATTTATTTTTATCGGTATACTATTGATTTCATAATATTTTTAGTTACATTAATTTTAATAAATGCTCTACGCGCAAAACAAAACCGACAAGACAAACCTACGAAAGTAAAGCGATAAAACAATAAGCCCGTTTGTATTTCCCACCCAATCCGTAAAAAGTGTTCTGTTATTGTCATCGAGGCTCTTTAGTGTTGAGCTTTAAACGGTCAGCTGTTCTGCACATTGTATTGAGTGATATTTATAATCGAAAATACGACAATAGAGTATGTCATCCGCAGGTTCCGACTACGACGAGGTATCTGTTGGTGAACCAATTAAAGCTAGAGATGTTGAACAAGAAGATGAAGACTTCACATTGAAAACAGAATATACGGATCTGACATTAGTTGTGGAAGGGAAACAACTCCATACTAACCGCTATGTTCTTATAACAGCATCGCCTGTGTTTAAAGTCATGTTAACATCATCTCACTTTAAAGAAGCTAGTGCAGAAAAAATAGATTTGCCCTCAGAATCATTTAGAGATGTCCAGTTGTTATTAAAGTACATTAGTCCTGATGCTGGGGTGTTATCAGGTGAGCCCTTGTCTACAATAGTGATCAGTACTGCCATTACCAACATGAATAAAATATCGCAATTTTTCAGTAAAACTTTTTAGATGTTGGATGGGAAGTAAATTTAACAATATTTGATTAATTAAGAGGTTCTGAAATTGTGATTTGTATGTGGTGTAAACATATTCAGTGGTGGATTTAGAGGAAGTGAGGCTTTAGGCCTTTCCACTTATGAAATGAAATGAAATGGGGTTTAACATCCTACTGTACTGCTCCGAACTGGGCTAATGAAGACGGGCATACTCCATACATTGTGCTATGAGGGAAATTTTGCCTGGACAGCGGCACTACGGCCTACTCTTATATCAAATTCCAACTGTCAAGGGATCTTTTACGTGCATGCTAATGTGTACACAGGACCTCCTTTTTTTGTCCTATCCAATTGACTAGACAGCTATCCTTGTCAGGCCCTCCGTCCTGCATCACTGACAAGGGGGAACCACACCGGAAAATCTGGATGAACTTTCTTGGCCAATGCAGGGATGGAACACCCGACCTCCGGGCTAGCGAGCCAGCGCCTTAGCCACTGTGACCCCATTTTCCACTTATGAACCCCCAACCCAATCCCCCGACTAGAGGAAGATGAAATAGTGTTTTAAATACAATTGGACAAAATTATCCGAGGATGATGTTTTTATGACAGATGCTTAAGACTACAGTTGTTGTGGGAAATGTTTATATACTACATGTACATTGGCCGGAAGCCCCCTAGACTTTGAAGCCCCTGGCTTCATTTTGCCTGCCTATTACATAAGACTATATGTAAATCTTACACTGCATGGGCTTTCAATTTTGAATTTAATTATTAAATTATTATAGCCTATAAGAATGATGTTGGGAATGGAATAGGATCCAATGTAATTGTCTTGATTATATATGTTTCTTATATAACCACCTGGGGGGTTGGATGGCCGAATGGTTAGCGTGTGCACATTGTATAAGGTCTGTCATTGAGTCAACTGGCGTGGTTTGAATTCCCCAGTTGTACGTGACAAGGAGTAGGGTCGCCTGTCAACCTTGTGGGTTTTCTCCAGGTCTTCCAGCTTCCTCCCACTGATAAAGACCTCTATGCGCATTCGAAGTATTGAAATAAGATTGAACCATGTTAGTCCCGAAATGACTTAGTTTGTGTCGAGTAGACATTTAAACCCCATTTCTCTCTCTATATATATATAACCACCAGACAGGTAATGATTGTTATGTTGTGTATTTTCAGCTGATGCATCTGAAAGATTACTACCACTTACAGACAAATATCAAATTGAAGGATTAAAGAAACGCTGTATTAATTGTTTGTGTCAAGATCTGAAAGAAAATCCTGATGGCCGACTTATCTCATTACTTTCTCTTACTGAACAACTTGGTATGGATGACTTAAAGGAGCAGTGTATTGAATTACTGTTTGAAACTCATATTGATGAATTAAAAGATTATATTCATTATGATGCTCCTTCAAAATCAACAGTTTCCTGGAACAGTGTCTGGAGAATTCTTCGTCATCATTTAGAAAAACTGTCTACACTTACCCATGTTGTAAATTCCATGAAATCTTTGGCATCAAAACATGATAGGCATTGCCGATGTGCCACGTCCAACAAAAGGTATTGCTGTAAACCCAAATGCTCAGCCACCACTCATCAAAATGATTTTGTCCCTTGTAATTGGAACGAAGAATGTCTTAATAACTTTGCTCGGGATATTCTTACCAAGGGTGAAATCAAAAAGATTTTGAAATAATAATGACATTTGACTGATGTTTGTTGTTTTTGAATGTTGTTGTAATGTCTGTATAATAATTGTGTATATAATTCTTGGTTATTATTATGAGTGAAGAATGATCAAATAAGACAGAAATAATTATGGTTGAAAAAAATTGATCTATGATTTTCATTGATAGTTTTAATTTTTATTTTTTGAGCATTTTTTGTCATGAAAATTGAATGTGTCAATGCATGATATCAGTTGTAAGGTCATCCAGTGAAGTGTATATGATAAAATATATAATAAATATATAAGGTGTCTATTTCCTTGCTTGGGGCACCTACATTGTTTGGGGCTTGAATCTATGCCTTCTTGCTTTTGTTCGTGGGGTTTTTTCCGAGTTGTCCAGTTTACTCCCACTGCTAAAGACCTCTACGCTCAAGCAAATTATTGAAATAAATTTATTAGTCCCGAAATGACCGAGTTTGTGTTGAGTGCACATTAAACTCATCCAATCTGTATGGAATTTGTGTACATTATTATATTAGTGAGATGAAGAATCCCATTGAATTTCATCAATCATGTTATACCTCTAAAGATTTTGCAAGTTTTTTTTTTCATAGAGTAGACACCAAATTCCGGTTAGATCTTTCAGTAATCTCCGCAAGTAGCTTGTCAGGTATGTGAGGCTCCCCCTAGAAATTGGGTTTAATGTCCACTCAACACAAACTAGTAGGACCTTTCGGGACTAACATATGGATCAATTTTATTTCAATAATTCGCTTGCACATAGGGGTCTTTAGTAGTGGGAGGATCCTGAGGAAACACAGGAGGTTGGACAGACGCCCTACACCTTGTCACGTACAACCGGGGAATCGAAACCACGCCAGTTGACTCAATGTCAGACCTTATGATACAACGCGCACGCGCTAGCCATTCGGCCATCTTTCACAGATAGGGTTAGAACTTTTCAGCCAACCCTCGGATGTATTTTAAGAAAGTATCTTAGAATGTCTGTTCTTTCAGTTGACACTGAAATGGCCACATTTGTAGCACCATGGTTTTTTTGTCAGAGGTGGAGAGCAAGTGATCCTAAACCGGTCGCCACCTCCGGCGTATGACCCATGCATCTTTTCTTACTACATATCTTAGTAGCCTTGTGATCGTCTAGAATTTGGCTCAAGCTGTCTTTGCTTCCCCTTCACGTTGTGTATTTTCTTCTTACTGTTTTCTTAAGACGTTTGTCTTCTCAGTAGTTATAACAATGCAACAGGTCGTTTTTACATTTTATGTATAATAGCCGGATACATGGATACAAGCATAGTATAGATTACAATACTAAAGTCATCCTCAAACACTAGCCAGCCCCAGCGAGTCTGCTGATAGAAATTGCTACATCTTTTCCCTTCTGGAATCAAGCTGCCGTCTGACGATTGCTCACAAATATAGTTTTGTAGCTTTGGGTTTTGGACCTTCAATTATCTAATTGGTCAAACCACGAGGCTCAACAGGCGACCCTACTCCTTGTCGCGTACAAGCGGGGAATTGAAACACCGCCAATTGACTCAATGACAGTCTTTATGATTCCACGCGTACGTGTTTATCCCCCATTCGCCCATTGATTTCAATGTTAAATGGCTTTAACATCACAGGATGTAGCTTTTTGCTCAATATTCCGTTGGTTCCAATCATTATAGGCATATAGGGGAGCTGGTTGTAGGGAGTTGACTGTTTAGATTTTTTGCTGGGGTCAAAATCTCACTTCCGACACAATGATTGCTTTGCAGAAAGACACGACACCCCCTATCCCTCCACTGTAATATCATCAGTATTACCCAAAACTGCTATGAATTGCAAATTTGATCCCTTTTCTCCAATTCTAGACCAAAAAGTCAACAAAAAAATGCAGGAATAGGGGAGAAAAAAAATGAATGGAAAAATTGTCTATTAATAACACGCACTACATTCATCCACCATAAGGGGGGAAAAATACTAGTCTTAGTCCTTATGAAACGTGTAAATGAATGTATTCGCCCACAGCTGTATATTGTCCATCAGTACACAATTGACTTTTATTTAAATTTCCAACCTGAAGACAATATTCTAAACAATTAATTGTGACCAAACCCGTTTTCAAATTCGAGCACTCAAAACAAAGTTAGCATATAGTGGATTAATAAGACCAGTTGGGATTGATTGTTTGTTCTAAATGTTCAAATTACACTAGATGTTTGATGCTTTGATTTTCTTAATCACAAAAAAATAATATTGTGGGCGTCTGTCGTGCTGCATATTTGGCGGATTGCCAAGCTTGGATATAAGTAAGAACAGGACCCTGTTTCTCGAAATCTTAACTAAAGATAAAATCCAAATTTTAGTAGACACTTCAATTTTGATTGGCTAAGCACTAAAATCAATCTAATATTATCCAATCAAATTACTAAAATTTGGATTTTATCTAAGTTAAAATTACGTGAAACTGGCCCCATGTATTTTAGCCCAGAACCGTTTTCATTATAACATCTTTAAATTCCCAGACGAAAATGATTTATTTGACAGCAATGTTTTGAGTAATAACAGTGAAAGCTCTAGATTAATTGAATGTGATTACCTACATGGATTACAAATGACAGTTTTGGTCTATGCCCAAACAAACAAGATGAACTTCATTTATCAAAAACTGAATCTATATTCACTTTGTATCCACCACAATGAAAGTTATTTTATCCTCTGGTCTATTTCAACTGGTTTATGCGATATTTGGTTTAATCTTGAATACGGCTGATGCGATTCCATTAAATTTAATTAATACCGATTAAAACTGGTGCGATACAATTAAGTAATGTGATCAATCCTAAATAAAAAAAATGTGTGATCAAGTTAAATTTAAAGAAACATTAGCATGAACAGGGCTCGTGTGATTCTAACTTCCGCCAACCCAGGCCAACCTGAAACAAATATCAAAATCCACGTTCTGTAGAACGGGAAAAACCAAAAACAGTTCAATGAAACAATCAATTCTATGGCTATAGAATATAACTACATTTATTAGATCATTACACACACTTTTTAGTTGGAAAACATAAAACATTCATTATCAAAGCAAAGTACGTGTTACATTAGCCTACGTGTCCCTGTCATCATTTTGGAGCAATAATTTCAACTTCTTTAAAAATACTAATTTTGCTGTTGGCCTGACAGATGTAGACTTGGTCCAAGTCATCTATGAAAAGTCCTTGTGGTTGTTCAACGCCTTGTTCAGCAGTTAAGAAAGTGGTGATTGTCTCACCATTATCTTGCATGAGAAGGATGCGGTTATTGGTTTTGTCCGATATATAAATCTGATCATCTTCGCTACAGAATAAACCAGACGTCCCTTCCAAATCTGACGTCTGTTTCGGTCCCGTTTTAAATACCAGTTTCCCTGCTTGTGTGAAGCATGATATATAGGGAATATCACGATCCGATACCAGCAGATTTCCAGATGGCGATAGAATCATAAATTTCGGCTCCGAAAATAAAAGTTTATCATCTGGGTCCGAGCATATAGAATGGAGAATTTCTCCTTGTAGATCTATTATGTCGATAGATAAATTGGATTCTAGAGTAGTCCCAACAGCTAATCGGTCCTCAGCTAATGCCGCTATACAGTTATAATATTTACTAGTACGAATCCTATCTATCAAGCTCAAACCCGGACTGACTTTAATCACAGCTATTCTTTTTAAACGTGTCATTGTTACTACAACGGTGTGTGCTGCCAATTTAGCTACGTGGCAAGGTTTTGAGTCCATGGACATCTTAGATTGTCGATCTAGGCCCATATTTACGTAGAAGGACTTCAGACTGTAGTTGTTGTGGTCAGCCACTACTGTTGTCATGACGCCATTTACAAACAGTACAATAATGCTGGATGGAGATGATTTCAAACTGTCACCAAGCACATCCGTAGATACTGTCTTGTGCTTTTGGAGTACTTTAATTTTATCCACCTTTGGTTCTTGGAGAGGTGGTGTAATGGGTACTGGTAAGACCGGATTACCTTCTGAACCCCTTCTTTTAGAACGCTTGGATTTCTTAAATTTGACCTTCTGCTTCGTAGTCTTCTTTTCCTTGGCTTTGCTCTTGATGTGTTTCATCAGATCTCGCGGTTCGTCAGAATTGTTCTCGGTTTTATCATCCCTCCTTGCGGTTTCTTGCTTTTCCCGTGTTTCTCGCTCCAGAACTGCCTCCCCAAGTTGGGAAGAATCAAGCACATCCAGTAACGAAGTGTTTGGCTCAAATTCCATTTGGAATGGAACGAGTTCTTCTGGTCTAATTTCCTTCTCAAATGAAGCATTATATTGTCTCTGGGTTTTACTAAGATTAGCCAATAGTTTTGTTTCTGAATTCGTATTTAGCAGGTTTTCAATTCCCTGCTCACAACCTTCCAATTCTACTATGTGTTCTCGTAACTTAGTTTTAGTCTGGTTCAAGCGAGTCTCTTCTGTATTGAATGAGTAAGAGATATTTGACAGCATGTTATCTCTGTTAGCAGATATGGTGTCCATCAACTGGTCAGTGAACCCTTTGATATTATCTTCCGTTCTTTGTCGGCTGATCTGCAATTCCCTTATTCTAGAAGTACTATCCACTAACATCGCCTGACATTCAGAAGATTTTTTTCTTACTCTCTTGATTTTGGTGGACAAGTCGCCTTTTGCTACATCCGTTGCCCCTTTTATAGTAGATACCTTTTCGCATCTTCTGTGATTCACGAAAGCACAGGATGGACAGATTAACAAGTCACAAGCAGCACAATAAAATTCTACTCGACTGTCTCTGTGTTGTGAGCAGGTTGCAAGATCTTCTTCTGATCTATCACGAGGTGATATATAAGCTATAGGTACTTGGATGTGGGATCGAGTGGCAGGAAAGTTTCTATGTGATGCTGAACAATCGGGGCAGTAAGAGTCGTTACATTGTTGACACCATAACGTGGCAGCATTGTCAAGACCAGCTTCTTTACATGCAGCACATTTCAACTCTGTAATATAAATTAAATCACAATCAAACATTAATTCCCAACGGGAGAATAATAGCATGTTTTAACAAATTGTTATATGTAACTTCTCTTGTCTCTGGCTACATATACGCTACCGCGGCTTAAGATTTTTCTGTATAATAAATTTAAACCATATTATGTCACCTTGGGTAAGTGGTAAGTTTCCATATGTCTACAATTGTATTTAGTAGCTTAGAAGGTTTTTTCAACTTTATATACGTTTACAAAAATTAACGGGCGGTCTTAACTGTGGGCCAAGCTATAATAATAATAATAATATATTGGGCTATAGTACCATCTGGTATCGGTTTAATGGGATGTAAAGATACATTATGTAAGATTTAGATAAAGAGTTTGGAAAGTTTTTTCAACTTTATAGACGTTTACAAAAATTAACGGTCGATCTTAACTGTGTACCAAGCTATATTGTATTATAATACCATCTGGTATCAATTTAGGTCTTGCAAAGATCTAAAGATACATTGTGTAAAATTTAGATAAAGAGCTATAATAGTTCAGAAATAGATCATAAAAAAAGAATATATTGAAAATTTCAGTCAAATGGCCTAAAGAGTTGATTGTGGGTTGTCATGTGAATAAATGTCTAAATAATAATTTATAGAACATTTGAAACCAGACAAAAGACCGATAGCCAGATATAGCTCTTGCATAATGCGTCCCTACTGCTTGTCATGCACAATCGTTGGAATCAGCTTGATATCGCCATGATGACAAGACAAATGTCCATATGGTCAAGCTATTGACTTAAATTTACTCTTACCATCTTTTTCTGAACTCAATAAATCTGGTTTATTATCTGACAGGGTCACTGTTGGAAGATATTCAGCCCATTGTTCTTTTGGACGGGAACCGGCCATGATTGGTTTGGAAACGAATTCCTGACAAGCAGGACATCCAAATCCTTGGAATTTCTGCGCTTCCACAGAGTTTACAATGTGGTTCTTGATACAGGCTCGACAGAATTGGTGTTGGCATGGCAATGATATGGCATCCTGGGGTTTCTTGTAGCATACATTGCACACTGGTTGATTTTCTAATACCAGTGCTGGTGTCGACATCTTTGGTTACTGAAATCTAAAAAATGGTAATATTTTAATCAGACTTAAAACAAAGATTCGATCTTGTCGTTTGAAACTCATCCGATGAATAGATAAGGAGGATAATCTCTCTAGCGCAACATTGCGCGATCTGAAATGCGATAATGTGTGTTTTGAAAAGTGAATGGTCATACATGTACGACCTTGTACAGGACACTGAGAATAAAATGAAATGGGGTATAGCGTCCTACTGTTCAGCTTCGATATGAAGACGGCCATACGCCATAAAGTGTGCTATTGGGGTCATTTTGACCGGACAGCGGCGCTACGGCCTACTCCAGAAAGGTAGACATTAACCCTCCTTTTCAGTTATAATAAATAAACTACCGAGGACATCATTCAGTATCGATTAGCATATTTCACAAATATCTATGGTAGTCATGAGGACAAAGTAAAGTAACAGCATTTTGTTTTTAACAATAGCCGTTTCTTTTTATATAGGATTTTTTTAAAACAATATTTTTATTCAGGATGTATGAATGGGAACGGGGAACAGACTCATCCTATGTAACTCCTCTATCCCATTATAAAAGTGATTCCAGTTTGATTTTTATATTGCCCTTTTATTTTAACAATATTATCCATTGCATTAACATTATTTAAGATTATATATTATTAATATTCATGATTTAATCTAATAACAATTTCAGTCAAATAAAAAAACCCAAAACACTCCATATTTAACCCTACCTGCTATTTTTCAAATGACTCTCATATTTCTCCAGACAAGATGAAAGCAATGTCTGTTCACATATATGAAAACTCGTATTAATGGTATATCACAAACACATAACACTGGGTATTTATCGTATCTATTCAAATATGTATTAGTCCGCCAATTTGTAAAGAAAGCCTCTATTATAGTATAAATATCAGCTATATAACCGAATACTGTCTACACACCCCAATGAAAGCGATTTGTCTAAATGATATATTAATAAATACATACAAACATTTCTGAATTCTGTTAAATAAAAGGTATGACATACAGAGGTACATATATTAATAAAAGTTATTATATTCCTCATTGTAGTATTGTTTATTTATCGGCAATTTGCGTCATGTTTTATGAATAGAAAGTTATTTGGTCAAAATATAAACCCTTCAAACATGCTAAGATCAATCCGATAACCTTGGCATTTTACCCTTTTTTACAACTCATATTGTTTACCCTACATAGAAAAACGTTACGGATCATTTAACAAAATAACTAGACAAAACTTTACACCTTTTTGAAAGCATATTTTGCACCAATTGCCTTAATGACGTCCAGTTAGAGTCAGTTTGCATTATCGTTTCAAAATGCCAAGCACTAACTGGAGTTCAAAAGACGACAAACAAATCCACTCAAACCAGTAAAATATTTGTATTTAGCTCATTTAAAATAATATGATAGCATATTTCAGAATCACAGAAATTTATAATGAGACCATGATTGATGTTTATTCTGAATCAATTTAACCAACACAGTCGTATATTTAATCGCAGATCTGTATTTGATAGTATTGTATTCAACTCATGGTTTTATTATACACTAGATACGTCAGTACATATACAAAATGTAGAACTATCGGCTAAGAGACCATCGAAAATATCGGGTGACAAACACTTTACAATATTAACAATATAATTATAATGCGAAATTAAAGAGAATGCCAAGACTAAAACAAAAACTGCCAACTACGTAATATTTATATGCGTTAAGTTGTAATGCATCTCGCTCAAAATATTCTATTCTGTGGAGAGGTTACAGCTAGTTACAGAGACAAGGGGGACGGGGGTCTATACCTTTCAAATCGCACTCTCTGGTAGAATTCGTATGCTTTATGGCTAAATAATAACACAGAATATCACTGGGATATTTTAATAAATTTTCTTGGGGACAATGCCCGCACATATCCCCCGAATTCCGCGCACGCTATGGACCCGCTCTCGCCCAAAATATGAATTCAGGTTGGCCGCACAGAGTGGGATTTATCAGACTAATTCCTAGTTGTTGTTTGCAGGAAAACGCGTTGCGATGGTCTAATTTTCAACATTTTCTGGCACTTCCATGTCTGTCCCCCGCCACCCCAAAGCTGATCGGACTCCTACTTTGTGCGTATTCGGACGTAAGGTTTATACGCTAAACTGAAACATACGCTGAATACGCCAGAGGTAATGTCGCTGACATACGCAGACACAAAGGTGTGCCGTACATCTTGGCGTATTCCTGCAGTGTAGAAAAGCCGCCGCTTGTTTGAAAACTTTGTCACGTGATAGCGATACGCTGGACATGCAAAGGATCATACGCTACTAATACGCTAGACATACACTTACTTGCGCTGGTCATACGCTGGCCATACGCAGGTGATACGATACTTACACTCAAAGGGCCATTTAGGTGATGATAACACGGCGTTACCACAACAATCACGCGATTTGAAAATAAAGTTATTGTATGTCGGATTATGAAAACAGTGAGATTTTACATTGCCAGTATCAGTTATCAAGAGAGAGAGAGAAATAGGGTTTAACGTTCACTCCACACAAACTGGGTCATTTTGGGACTAATATGGTTAAAATTTATTTCAATTATTCGCTTGCTCGTAGGGTTCTTTTCTTTTGAAGTGGAAGGGAAACCCACGAGGTTGGCCAGGCGACCCTACACCTTGTCACGTACAACCGATCAGCCTTCAAACTATTGGACACAATCTGAGTTAAAAAATCGTGAGTAGAAAGCCTAAAGTAGAAAGTCAAAAGTTGACAGTCGAAATCGAAAGTCAAAATTTGATAGTAGAAAGTAGAAAATATGTCCAAGAAAGTAGAATTCTGGCGATTAAAGTTGAAAAGCTTGATGTTTTAGCCGATTAAATGTAAGCTTGGGGCTCCATCATGAATATACCCTTTTAGATAAGAATTTCCTCTTTTACTTTTCTACTTTGTACTTTTGATTTCTAATTCTGCTTTTTATCTTTTGCTCTAAATCGCATTTTGAACCATAATACATAATTAATATTGATTTTAGAACTATGACTAATACAAAGGCGAATAACTCTGCTTTTATAGAAATTGATACTACGAGGTCGAAATGTTAAACCACGTTTCTTTGCTAATACAGTATAAACACGAACCCCTACTTGTGAGATCTGTCATCTGGTATCTTAACAATCAATTGTCATTTTAAAATGGACATCTATCAGTTACTAGTGTTTTTATATATATCATCGTCGGTAACTTGTCTAGGTCAAATTAAGAGTAATTTTCAACGCACCGTTATATTTATTAACGCGAACACTGACCTTGGCGAAAATGCTTTTATTCGTGGTGGTAAGTTGGACATTTCTTTTATCCATGTTTTTTTTTGTTGGGGTTTTTTTTTTTTGGGGGGGGGGGTATTTTTTTGTTTGTTTGTTTTGTCTTGTTTTTTGTGTTTTGTTTTGTTTTTTTTTGGGGGGGGGGGGGAATTCATTAACCGACATCATTTTCAATTTCACTTGTTTACTTAATGTATCAATACTAAAATTTCACAGACCATACACTATGTTGACTTGTCGAAGGCCAATATTCAAACTGTCGAGAGAAATACATGTTTTGCTATAAACAATATAACTTATTTTGAAGTTTAAGTATAAACACGGTTACTATGCTTGACAGTTTTGATAATTAGCTTTATTTCTTGTTGGTCTATTATGTAATTTACGTCTTTAATTTGATTTGGGTTTAGGTTCATGGTTGAACAAATAAAATTATTACATATCTTTAAAGAACCCCAAGCGTTTGGAAAATTTCACGGTTATATGCGAAAGTATTCACGGTTATATTTGAAATTACACGGTTATATTAGAAAGTATACACGGTTATCTGAGAAAGACACGGTTAATTGAAGTACACGAAAGTACACGGTTAATTCAACTATTGTGTTTAAATATTCAGGAAGCATTACAACCAAGCGGTGTATAATGAATCATTTTATTATAACACGTTGTAATATTCATTCAAGCTGTAGCAAATAAGAATTTTTATGAGCTTAGATTGTATGCATAAATTTATGATGTTTGACTCTGTGGTCCTTTTTCTCGCTAAAAAAGCCTATAAAAGCTATTATAATTTTGTCACCAAGAGTAAAATAAAAATAAAACGTTTTCTAGTACATTCTTATTATTTGCCACAGGTCGGAATAAGTATTGCACAGGCAAGACAGGAACTGATCCTTGTTCCATTCCAATCCGTCATAAGACTGTTACAAGCAGTGCTGTGACTAAATGGTCTGTAGGCGATAATTATTTAGATTGGCAAGGAGCCGAAATTAATCAAGCAAGTTTTAATGGATTGGCAGCAGAAGGTACACCTTTAGTTTGGACGACATCGAAGTAGGTATTATTTCATAATAAACGTATATATATTCTAAGTAAATATTCTAAGAAATTTATCCATAATTTTGTGAATTATGCAGAAATATTCTAAGAAAAAGATCCATGATAATATCGGGATTGATACATAAATATACTTAGAAACGATTTCTCACACCAAAAGTGCCTTTATCTATACTTTAACAGACATATACCGGGAAATCCTACAGTTGGAGAAAATGGGTTTGGCTACTCCGTCCTTAATACATTTGGTTCCGGATATTGGATGCTTGATATAGAAATGGATTGTTCCGAAACTGATTCTGGTTGGTTCCAGTTTAAGGTACGCGTGCAACCAATTTACAGAAAGTAATTATTAACTCAGTAAAGGGTGTTAGTTATTAGAAAGTTAAACAAAATTGCATTTAATTTTTCAAACCATGTTTACTTAAAGGAAAAATCACTATGTTTCACTTTCAGTCTAAGTTGAAGCAGTCATGCATTCTAACCGCTCTCGATTTTATCTTATTTTTGTTGAGAGATTGGGGATAAAGGGAAAGTAATTGAAATAAACACACGCGCACATCCTTTCGACATTGTGTGCTAATTATAGCTGCTAAACGTAACAGTAGTCCAAACATACATAATACAAGCATAAGTTATTCAATTTGTAAACATATATTACATCAACCAGTGATTCCATTTGTAGACATACATTACACCTACCAGTGGCTGGGAGCCTGATATAGGTCAAACACAAGCTTGTGGAGGTGATGTAGGCGGGCGACGACCATTTCTAACAAATAATCACCAGGCCAGGTGCGGAAAGTTGAATTTATTTTATTACGCAAGTGCCGGTTGTATTATTAATAACATTCCGACATCATTACCAACAACAACACCTACTCCAGGTAAAGAGATCAATATTTATCATTTAGTATGTTGAAAACATCAGATGTTTTATAAGGTATCGTAGGGTAGCAATTTACATACATTAAAAAGGATAATAACTTGAAAATATTGTGAACACCTTTCTTCAACTCAGACAGTGTATGCTCACATTTCAAAGAAATTCAATCAAATCATTCGTCTTTCATTCATTTCTGGAAGATCTGTATACATGTATTTTTTACTATGATTCACAACTTTGATCCAACATATCTCCACGAAATGGCAATGGGATTCCATTCTAAGGCGGTTTAGTTTCTGCCGTGGTAAAGAAAGGAATTATTGATCATATACTCGTAAATTTACATGCAAACTGAAGATTATAAGCCGTTCATGAAAAACGAAAAATAATTTCCACATACAAACTATATACATGCGAATTGAGGACAAATACGTTCCCGTTATCTGTGATATAGTATCCAGGGTCAATGCCCTATATAAACTCACCGTAAGTTAGACCATACAAGTTGCAGGTTTGGGAATAGGATCACAAAGTCCCTTACTGATGCTGGGGTCAGAAGGAGTGTCACTAATGTAGTATTTTTCTTCAAGCAGAAGAATGTGGCATTAAGCATGTTTCTCAATCAAGAATAGTCAATGGTCATCCTGCTGCTGAAGGGGTGTGGCCCTGGATGACAGAAGTTCTATATCAGGACAATCATGGATGTGGAGCCGTTTTGATATCTTCTACCTGGGCGATAACAGCTGGCCATTGTGTACGCACGTAAGTTTACCGCCACGTAAACAAATGCTGCGTTTAAGATTTCAATTATTTTGGAAAATTTCGCCGAAAATCCGATTTATTTTTCCTCCCTCGGTCCAGTCCATGAAAACAAGTACTAACGTTCTAGGGACCAGGAACCGACTATCACGTCAATCGATGCGAAATTGTCCATCAACAAACATGCCATGTTTTATGTCTATAGTACATGAAGGCTTTTTTTCTAAGCAATCCCAAGAACAACAAGATCCGTAGCGGAATGGACCGGTCCTGGTCCAACAAAGATATAAACCAATCAAATAACTAGTATTTCTACAGATGGAGGCCAGTTTACCACGTTTCATGTTGGGAATAATACTATTGACGTCACCACTGTCCATCCATTTACTTTTCAATTTTGTGTCGACTCGCCGTTAGGAGGAAGCCAATCGAAACACAGAATTGCACATAATTGCATATCAACCGATTAGGAAATCAATTGATCACGAAGATGCAAATAAGGTTTCACCATATTTTAATATATCAATACTAAGACGCCACAGTCTTTTTTCTACCACTGACAATGATTGCATTTTTTATTAGGGCCAAGACATACGGACCATGGGCTACGATACTTAGAACTAGTGAAACCAACAGACACATTATCAATGGAAGGGAGCGGGATTATTTTGTCAAAAATATAATAAAAGTAAGCATTTTCTTCTTTAATTATGACATCTCAAAAATGTTTTACCCCCAATTCATTCTACTTGTCAATTTGACCGGCCATAAGATTTATTATATTTTATGCGACACAATTTCAGCATCCTTTATTTGATAAAGCAGGAGCTGGGTTGGTTAACAATGATCACGATATTGCTCTATTAGAATTAGTTGCTCCGGTTGAAATAAAAAAGAATGATGTAACAGCTGCCTGTCTTCCTATTACACTTCCAATAGATGAATTTGTTGATAAAGAATGTTGGATCACTGGATGGGGGAGTACACAAGGTAGGGTTATTTGATGACTGATTTCGTGGTCATTGTTTGCTTGCTTGCTTGTCAGGGCTGGATTAACTATTAAGCCAATCTGATAAAAACTCAGATCCTATTTCGCTTCGTTTCTTATAGTTCAAAATTTCGTTTCACTTGTCTTTGCTGCACTAGGATCTGGAAGAGTTATTATATAACCCACGTTCTTGTTGATGTGAGGGATTAGCCACTGAACGGTTTGATCAGAAGTCTGACGTCAATGGGTCAAAAGCTGATAGTATGACACCTGACACGACTTCCCACTACAACTGGCCAAATCTTCATGTAGTGCAGGCCATTGAAAGCATAAAAAAACGAAATCTAGATCTGTATTTTAAACAGATTGCTTTTAAGCAAACCCAGCACATGCCTAGGGCATCATTGCAAAGGGTCACCACAGAATGTAAAATATTTGATAAAAATTAAGAACTTTGAATCAGTTTTTCATTGTTTTTGTGAGGGCACCAGATTCTTTAAAGTGCCTAGGGCCTACATGGATCTTAATCTGGCCCTGCTGCTCGTCCTTTCGTCTTTCTTTATCTACTAGCAATTCATGTCGTACTTTTATATTTAAATACCTTGGTGAGTAATACTCATAATAAAACCCCTTATCTTGTATTGAATAATGGAGTGACGGTTTAATCTTGGTCCCAATTCCTTGCAATAATTTCATTTCAACCAGTGTGAATCCTTTGTCATGTTTTGTTGAATTCCAGGTACTGGTGATAAGATGTTTCTACAAGAGTTAAAAGTGAATGTGTCCACAGTACAATCATGTAGTGCATATTATTCTACAGAAGTTTCACATCGACAAGTCTGTGCTGGTATATATGATCACCAGGCCTGTCAGGTGAGGACTAACACTAACTTTCACTAGGCCTTATCCTGATCAGTTTGTGCATTTACACTTGTCAGTTGTGCATGGTTGGGGTCCTGACAAGGTAGTGTCCAGTCCTTCGGATTATACTAAAAACCGAGGTAAAATAACCCTTGGTGGCTGGAATCCAATTTAAGAGTAGGCCACATGGCGTATAAAGGTCTTCATTAGCCCAGTCCGTGCAGAAAAGTAGGGCGTTGATTCTCATTTCATTTTATTTCGCATTTATACAGACCTGATGAAGTACACTGATATTACCTTATCTTGAGTTTTTATTTATAAAAGCGTTACACAACTTTCATGTAGTATTAATTTTGGTTGAGCTGTTGTTTTATTTCCATTAGTAATGGAGACGGTTTGTTTAGTGGAACATAAAATAGGCTGTATCTCAAAACGAGCCTTTTTATAGATTTCCGGCAAGACTGATCACCATCTCGAAAAACGTAATACACCCAATGAATCGACAATTAGGTCTTAAAAATGTAAGAGATGACAATGACAAATACTGTATGTAATAGATCCTAAGGGGTAACTAATTTCAACAATTTATTAATGTATAAATTCACAGACTGTCAATTGCCAGAAAAGAAATATTAACAATAAAGATCGGTGCTGCAAGCTCTTACTGTCATTTTCAATTATATCTAGACGAAACACATAGAGAGAATATTTTCTGTGTTTCAGGGAGATTCTGGGAGTCCGCTATCCTGTTTTGTTCAAGGGCGATGGTATGTAGTAGGCATTGTTTCTTGGGGTGATGACAACTGTCATGGTCGACCATCAGTTTTCACAAGAATATCAGCGTTTACAGACTGGATTGAACAAGAAACAGGAATCCAATTTAACAAACCTGGGTTGATAGGATGACGACAATAAAACACATCCTTGTAGTAAATTTTTGGGTTTTTTTTCTCACTTTTTATGACATCCGATGGACCGTATATAAACAGTGTTTGCCAAGACATTTGTGTGTGTGTTTCGAGAAACAAGAAATAAATATTAATTCCAAAACCGATTTTCAGTTATAAAAATATAATTTTTGGACATGCTCCCTTATGTGCTGTATACGCCCACATTTAATAGTAGCATCGGTATTTGAAACAACTCCTCCAATATATCTGAAGATGGTGACGGTGTGGGGAATGAAGCAGGTCGTTTTCTGGCTTAGCTTCAAATGTTATATAAATCATTATGTAGACTGTTTTGTTCACATGTCAAGCCCATAATTAACTCTCTAGTCTATTAGAAATGAAATGAAATGAAATGAGGTTTAACGTCCTACTGTTCTGCTCCTATACTGGGCTAATGAAGACGGGCATACGCCATACAGTGTGCTATGAGGGCACCATCGCCTACTCTTATATCGAATTCCAACTGCCAGGGGATCTTTTACGTGCATTCTAATATATACACGGGACCTCGGTTTTTCGTCTCATCCGAAGGACTAGACAGCTGTCCTTGTCAGGGCCTCCGTTCTGCACCACTGACAAGGGGAAACCACGTCGGAAAATCTGGATGTACTTTCTCGGCCAATGCAGGGATCGAACACCCGACCTCTAGGCTAGCGAGCCAGCGTCTTAACCATGGCTCCCTAGTCTATTAGACCATGACCGCCATATATCTGCGTTAATATTGCCAGCCAAGACGATCTTTTCAGTAAATGCATGACAATCGAAAATATGAAATGTGGGTTGAACAATTATCGGCAATCATCAAAACCTCAAACATTTATATCCTGGCTCATCAAGGTAGTTTCCAGTCCACATGGCCCTCACAGGGCGATGCGGCGCCCAAGGGTAAAACAAGTTTCCCGATGCCCCCACCCCTTACATACTGTAACTGCTATGTTCTGTGCCTGCGCTCAGTTGATTGTTTATGATTAAATGAATTTTAGTTGAATACCTACAAAGCGAAGGCCGCTGATTTGCTATCTGAGCTAGTCCATAAATATTCACTCGTATGCACTTAGATAATCCCCCCATACCCGGCCCAAGAAGTGTCGCCCCCTGTGAGATGCCCCCCCCCCTTCGCTCTTATGTGAGGGCCCTGCCAGTCGCTGGTTATGCATTCAGCGTCACGACAGCCACTTTAATTAGATTAGTAAAAAGTCGCGAATAAGTGACATATAAAGTGTGCTATGAGGGGGTCTTTGTCTGCTCTTTATCTCGAATTCCAACTGTCTATAGATTCCTTTTACGTTAACACCGTGTACACAGGACCTAGTTTTTCCGTCCCATCCGAACGACTAAACACTGTTTCTCTTCCAGGAATTAGCCCTGCCACATTGAAAAGGGGAAACTACGCTTGAAAATATTAATCTCCTGGTCAGTGAATCAGCGCCTCACTGATTGATGACAACACAAGTAACTTAAAATAAAATAAAAACTCTCATAAAAGGACTCTCATAGAAATAAGTCGCTGTCACCCTCGTGGAACACTGCATGCAGTCTACCGGTTTGTGCAGAAATACAAGACGTCAAACCGCCATGACCCTGAGTCTTCAAATGCAATTCTCTGTGAGCTTCACCACAGTCGTAACTTATCGTAAAACGTCCTGTCACCACAAGCTTGATTTGACCCCGAATACCTTAATTAATGAGCATAACATTTTATTTTATTGTATTTTAGTTGTAAGGTGTTTCGCAACAACCACTTGACATTTTGGATTATATGTGCTATTCTGGGAAATGGGTGACCGATTAGTGTAACGCGTGCGCTGGTGTTCATATTGAATCAAAAAATGTGGGACGCGAACCGATGCTAGTACTAAACAAGAAGTAAGATCGGCTGCCTAGCCCCGTGGGTTGTCATTTTGTATTTATGAAGTACATTTTAATCTTTATACGTAAGATGAACTGTTTGTTAAAAAAATTTGAAATCAAAGGACACTGTAAGCCATTAGAGAGCATCCATGTAGCACGCAATCTCGTGTTCCCAGATAAAGCAATGATTAAAAAACAAAATTGTATTCAAAAGTCTACATTTAGGTAATGTAATGGGGTCATCGAATATCGTCCCATATATTATGGGAGTTAGACACGTGTTAGATAAAGTTTGGAATCATGTTTCTGAAGAACCATCCTGGACATTTTTATCAGATAAACAAATAAGAAAACTGTTCGTTTTTCAAAGTACAGATTACATAGCTGTTCAACTCTGCTGTGTCCATATCCTTCTAATCAGGTAGGTCTCCAAAAATCCCAAACCATTTCATATCCATAGTATTATATTATTTTTAATAACTTGTATAAGTCGACATTAAAGTTGTCGTATTTTCAGCTCAAGACGGTATCGTATTTTCAGTTCCAGACGGTGTCGCATGTCTACCCCAAGAAGCCGTCGTACGTTCACCACAAGACGTTGGGTATCCACCAATATTATAATTATACAGAATTTTTCCGTGTGTATTTACACTATACCGGTGTGCTGTTTACTGTTTACAAATACTAAATCGTACTTATTAACTCTAACCTTTGACGCCTGTCTCTGCCAAGGAGACACGGGGGCTCAGTGAGTAAGCATATTGTTCAATACCGAGGTGCCAGCCGAGAAAGCTCAACAGCATTTTCCAGTCTGTTTTAACATGGTCAGAAATACAGGACTTCTTTGATCAGGGATTCATGACCGCAAGCAGTAGCGTCTTCGTTTGAATAGTCCAACTTTTTCTACAAAGACAGGTGTCGTGCTCGGAAGGGAGTATTCTTATTCTTTCTAGAGCACTATTACTATTTATCGTTACTTAGGATATCCACATTTACATAACAAACTTATGTGACATTACAAATATCGTTAGATATTAGATTTATTTCACAAAATTATCTCAGCTGAGGGTATGAAAGATACATTATGGGAGATTAGATGTTGAAAATTTCAGTAAAATTACTCCACTGGGAACCGAGAAATCAGCTTTTAATGTTAAGCCTAGCCTCGATCATCTTTACTAAAAAAAACATAGTTTCGGTTATCCAAGTTTGGATTTAATCATCAATGGGCTTTGATCAGCAGATTGGATCCCCATCCAGTGAAAATCCGACACACAAGGTGACATCGAGAGTTATTATGGTTTGGATAAGTTAATTAAGGTCTAATTAATAGTTTATATAACATTTCATGCCTAAAGAAAGACCTGCAATAGGCAGATTTAGCTCTTGCACATTTTATGTTTAATACTATTTCCCTCAGAAAAACGTCGGATTGAGCAAATTAAAAGTAGCATTTGATGTCGATTTCATTATCCGACAGGAAACACGGTATCCATTAAAATATCTAACATTTGTATATTTTTATTTTGCAGAATGAGAGTTTTTATTATCTTGGCTGCTTTATTTGCGGCCTCAATGGCCCAATTACCATTGTTTGAACCGCCTAAGACCCACTCTGAAATCATGCACATAATCGAGCAACATTATCTCAATAGCGTTGGCTCAGGTAAGCGGATTTAAATAAGAAAGACATGTTTTATTATGTTTAGCTAATTGATGCAGAGCATGCGCACTATAAATGGGCAAATGTATAGGTGTTTAAGTCCAAAAACACTCAATGCATTCAATTTTAAAGGTTTTTTTACATAATGTTGCTTGGGTCTTGGGAATTCATATGAACTTAGTCAGTGCCATAGGGGTGGTGCTGGACATCTAAACGAATTGAAAATTTAGACGGAATTTGATGAGCATGTTGCATTGGTAGATTTGTGGAAATATAGTTGGTCTGGCTCACCGGGGCAGGGTGGTGGCAAATTTGACCTTTATTCTCCTAGGCCACTCTATTTTTTTCCAATCCAATGGAATTTTGTAAATTTCTTATTATAGTTTGTAGGAATAGTGCGGTTTCAGGTACGTCAACCAGTCGCAATACTCGCTAATAGACCGCCCCCATCTCACGAGTTATAAAATGAGTCGGCGACGTCTATTAAATAATGGTGTCTACGACATATATTAAAAAACAATGTGTATTTAATTTTCAGACCATCTAAGTCTTTTGGGCAAGCGTTCGGAAGGTAAGAAAAAAATAATTTCAATTTACATTTCTCCTCATTCACTTGGAGGTGAATTTTATGGACAGTTTAACGTCCAAAGATTTTTCCAATCATCATGGTAATTACGGCCTACTCTTATTTCGAATTGCAATTGTCAAGGGTTCTTTTACGTGCACCTGTACACGGGACCTCGGTTTTTCGTCCCAAGTGAACGACTGGACGCTGTTCCTCCGTCCTGTACCACTGACAAGATGGAAGCTAAGAAAATCCCAGGGAACTTTCTTGGTCAACACTGGGATCGAAACTAGGACCTCATTGTTAATGAGCAAACATCTTACTGACTGAGCCACCGTGGCTCCCCAACCCCAATAATCTACCACAAAATCTATGTCTCTGATAATTGAATTTCTTTTTTCTTCACAGCTGATAAAAGAAATATCTTCGATGGCATCAAGAAGGCTTTGTCTTCTGTGGGAAATTGTAAGTAATTGAAGATGATTGGAATCAAAATCAACCAAATTCTAAATATGAAATATTATTTTATTTAAGTCGTTGATGGTTAGAACTATCAAATTTAAATTTATCGCAATTAACAAAATAGCTTTTAGATGATTTGAATTTTTTGTGTCTTTATTTAGAACTGATTTTTTGTTGCTTCCACTTCAGTTTTCAAGAACCATGAAGGTGACCTTTTGAAAGCCGCTGAATGTAAGTAGAATTGCAACAGCTTATTGCTTCGTAGATCTAAAGTCTTTATAGACATTAATCTTAAGATTTTTATCTCCCATTTATTGGCCTCAAATTTGAGGTTAATTTGTGCAGACAATAAATTCACTGCAAATCGGAGCAGGGGCAATCTATAAGGAGCAACATAGACTATTAGGTGCCCCTTGTATACGCCGGAGTAACCGAAACTATAAGGTGAGAAATGGCTGATACACATCTGTAATAAATATACATTCAAAGTGTATAAACTTATTTGTTTCAGCTCTACTGCCATCTATTCCCGTTCTCTTGGGAAAGAAAAGTGTTCAGTAAGTATATAAACAATGCAATCAAACTGATCGTCAATAATACATTATAGTGAATCTCCGTCTTTTTAGCCCAGTCGGAGTAGAAACATGGGACGTTAAACCCCATTTCATTTTATTTAAAGTGAATCAAACTGTTAAACATACATTATGCAAGAGCTAAATCTGCCTATTGTAGGTCTTTCTTTAGGCCTGAAATGTTTTCTAAATTATGAATTAGACATTAAGTAACTTATCCAGACCATACTCAACTCTCGATGGCATCGGATTTCTCTGATATTAAATATAGATTAGAACAGTTCAGCCATATTTTGATTTAAGCTAAAAATGGAGAGGTGAGACTTAGCTTCGAACAACCAGTATGGAGTACGGTATAGTTGAAATTATTGCACACATCTTGTCAAACCTTCAAAGGCTAATATCTTCGCTCGCAATAGAGTAATTTGAATGAAATTTTCAAATTATTCATTTTATATTATCTATTTTCGAACTATTATAGCAAGAATGGCTAGGTCTTTATCAAAATCTTATATAAGGTATCTTTAACTACGAGAACTCGGCATATAATGACATACCTCTTAGAGAAGTAGTATCATGTTTATCGGAGGAGTAAGAATGTAGCAATAATATGCGAAACATGTTTATTGTTTTACGTCTTGCGTTTATTTGCAGAGATCCATTACCAAAATTCATTACCGATCTTATGGCAATATTAGAGAAAGAAAAGGAAGTTCTTAAAAAATTCGGCGAAAGCGCCGATGAGTGTAAGTAACTAAGATTATTACAAATATTAATAAATCAGTTTTTAAACAAAATATCCTACCAATATTATCCAATGAGATATTTTTACTTGATCATATATCCAGACTGCTTTGTTTCGGTTAAATTAAATCTAGTCAGTTCAATTTGGAAACTTATCTACTAATACAACAGCTTAGATACTCTATTTCACGAGTCGTAAAAATATTTTGATATTAAAGTAAAGTTCATCAACCGATCTGAGCAGATTAGTGCTTTAGTTTTCGATAAACTTTTAAAGTCTAATTTGAAAATTATTTACAATTTGATATTCTAATCAACATTTTAATATCCAATCAACATTTAATATTCTATAACATTTACTATTGTGTAACACTTAATACTTTTTTTATAATATTCTAGCTTTCCCAGAATTTGTTGATAAAGTAAACTACTTGGACAGATTCACCCACACAACTAACCCTAATGGTTTGGTACGAAGAGGATTTTTTGACAATATTTTGAGTGGTCTTAAGACATCTGCTGAATGTACGTTAAAATATTTACAATTAACACTTTTAGCTCTTTAAACCTATTTAAAGTTTATTTTGCATTTCTTGGCACAACTGGAATATTATTTTGACATGGAGAGCCGTCTAAAAACATTTTGTGACTTCCAATTTTAAGTTAAGATTTTTATTAATTGTAGACGTTGCCAGTCATATTGGTCAAATCGCTACCACTGCTGTAACAAGTAAGTTTTTTGTTTAATTTGGAATGCTTAAAATAGCTTAACAAATTGCTTTTATCCATCTTGGTTAAAGGTACATACTAGACTCGTACAGACAATACAATGGTTAAAGATATAATTATGAATTGTTTCCTACCCCCAGAAATATTTTATTAAAATGTAAACATATTCTTTCAGCTCTCCTACCAACAGCTGTTTCTCTTTTGGGAAAACGATCTGGTATCACGTAAGTATTGTGTAAACATAACAGCTGACTTCAGTCCTAACGTTGGAGAATGCTCTTGACGTAGGGTCATGTATAACCCATGACTTCATTGGAGAATGTCTTGACAGTGATTCAGGCATAACAGCTGATTTCAGTTCAATTCTAACAATGGAGAACGCCTTGACAAAGATGCATGCATAACAGCTGACTTAGCTCAATTCTAACATTTGAGAATGCATTGACAGTGATTCATGCATAACATATGACTTCAGTTTAATTCTAACATTTGCGAATGCATTGACATGTATTCATGAATAATATATGACTTAAGTAAAAATCTAAAATTTGAGAATGTTTTGACAGAGATTCATGCATGTCGCTCGGGCATTATATTGAACATGAAACATCTGTAAATTTATTGATTATAATGTCTGCATATTGAAGGTCGAGTGTTTCCAGTGATCAAAGCAATGGAATTTACATTTTGTTCTTTTGTGCAACACTCATCAACATCTATGCTTTGCATTTGCTTTTTAGCGATATCCCCGCCCAGTTTGGTGAATTTGTTAAACATGGTGTTATGCAACTTTTCGAAAAGATCGAAGCGGCTTATAAGGGAGCTATGCAGGTAATACAAAAATGAAGCAGTTTAGAAAGAAATTGTATCCATGTGTAATATTTAACTTAAGACTCATATGCAGTAGTTTCGCTTAACGCTTAGCAATATTCTAGTGATGTACAAATTATACTACTTTTTGCTTCGCGCCCACCTTGGAGGTTTAATTACTTATCCGTTTTGTTCAGTTGTGTGAATATGTTCGGGGCAACTAAATTTGTGTCTCTAGACTCCTCTTAGATTGCCTCGCCCGCGACTTTGGTGTCGAAAGTACGGATCTTTCATGGTTCGCCTCTTATTTAACCGACCGATATCAATCCGTTGTTATTCGTGCATCTCACTCCTCAGAAGCTGAATTAACATGTGGTGTCCCACAAGGTACCGTCCTTGGTCCCATCCTGTTTACTTTGTATACTACACAGTTAGATAACCTCTTAAGCAATGAACAAGCGAAACACCATCTGTACGCTGACGATACCCAGTTATTATAAAGTTTTTCACCCAATAAATCTGCATATAATCTAACACTATCTCAACTGGAAAAGTGTTCCCTCAAGATCAAGACTTGGATGAACTCAAATATGCTCAAGCTAAATGAAAACAAGGCTGAAGCCATAACATTTGGAACAACAAAAAAATTGTCTAATTACAATACCAGCCCCATTAAAATTGCTCGCTCCAGCATCTGTATTTCATCCTCAGTGAAAAATCTGGGAGTGATTCTTGATCCAGCTTTGTCTATGAATAAACAGGTTGACGACGTTCGTTCAAAATGTGTGCTCCATCCGAAATCTAATTACTCCTTCTGTCACGGCAACACTAGTCCGTTCCGTTGTATTTTCCCGTTTGGACTACTGCAATAGTTTACTTGCCGGAATTAATAAAACATCAATTTATAAACTGCAGCGCATAAAAAACAAGGCAGCGCGGATCGTGCCCCCCTGTACTCAAGGTCACTTCACTGGCTTCCAGTGCAAGCGGCGAGAATCGACTTTAAATTGATGTATCTCACATAATAATGCATATACTGTTAAATGCCATTTTATCTGAAAGAACTGGTGGTATCTTACATGCCATCGAAAAATCTAAGATCAAGTACTAGGAACAACCTTGTTGTCCCAAAATCTAAACTAAGCGCCTTTGGAAATCGCTTATTTAGTGTTGAATTTGTGGAACTCGCCACCTGAAAATCTTCGATTCAGTCCATCATTAGACTCCTTTAAATCCAGAGTGAAAACATACTTATTTGAGAAATATTTGCAAGAGTGATTGTGTGTTTTGTAGCGCTATGAGCACGACTATATGTGGAATTAGCGCGATATAAATGAACTTATTATTATTATTAGAATCGAACTAGAAATACGACAAACCGATCATCGAGAGAGCTGTGTTATTAGTATATATCATGTAAATCTATTTTGTGTGAGTTTGTATTACTTTATTTTAGTTATCCAACCATTTATTGATCAACTTGAAAGAAGGAATCAAGAGTATGATTGATGGTGGTGATATCAAAACTGTTGCCCAAAAAGTTATTGCCGACCTCACTGCTGATGTTCATGCTATGTTCTGTAAGTGTTTTGAATATATTTCTTATTTTCATTCAATCTTTAGAAATATGTCTAGTCATTTTATGAAAAGAATATAAATCGAGGAACCGATCTCTAGGCATTCCTGTTCTAAAGTCATGTTGCATTTTCATTGATTTAGTAATTAATTTGGTACACTCTTGGTAAACTAAACAAAGATTTAGTAAGAACAATGAGTTTAATTCTTTAATTAATTCTACACATCATGTTTTCAGCAAAGAACCTTTTTGTTATTGATCTTGAAAAGATGGTTGAAAATCTGGTTCCTGAAGCTGCTAAAATGGTAAATATAGCCATACTTTAAGCAAGATGCAGCTATTGCTTCAAATAGTTAAATTCTGTTTGCTTACGGATAATACTGTGTATTTTTTGCTTTCAGCTGACCCACATCAACAAGAGATTTCTTTTAGATGATTTAGTTAATGGAGTCAAAGATAGCATCGGTGATGTTGTTGGTATGTTAACTAATGGATTTGGTGGTTTGAAACAATTCTTTTCTGGAATCGTCCAGACAGCTAACAACGCCTTGGCGCCATCCCTCACCAATGTCAAGGCCCTTGCCACCACCGTAAGTAATATGTATAACCTCTCTGACCTGTTATCTAATCTATATTTTAAAAAAAGATGAGGGGAATAATTAGAATTTCCCAGTATGCTGCATGTTACTACGATGTCTGGGATAATAAGTCGTACAATACGATAATATAGAATGTAACCTTTACATTGTTATCAGCTTGAAAATAGAATAAGTCTATTTTTTTTATATTTTTCAGTTTTTGTCTCACGCTACCCAGGTAACAGCTAATATTGCTGCCGAAGCTTTGAAATTCTTCAAACCATTCGCCAGTGCCCTGGGTCCATTATGGAACCAAATCAATGGTCTTGTTACTCCCCTTTTACAAGCTTCCCAATAATTTAAGAAGTTAATGGAAATAAAATACTAAAACACAAATATTATTGGGGTTCTGAAGTCTTTGACATATCCTATAATATTTTCTACCGTGTGTTGAACTTGAAATTGGGATGAAATTACGCTACAGGGTTTTTCTGAAGTATAAAATTGAGTAGTTTTTTGCGTCTGTTTTCGTTTTTGTGGGCAGAATAAGAATACGCAGATCTACGCGTCTGTTACAATATTTTCTGAGAAGATGTCAGTTCTATGAAGTGTCAAATAGTTCGGGAGTGGGGGAGGAGGTTGTGGTTTCTTGAGGTTTTGTGTTAAATAAACCACGAAATCTTAGGATCGGAAATGATAAAAAAAAAACTATTTGATTGTTTTAAAAGAATCCAACCAAGTTACAGCGTACGTTACTGCGGAAATTATTCAAACCATTCCCAAAGGCCTTGGGTCCATTATGGAGCCAAATCGATGACCTTATTAGTGCATAACGCAAATTGATAGCGTAATGGTTTTTCCAAGTATTCTTTATCGCCTTCAGATATAGTAGCATTATATAGTTGAATAATATTATGATTATTAAAGACTAGAAGAATGCCTGGCTTCGCTCGGGGGTCATAACCCCGAAACCGGAAGTGGTAGACTAACGCCACCTGGCCCGTGTTACTCCCCGGTCTGAGCTACCCCTATACCCCAAATTTCAGACTCGGGGCAGACCTAGTGTAGCCGCCAACCCCGAACAGACAAACAAACAGACAGACAGACAGACAAACGACAGTCACAAATATTAGTATAGATGGATAGATAGATAGATTAACTTTGAGTTTTAAAAAATGTCTGCTTGCCCTACATTGCTCACCTGCAAAAACAGATGGTCCAATCTTTACACCTAATCTGTACTTTTATTTGTGTCAGTGGAGATTTTTCTGATGAGGATTTCGCACATTTCTCCTCCGCATTGTGTTGTTAGTAAAACACAAGTACAATCCAGTTAAAAAATGAACATTGTTATTTCCGTTTTGTATTTGTCATTTTGGATTCAGGGATGTACATTATATTCATGTGGTCTGGCATCGGGGTTTTGATTTCAGATTTGACTGGGGTAAAGGCCACCAGAAGACACGGCCTGTCAACTCAATTCATAAGAACATTGTAGACTGATCAGTAATATTATGAATCAATTAATTAAAACAGATGATAAACAAATCAATGTGGTTAAAATCATAATAAATCCAAGACAATGCTGAGTACCAAATAGTTCACGATTAAGATATTGCCGAAATGCTGTTTGCTGTTCCTGGTGGTTGTAGCTTATTCCAACACTAACGACGATAACCCGGAATAAATGATTAAAAGTGGCTAACGGTCACAATAACGAGATAGGTATCGCTAGAGCGAGCCGAACACCAGACTATAAAGTTACAGTAGAACTGGGAACATATCGAGGGTTTAGTCAATATATCAAGCATTGTGACTTATCACAATTGTGTTCTAAACCCTCGATATACAAGCTTAGGATTGAAATAACTATATAATAATATTTGATAAGAAATGTTAAATTGCACATAAGAAACAAATGTTCAATACAGAAGACGGTACTGACATAGCAAGAACGTGCGTTAACTTAATTACGTAATATATATCGTTACATTAAGTATAAACCCAAACAATTAAAAAAAAAAGACTTCAAATATTAATGAGATATCAATAATTCGGACATTGGTCTATTACTACTTTAACTAAAATTATACAATAAAATACACCCATATACAAAGATACACTATAACAACACCCCTCGACTTCGACAAGCTTTTGACAATATAGGCAAATAAATGAATTTATATAGATTTAAGAAAGGGCTAACAAGGAAGCAAAGTATCAGTATGACCATAATGTAAAATTTAGATGGAAATGCAAGAAAAATAATTAACAAATTATAAAAGATAATATTTACACAAATATTGTATCAAATTACAGATACGTCCGATCATTGTGCCACATAATCTGTTGCATTCGTGCATGGGGATGTTGCAGATATCTAACATGCTGGTCATATTGGGCGATAGACGGGTCAAACGTTATTTGGTCCAGGTATTTTTTTTTTTTTTTCGCATGGTCCGTTATGTATAATTTAGCAAAATCATCATCGGACACCCCACGAATTCAACGTTGTTGAGAGACCCCTCCAACGAATTAAATATTCCTGTTTACATCGGCATTCACATTAATTTGTGCTCTTAGTTCAGCGATTTATCACATTGTGCTCTTAGTTCATCGATTTATCACATTGCGCTCTTAGTCCATCGATTTACATTTCAATAAACGCTGTCTGTATTCGCTGGTCCTACGATGTTCATTTGACAAGTCTGATTCATATTTTCTATATAACACATGGTTTCTACCGAAACCAAAGGCAATGAGTCGGTCTTCAACAGTTTTAGGCACCCTGGGCACATTTGGATCACTTCGTTTAGAAGAAATTAACGATACCTGCTGAAAGTCACTTTTCCTAGTAAGAAATACTGGACGACGCATGTTGATCACGCGTTTTCTTTATTGAGGAACGACGCTTCTTCTCCGGATTAAGATAAGTGGAATATTGCTCCACTTAAAACATATTTCTGTGATACTGTAATACGGAAAATATGAGGAACTAAATACTCTACCCGCTTTCCCCATCAATTGTCGAAGTGCTGTTTCCTGGAGGCTGCAATGTAGCTTATTCCAAAACACTAACGACGATAACTCGGAATTAATAATTAAAATTCCACTTTTTATAAACAACAAAACAGTGGCGGCGCCAAGAGGTGGGGGGGGGCAAAATATTGTGGCGAAAATATTCATTCAGGTTGATTCAAACACTTCGTTTGTTTGACACTTTCCTCTCTTGTCGGATCAACTAGTGATTTGGCGACAAGCGGTATCTGTTAAGCTCTATTTATCTCGACGAGCAGTGCCTGAAATACTGTCAGACTGCATTTCCGGCAGTCTATTTTTTCAAATTTTCGGGGGCTTTGTTAAGGTCCGCAAGTCACTTTCCTCTCTGGTCGCAGGCGGTATCTGTTCAGCTCTATTTATCTCGGCAATCGGTACTGTCAGACTGCATTTTCTTCTGTCTATTTTTCGAACTTTCTGGGGGAGGTCCCCCATACCCTCCGTAGAGGCTCGCTACTTTGACGCCCATGTGGGCGCTTCGTCCAAGTTCACAAGTCCGGTCGTTTGATACTGGTCGGATAAACTAGTGGTCAGGCGACAGGCGGTATCTGGTCAGATCTATTTATCTCGACGATCAGTGCCTGAGATACTGCCACACTGCGTTTCTGGCAGTCTGTTTTTCAAACATTTCTGGATGAGACCAATCCCCTCCTCCTCCAGAAGATGATATTGAAATAGCAAGAACGTACACTGTAAAAAAAAATTCTGGGTTTTTTTTTTAACAGACAATTTCTGTTAAGTCACAGTAGCATGTTTCTGTTGAAAAACAGGTAAAATTACAGGAAAAAATCTGGTAAATTTGCTGCCAGAAAACTTTCTGTTCTTTAACATAATTATTTTGGTTAAATATAAAACAAAATCATCTGTAAAAAATAATTTATTATCTGTAAATGTAATGTTCAGTCATGAATTTACAAAGATTTAAAAATGAGCAGGCTTTAAGTGCAAGAAATTTGACATGGCTTTAAATTTTGTGATTTCTGAAGGCTAGGTTTACTAATGTCTGCTTACCCTCTTCTTCTTCTTGGAATTTGTTTTATCTTCAATATAAACCTGAAGTAAAATTATGAAACACATACAGAAACATGAAATTAAAGGGTGTTAACTTTCCTGCATATGTCATGGTTTATCCTACCAGCGACATCTTACCAAGGCAGCGGAGATAACTGTGTGGGGCTTGTTAGTCCAAACTGAACAAATTCCAACCTGCACCATTGACAAGGAAGGACAAGTTGGAAAACAGATATGGGTAGCTTTCTTGGCTAATGGTTAATAAGCCATCATATAAGCCAAATATCACGAGGGTTATTTGTTTGTATCTCATTAAAGATATATTTTACCAACGTCATAACAGAATGACGTCCTGTGGTAGTTGTATACAAAGTAGATGGAACATCTTTTATAAAATAATATTTAAAACTCAACATTTTTTATGTCGACAAAAACCAAAATGATGTCATGTTGGAACATAAAGGGTCAGTTAAGAAAATATTTTACTTTTACATCTTCTTAAAATTAAACCACGCAAAATTTTCTCGAATGAAAGTTGAGTTAAATATTTTTTCTTCGAATTAAAAATTGTGCGTTGTAGGACATACAAGCGACTAATTAACCTCTCCGATGAACTAGTACCGGCAATTCTCTCTCGATTTCCTTCACAAGCCCATTCCATTTGTTGCTCTGTGTTATAACATAAAACATATTTTTGAATATGCCGATTGTTTTATCTGTATAACCACACAGACTCAAACACGCCACAATTATATGACAAAAATTTAGACGGGGATTGGTCCAATGGCTATAGTGGTGTTACTATCGTGATTTCTTTAATACATTTCGGTTTGCCCCCCCATCCCCTTCATCTTTAAAATCACGAATATCGCCATGCAAATGTTTGGGAGAGAAGGAGAAGGAGAAGGGGGGGGGGGTCTACATTATTTTCAGAAAACATTTGGGTTTTATTTACCCAATTTGAAGCATTCCGTCATTGAGCTTACATAAAAATGATAGAGAAATCAAAATCAAAACTCGCAAAATTGTTCCTGAAATGTAAAGATTTCGGTGTCTAGTGTTTGTGTTGATAGAAAATGCAAATAAAACACGGACGGTTCTGATTTTTTAACAAATGTATTGAATGTTTTGGATTATACCATTACATATGAAATATGTTACTAATTGAGTTTGCATTGATTAAATAATAGAATATAGATGTAGAGATGAATAAATATACCAGATCAATTAAATGATTTAATTAAAATAAAAGCTACGGTTCACCAAAGCTACAGCTTGTTCGCGATTCATTAAAACCAATTGCATGGGTGACTACCATTCGATACCCCTCCATAGCTTCTATACGAGTAGTTTAATTAGCATTATTTGTTGATTCATATAAGTATTCTACTTAATTAATGACCCATTACTGAAATCTATTAAGCCCTAGATAGATACAGATGTTCATTCAGTATCCTCGAGTAGCCGAAACGTGATTATCAAACATTTGGATTAAATTCGTTTTATAAGGGAAAACTTTTGATATTGTGTGCATAATGATTAAAAGCAAATTTGTAGTTATTTGTTAATTGTACTTATAGTGTATTTAAGTCTGTTTTATATTATTTAATCTGAATTTTGTAATTTGTAAGATTCATCTTTCACAGTATATGTTCTGTTAGACCAGTTACCCTTGCCTTATCCTGGCTTATGTTGCTGAAGTAAAGATCTATATGGATATGATGGTAAGCTATTATCTTCACCTTTTTCAAAATCTGTTACAAAACATGGATTTCACTTTATTAGTTAAACCTGCTATCTGATATCAAAATATTAATATATAAAATCGTTAATACCCATAACAAAATAGAATCCCTTTTTTGAAACATTAATGACGTTTTATTTTTATTATTGCAAATTTAATAGTAAATGGAAAGTGTGTAGTAATATCGTTGATGCGAAATTGTATTTAAATTTATAAACAAGGAATAGAGATATAAGAGGGTTTAAACAATATTTGTATCTTTACAAATTATTCTCTATTGTCAGTATATTTGCTATGGTGTAAGTTTACTTAAAACGCAAATTAATTGTTTATGAAATAGTGTGAGAATAACAAGAAAGAGAGTCTAAGTTCAAGGATAGATTTTTCAAAAAAAAAAAACATGTGATGGAAATTTACCTATTGCATTATTTGGTTTAGTTTGAAATGAAATGAAATGGAGTTTAACGTCCTACTGTTCTGCTCCTATGCTGGGCTAATGAAGACGGGTGGTTTAGTTTGACCAATCTCTGTAATTATTTACATCATATTTGACCAATTAGATAATTGAACGTCAAAACCCAAGCTACAAAACTATCATATTTGTGAGAATTCGTTAGACAACATCTTGATTCCAGAAGGGGAAAGATGTAACAGTTTCTATCAGCAGACCCGCCCAACGAGTCTGCCTGAATGAGGTTTGATAGAATGACTTTATTCTATTATGCATTGTACCATTTGTAAGCAGCTATGACATATAAAATGTAAAAACGAACTGTTGCATTGTTATTCCTGGTAAGACAAACGTCTGAAGAAAACAGTAAGAAGTAAATACACAACGTGAAGCAGAAGCACAGACAGCTAGAGACAAATTCTAGACGATCACAAGGCTACTAAGATATGTAGTAAGAAAAGACGCATGGGCCGTACGTAGGATGTGGCGACCGGTTAGGGTCACCCGCTCTCCACGTCAGACAGAAGACCCATGGTGCTACAAGTGAAATTGTGGACATTCCGTTAAAAACTGAGACATAAACAACTGTAACTTATATATTTTAGGAGGAATATTTGTTTGATCATGAAGAGTCATTGTTAGGTGAGAAAACTTCTTACGGTGCCATTGTTCCTGTTCCTACACATCCCTCTAAATCACCACCAGACCCTTGGGTATGTATAGATCTTGAAGTGGTTAGTAGTCTATATTGATAGGACTCTGGGCTACCCTGGATTCACCCAATCAAATACCCAGAAATCAGACCTTAGTCTACATTGTGTCTATTCTATGAAGACACAAAGTTGGGCTGGGGGATAATAAACCAAGATTCTCAGTGGCTAAACTAAGCTCTCAATCAAAATATGTCAATTTAAATAACAATTAAAGAGAATATTTCCTAAATACAGTTTTCATATCAAGTCTAGTTTAAAATAATAATGTTGATAACAAGATAACGTGTATTTGTTATTTTTTTTTCGGAACAGAGTATCCCGTTTAAGCATAAACAAGAAAAATCTTCTTATTTATGCCATAGTAATAAAATTGATACCTCATACACACGCGTTTTGTACGTCTTGGGTGATATGAAATAGACCTGTCATTTGTCTGTCTGTGATTATTGTTTCTATTATGGTCTAGCAATGTGGTCTAGCAATGCCGCCAACTTCATCTATCGATATTATGTATTAGTAGTTTAATACGTCATGTACTTTGTAAATCAGACATTGTTTCGTGTGCAAATCTTATACTGATACGCTGGTCATCTGATGAACAGATTTCAGACACGGGAGCAGCCCAGGTTTTGTGTCACCTTTCAGAATTTTTAAGCTTTCATAAAAGCACATTGGGCTTCATATACTCTTTTTTGAATATATATATAGAAATAAGACATTTCTGAATTTATTTTTTACAGGGACCAGCACCAAGAACAGCCAGTTTTCAACACCAGCCATATGATAATCTGTTGGCCGCCATTGTGACTACCCTCTTTTGTTTCTTTCCCTTCGGTTGTTGTTCACTTTATTATTCTTTTAAGGTCGGTATATTTATTCGTATGTATTAAACTGCTTTGAAATTTTAAACAAGCCCAAGTAAAAAGGGGGGAAATAGTAGATATTTCACATGCTTGACAAATAAATCCCACTTGAGATGATGAAATCACAGGCGCCAGGAACATAGTAAATCTCTTTCAAAAATGACATTAAACTAGGGCTAAGTATTATGTCTAAAGTCTATTACGTACATGTTCGTAAGCAAAATTATCAAATTCAAGGGCAAATAACTGGACTGAAACCGAGTCTCTCTCAAGAGAAACACACTGCCAAAGAAATGTGGGATCAAAGTCCAGGACCTTGTTTCACAAAAACTTAAATCTCCTTAAAGATACATTATGGGAGATTCGATAACGAGTTGGCATTTCTCACTATAATTGTTAAAAACTAGATAATGTAAAGGCAATTTGCTGAAAATTTCATTCAAATTGATCCACTATGAACCAAGAACTAAGCGGCTGAAATTTCCGACTAGCCTTGATCATCATTACTAAAGTCAGTACGATAAACAGCATAGTCTCGATTATCCATTTAATCGTTAAACCGTGAAGGAAAGTTATGCAGTAAATCGGCTCATAATCCACTAAGGATTGCAGGCTAGCAATGCCATCTAGAGTTTATTATGGTCTGGATAGGTTAATTAATGTCTAATTAATAATTTAGATAACATTTCAGACCTAAAGAAAGACATGCAATAGACAGGTCACGAAAGCGATATTTCAAAGCGAATAATACGCATTAAACTTTTTTTTTTTTGTCTCTACGACTGTTTGGCCATGTGCAGACATTGTTACAACGTATGAAACTCTCATTGGTATTGTAACGATTAGTTCAACCTGGCAACAGTTTTCAGTTCCGAACCGTTATGCTTACTACCCTTAGAAGTGGCCTCGTCGGAATTGTGTATTTCGCGGGCACAAGCAATTTTAACTAAAATCTATTAAAATTGCATTTTAAGTTATAAGCAATCTTCGTGAAGCGCATAAAATTTAAAATTTCATTTTGATTTTAGTTAAAATCTATTTTAGTGATTTTAGGTTAAGTTTTTGTGAAAAAGGGCCCAGATCCCTAGAATCCGCCAATGCTCACTAATTTTCACTCTAAAGGTAATCGAGAGTTCGGTATTTATTTTAAAAAAAAGGCTACCAAGTTTTAATAAACATTGGAACCCAAAGGGATACCATAATAATATTGTAAATTTTAGAATGACAACACAATAAGTCAATATTGAGATCAAGTGGGAGAGAAATGCTGGTTAATATATAGCTTGGCTATACTTATCTATTATTATGTATTATTGTTAATTTAAGACTAGACGCTGTTATAAACAAGGGCAGTTAAGAAGATCTATAATGGCAGCAAGACATTCTCAGACCATGGCTCAGATGTCGTGTATTGTCGGCTTAATGCTTTGGTTTGGTGGTGCTATCACACTTTTACTCTATACGGAAGATTTGCTTTAAAGGCTAAAAAATGTAATTGTGCTTAAATGACACTTGATTGAAGCCAAAGTGTATACAAAGAACTACCAGAACCACCAAAAGACACTGTTGAAAACAAACGTATTCGTAGGATACAATGTTCAAATTTGAGTCTCATCAACAAGTGAACGGAAATATGTTGTATTTGAAAAATCAATGCAAATATAATATGATTCAATTGGTGCTGGTGTTATGTGTGTTTAAATTTTATTTATATTTAACTGTAAATTATATATCTTAAAATAACTTGGGTCTGTGTTCCTATACCAATGGTCAACTAAAATTAATATCTATATTAATCATTCTCAAATAAAAATGTCCTAGGGGACGTAGATCACTGTTACACTTCGGTCACACTTATTCTGTGTTACAAGCCAACAGAAAGATTAGTGCGAAAATTCCAGGAGGTTATTGACTGGACTTCAAGTTGTGTACTTTGTATAATCTATGAAACATAGAAAATCGTGTTATTCTACGCGATATGATGTCTTCCTTCGCGGAATGGTGTATAATTCTAGCTTAGGACCGGACGCGGCTGATGGTACGGTTTTCTAGAAATGCCGCATGATGTTTGGTAAAACTTAGGCGTGCAGGTTTCTTATAAAGGAGATACATATAGACTGACCCCTGGGAACTGTGTGGTATTATCAACCACAGTGTTGAGTGTACTAATGTGGACTATGCGTGCCCAATTTTCTTAGACTTAGCGCGTAGTAGAGGGACTATTTCTATGAAAGTATAACGTTGCCAAAAATCTGAAGATAGACAACGTTTCAAAATACATTTTTATACACCCACAATTCAGTGTAGATGTATTATGTCGTCACTCTGTCCGTCAATCTTATGAACACAATAGATTCTGTATTTCAAATTATTGATTTCAGCATTCCGTGACTTTTCGTTACAGAGTTTGCCCCTTTTTCCGAAAGCATTGTGAAAACGATAGAGTGTATAGTTTTTGGCTGATTTTAGCGTTCTGCTACTTTCCGTCTTAGAGTTATGTCCCCTTTCCCGAAAAATCTTGTGAACGCGATAAAGGATATAGTTTTTAATGAGTAAGACGCTGGCTCGCTAACCTGGAAGTTCCGTGTTCAATTCCGGTGTTGGCCGAGAAAGTTTATTGGGATTTTCCTTCGGTGTTGCCGCTTGTCAGTAATACAGGGCAGTCGTTCGGGTGGTACGAAAAACTGAGGTCCCATGTACTCAGTAGCGTGTACATAAACGATTCCTTGGCAGTTGTAATTTGATATAAGAATAGGTCGTAGCGGCGCTTTCTGGGCAAAATTTCCCTCGTGGCGCACTTTAAGGCGTGTGCCCGTTTTCATTAGAGCATGGTCGGAGCAGAACAGTAGGACGTTTAACGCCATTTCATTTTTTAATGGATCTTTTTCATATTTGGCTTGTAGCATTCGGATCATTGGTCCCTATTGATATTCATAATCCGCAGACTTCGGTTCCTGATTCAACTCCAATTAACCCCACCCCACACACCCCTTTGCCGAAAACCTTTTGGACAAGCTTCAGTTGAGACAAAACTGTCGTGTGGTCGTATTTCATTGTTTCAAAATACTACTGCCATGGTGTAAAATTGCAAAGTACAAATTGTAGGTTGTCGTCCATCGTGCAAATTAAAGTCGAGAACGTTTTTCTTTTATTAATTGAAACTTCAAAGGCTTATGACTTGACTTGGTTGCACATATACTGACAGAATATCTGGTATTCTCAATCATAGGCGTAGGAGCCAGATGAGTTTCTTGGAGGGGGGGGGGCCGTAATAAAATGCCCAAAAAACGCTCTTCGGGGCAGAAATGTAATGGTCGATCGCCAGCGCGGTTTTCCTGCCATTATGGCCCGTAAGTACACCAACTAAGTGGGCAAATATAACCTTATATACGTGGCTTTGCATCCGTAAATCCCATTCTTTGACCACCGGAATTCGTGATTATTTTGTTTGTTTTGGGTGCAGGGGGCAGAAATGAAGGAGTAGTCGATCTCCGTGCTACACGACTGATAATGGGAATCCAGGATGGAATACCCCTATGGAATTTCCTAAGCCATCACTGGGATGGAACCCGGGACCTCCTGGTTAGTGAACCAGTGCCATATGTTAGGTAGAGAATGATACCAAATATAGGTATAATTTACAGATGTTCTGGAGAAGATGTAAGCTATATAATAATAGTGAGTTTAATATAAATGATACATTACATTATACATAAATATACATTATGATCTATGCATTCAATTTAATTTTTGTACAATATCATCCCCATTCCCCATCCCAGTATTATGCGGCATTACTTTGAGCAAAGTTTAATAGTGCAGTTTAATAATAATTTTGTAATTTTTTTCCTGTTGAAGTTTTCAGTGAAATTCCTATATAAGCATTACAACGTTCTAGCTTTTCAATTTATTTTCTTTAAAATCTATAAACTAATTATATATACAGCAAAAACAGCAGCAAGCCAATTACCAAGGAAAGAAATAACTTGTCCTTTGCAACCATAACAGATCCGATTAACAGCTCTGGTCTTTACTAGCGTTTGGACTAAAAATATAAAATAACAGTAAAGACAATAGTAAAGGGTATTTTAAAACAGGATCCATTTTAATAAAGAAACACAATCTATATTTTCACGTAAATGAAATGAAGTTTAACGTCCTACTGTTCTGCTCCTATACTGGGCTAATGAAGACGGGCATACGCCATACAGTGTGCTATGAGGGAAATTTTGCCCGGGCAGCGGCACCATCGCCTATTCTTATATCGAATTCCAACTGCCAAGGGATCTAACCTCGCTATAATTTCGAGCAACTCTAAGTATAGTACAACCCCGAAACTATTAACCAAAAGAATAAATAAAAAATACTCACCTTAAAAGAAGAATATAAACAAAAACAACCACATGATAGAACTATCGAGGTGAACAAATGCTGGTTTTGTTGAAACTTGTCTACTTGTGGTGCTTGGCCCTTCACAATGGTGCCCAATCGACACTGAAAGACAATAAAAATAGATCAACAGTTACAGTAAGTACTAAATAGGAAGTTTTCAAAGTAGTATCAAATGTTTCGTATGATTATTCTACCTCGTATGCGACACCCACTATAGGAAATGCTGTTGCTTGCGATAATTTGTTGTGCATGAAATTGAAGTTTAATTAAGAATTGAAACAATCGTTAAGGAACGTAGAGAGGTAAAAACTGACGAATAAGGTTTTGTGTGTACATACCGATAAGACTCGTTTTGGGGTTTTTTTTTAATGACGACATCGTACGTCTTTTCTTTGGTAACCATGGTTCTTCCTCTTGATCGAATAGATATTCCTCCTGTTAAAATATAGGCTACTTAATTACATTTTTTTGAGATATTTCTCCTAAATTTTGAGAATTTTGTTTGTTTTTAGTAGAAATATGTAAACGGTATTTAAATGTTCGGATCTAAATTAATGAGGCATTAGGCCCAGGTCTTCAATCTAATTTAGCAGTGGGCATGACTATTTTTAAAACACTAAATTTCAACTGCAGATAACGTTTACTTTCCAAATTATGATGAAATCAAGATCAAAATCCATATTTTGTGTAAATTCTATAAAGCTTACCATAGTATCCATATATATACAGCTCTACTTCAGCAATAAATAAGTCGTTGATTAGCTAAATTTTTAGCTTAAATTATCACAGAATATACACAGCTGACCGTAAAATATATTAAAAGAAAAAAACAAGAAATGTTAAAATATTCAATTTTAAACACATTTACAATTACTATAAACAGTTATAAGTAATGGACCGTAACTGAATAAAACGTCCAACTATCATAACTGTTCTTATACTAAATCATTAATTATGATTGACAATCCTCAAAATCTATTAATATAATCAAGATGTATTATCTATGATAATTAATACCAAAGAGATAAAACAGAGTAGTCTGTGATAAAATCATTTCACAATAGGTACACTTCCAGAATCAAAGAAAATGTACAATGCGAGCATACGGGATAATCCGATATTAAATAGTCATTTAGCATAATATGTTAAATATGCACCTATTACACTTCACCCATAATCGCATTCTGTACAAGTGAAATATTAGTGATATAAGTAAAACAATAACCAAAGATAAGATAATATATCTGTATGTGAACAAATAGATATACTGTTCGTCATGTATACAATATTATACACACATGACAACTGTTTTTATTTATAGATACATCAAGCGAGATTCACATATTATATCAACAATCAAGAATATTTACAGATGCATTATGTAAGAGCTAAATCTGGCTATTTTGGCCTCAAATGCTATATTTAGACATTTATTAACATAACAAGCCCATAATCAACTCTCTAGTCCATCGGATAACAGATTGAAATGGATTAGAACGCCCGCGAGATTTAAAAAATTAACGATAAAATGGATAATCGAGACTTCACCTTCCAACACCCATAACTTCACCCAGATTAAAGTAATACAGTATATTCATTTTATAATATCTATTTTTGAACTATTTTAGCACGAACGGCTAACTCTTTTTCTAAATTTGACATAAAGCATATTTAATATTTTAGTTTATAGACCGTTAGTCTAGCCCTAAAAGATGTATGAATTGTAATAAAACAAATAGAATTTACCTTCAAATGGACCAAGTTAAACTATTAGATAACTTTTAAATCCATATGTTTTTAGACTACTTTTGGTTGCTTATCTTCTTAGATGCTACCGACGTCTAGATTCCAGAACTTTATAATCAGGGTATATGTAGAAGGAAATGAAATTCAACAAATAAGTCCACTTTCACAAAAATTAAAGATATCACATTTTGGATATATGGGTACTTCTAAAGATTTGTTATATATATTACTAATGATGAATATTGATCAGAAGGGTAATTTTCAAATTATCTTGTTGACATTCGACATTTGGTCGGAATTATTCGATTCTGAAGGCGAGCATATCGGTCAAGGCATGTTAATTCACACCTTTAAACGGGATTTTTTTTTCGGCCATTTCATTTCCATTCTTCCTCAGTATTGTTTTCCAAAACGTGTGATGGACAGACAGTCACACAAACAGATGGACGGACCATTTGAAAATACATATGCTAATAGATTTAGAAAATAAACATAAATATATTTAGACAAAGAGTAAATATAAACTAATTTAGACGATGGAACAATATGTACACTGTAAAACGTTTTCCGTAAAATTTACGGACAAATGGCTGGCAGCTAGGTTGCCAACCAATGTACGTAAAAATTACGACACACCGTAAATATATTTTTACGAACATGTCGTAAAAATTACGACCAAAGATTGGCAACCTAGCTGCCAGCCATTTGTTCGTAAATTTTACGGAAAATGTTTTACAGCTGTAAAAAACTTATGGTATGATAAGCATCAAAAAGACATTTACTTAAGATTTAAAACAGAATTTAATTATTCAAAACAATATAAGATACAATTCCTCAAAAATGCTTTTACATGATAGTTTAAGATATAATAAAAGACCTGAAAATACTGGAAATTGGAGATTACTGTCAGTAAGTAAAGCTAACAACTGCCTTAAAAAAATAAAAAAAACCCTGTCAACCACAAATTCATATTTTTAACACATTGGATCAAGAGCAGATTTGATATTACAATATGGAGAATGTTTAGAGATCTAACATATTCTTTGGCTGTCAAGCAGTTTGGTGGTATATTTCAACAAAAACAAAGCTCCTTACATAATTCTTCATTAATAATAATGAACATTTGTACATGGAATAGTGACGACTTTAAAAAAAAGAGAGAATTTGTTGCCCTATTAACAAGGGAAATAACTCTCCAAAATATTTATCAAGTTCTCACAAGACAAACAAACAAAAATTTCCAGCAATTAAAAAATGTGAAAATTTCCATGGATGTATCAAATAATGGGTAGCAACTAAATATACTATTTAAAAAAAGTAGGGGATATTTGATTTTGGGGGCATAATACTAAAATATGCAAATGACTACGAAAAAAGTCACTAGAGAACCTGACAGAAGAATCATTTCCAGTTACATGTGACGCCCAAACGCACCAATAGCTACCGCATGGAATGCAGGTGATGCTTGGGATCATCATGGGGGTCCAACCCAAGATTTGCACGACTCTGACTTTGAATGTTACAGTCATTGTGGCATTGAATTCCAGGGTGGAAACATCAGTTTAATTGTTTTAGTGACCAGAAAACAAATTTTGATATGCGTCGGCTTACCCAAAATGAAAGGTTACGTGCCCTTGGCATGCTACAGATCGGCACAACACAGGCGGTTGTGGCGCGGACGATGAATGTTTCTCAGTCTGTCATAAGCAGGCTATGGTCCAGATACCGTGATACACAATCTGTACAGGACAGACCACGCTCAGGTCGACAACTCAAGCCCAGGATCGATTTATCCGTACCTTGGCCTTGAGAAATCGTGTCATCACAGCAAATCAGATCAGCGCTCGTCTTCAAACAGACACTGGTGTGAGAGTGAGTGGCCAGACGATTCGGAATCGACTGCATAGGGGTCACCTTCGCGCCCGACGTCCTCGCGTGATCCCTTGTTTGAGAGATCATCACATTCAGGCAAGACGTCGTTGGTGTAGGGATCGTCAACACTGGGATAATCGACGCTGGAGCAATGTGATGTTTTCAGATGAGTCAAGGTTCACTGTTGATTTTTTGGACAGACGTAGGAGGGTGTGGCGTCGTCGAAACGAGCGCTTCCAAGACGTTAACGTCATCAGACATGATCGATTTGGGGGTGGTTCTGTTATGGTGTGGGGAGGCATCACTGTTGCTGGAAGAACGGCTTTACATGTTGTTGCAGGGCGTGTTACAGGCCAGTACTACCGGGACAACATCTTGGCAGTTCATGTTGTGCCGTTCGCACGACGTCATGGCCGCCGTTTCATCTTCCAGGATGACAACGCAAGATGTCACAGGGCCAGGATCGTTACAGGTTACCTCCAACAACAGAACATCACCACATTACCTTGGCCAGCACTGAGTCCCGACCTCTCCCCCATCGAGCATGTCTGGGACATGCTTGGACAGAGGTTACGTCAACGTCAACAACGTCCTGCCAATGTCCAAGAACTTGCTGCTGCGTTGCAACAGGAATGGGACAATCTGGACCAAAATGACCTTAGGAGTATGCCACGTCGGATCAATGCTTGTTTGGCAAACAGAGGAGGATTTACCCGTTACTGACTTGGTTGTGATGCTGTGGTAACTTTGCTGTTTGACCCCGGGTATCATTTTACCCTTATAATGGTCAGTCTGTGCCTTACTTAGTCTAACGATCATTTGGAATAAATCGATGAATGTGAACTTCATTTCATTTTGTCATTTGTTTCTTCGTCAGTTTCATTAGGTGACTTTAATAACACTTAAAAATCAAATATCCCCTACTTTTTTTGAATAGTAGGGCTATTGAGATCTACCAATCGACAACTCCATCAGAACACTATAAAATACTAGTATATAAAATCACCCGGTCTGCTAAATAAGCGACCGTGATATCCATAAAATCCACTGGTCTGCCAGACAGGCGAGCATTTCTAATCTGCAGTAAAACACACCCCACTTCAGCTAATCAACCCTCTTATATAGGCCAACAGCACGTGCACCCCAAGATTATACAAGAGTTTGGGCGATCCATATAGGTAGTCGAGTTTAGGCAACCCATCAATGTGGTTGAGTTTGGGAGAGCCAAACCTACTCTGAACGTTGAACACCTGTCAAGTTACGAAATCACTACATCATGTATGTCCATTTATTTGTCTAGCCTAGTAGAAGAGTCTATTCTTACTATTTCATAAATCAGTTACCGTACATTTTTACGAATGCTAAGAATCAATCTATGTCAAACAAAGATGTGTCCCTACTGTATACTTACCTAAAACTACAATGTTTGGTATTGACTGTAGTGTTCAACTATTGTGCTCGATGTTGAGGGATTCCTCTTTGCCGCTAACTAACGGTCTTCTCAGTAATGGCGCCCAGGAAGACCGATGACATCACTTTAATTTAAACACCCGTATGTCATATTTACGGACGAAATTCTGTATTTTTCAAATATTTACAGACTCGTGTCTGTTATCAGGATAACAGAACTGCGCTGTAGGCATTTTACAGAAACAAGTCTGTAAAATTTACAGAAAAGGCTTACAGTGTAAATAGATTTTTAAAAGTGTTATATTTGCTTGAATGCACAACCAATTGTGGAAATTACTGATTGGTTTATGGACTCTTAATATTTTTTAATGCAAATTTATACTGTTAAGATATGATCTGATTGTGTAAATGCAAATACTTCGGGGGTTTTGTTTTTTCATCTCTCCTCTTGTCCACGCGAGCTTTGTGGGGTAGACAATCTATTAGATATTTTTGTTGGCCCTCAGATCAAATAAACAATAACAGCATTATTCTTTGTTTCGGAGACCTGGCACCCCATTTTATGAAGGAACATTTCGCCAAATTGGACGACAGAAGATGAAAACTTATATTAAATTCTTGTTTGTCAGCCCACAAAACATAAATGACATATTACAAGGTATATCCAATGGATTTATACTAATTATATGGCCTTTTTGTGACACTTGCAAATTGACTTTCTGACACATTGGATCACTAAAAGTGAAAAAGTAATATTATATTGGTGTTTGTCGACCCCGTAAACCCGGTAAAGAATATATTACTCATTTGATGGAATATTCACATTAACCGTCATTTATTAAATGGAAAATGGGTGCCATATTGGATTTTAGTCACATTGGATTTCGGCCACACTGTATTTCCGAAGGTGATCAATTATATTATATTGTTTGTCGACCAAGAAGAGTATCTCATAGACATTTTAGAAGGTATATTCGAAGTCGAAAAATGGCCGCTATATTGGAAAATGGTTGTCCCACACCGAAAACATGGAGATAGGGAAAACAAATTGCAATAAATGAATTTATTTACTTCATTTCGCCTTTATTATCCCACACCTATTATAAATCGTTAGTTCAAATTCACAATCTATATATTCCGTATTGATGCCAGTATACAGGAACACAGTACTCAAGAACTGAGAAAGGCCATGTGTACGTGCTAGTTCTATTCAGATGGCGTACGTGTTCATCATTGACTGGACTGCTTTCTTTTCGCTTCCACATTATTAAAAATATTCAAAACCCGACAGACAGCGCGACGCTTCCCGACAAACTGAGCATTCATTAACGACAAGACCATAGCCTTCCCTGACAAGGCCATACCCCTACCCCCACCCCATTTTCAAAAACTCCTCGCCTAATGACCGATCACACAATTCTGAGCTCTTTTCAGATTTCTATTTTTTTTTCATGAAAATATTTGGGGGGAGGGGGGGGCGGTTCCCTCCCGGCCTCCCGGCCCCCCGCCTCGTACGCCTATGACTCTCGATGTCAAGGCTAGCCTTCGATATCGACTGGATGAGAATCCTATGTGCTGCAAACGATCATTGATAATTGAATCAAAACAATGGATAATCGAGACTTTTTAACGTACTAACTTTAGTTATGATGAACGAGGCTAGGCGGAAATATTTTGCAAAGCTAATATCTCGGTTCATAGTGAACCAATTTGACTGAAATTTTCAACAAATTACCTTTACATTATCTAGTTTATAACTATTATAGCAAGAACTGTCGGCTCCTTATCCAATTTCCCATAATGTATCTCTAAAAGAAATATATTATTGAACACAAATAGTTGACATAAGTAAGTGTACACGTACAGGGGTGTAACTATTTATAGATTTGTATTTATATTTACTATTATGATTTTTCATCACTTTGACCTATATGATAAACGCACTCGAAGATGCATTGCCAAATTTTATTTTATCTTGTGTGGGTGGTTTTGATTACCGATCAAAGATTAAATCGGTTTAAAACTTCTCTGCATATATCAGATTTCTGTTTAGAGGATTGTCAATTAGTATGATAAATTTTGTGTAAAACCATTGAACACTATTTTATGCTCAGTTACAATTCCTTCACGTGCTGTATACAGAAATCCCGCGTCTTCATTAGTCGGAGCAGAACAGTAGGGCGTTAATGGTAACTTCATTTCATTTGCATACGGTAAATATTTTCCCATGTAAAAGGCTCAGTGTGTAAGACCTTGTCTCGCTAACCTGGAGGTCCCGTGTTCCATCCCTGTGTTTACTGAGAAAGTGCGTCGGGGTTTTGCGGCGTGATTCTCCCTTGTCACTGTCGCAGGACGGATGGCCGGACATGGGACAACGAATAGTCGTTTGGATGCGACGAAACACCGAGGTCCCGTGTACACATTGGCGTAAAAGAACCCCTGGCAGCTGGAATTTGATATAGGCCTAAGAGTAGGCCGTAGCGCCGCTGTCCGGGCAAAATTTTCCCCTTATTGTTTGGCGTATGTCCGTCTTCATTAGCATAGTACGAGCAGAACAGTAGGATGTTAAGCCCCATTTCATTTCATTTCCTTTGTAAAAGTATTTATTAATAAAGTACCAATAGCATAGACTATCTCCCATGGCAATAAATATATTTTTCTGCAGCCGCATTAAAATAATAATTAGTTGTATCCTGTTTTAATTTTGTTCAATATTTTCTTTCGGATTATTTTTCACGGGTATTTGATTGAAAGGAATATTTGCCCAAGGACTAAGATTTATTATTTTAGCGTTTTTTAATAATTCGCATGTTCTTCCAGGAAGGAATGATCGTTCCGTTTTGTTTATAGTACAAATATAGTATTAAATTCCAGGTATAGAACCGTGACACCGTGAATATTAAACATTTCTATTTTTTCTCAGTCATTTCTGGATTTTAGCAGAACTTTTTTAATAGTGTGGTCCGTATATATTCCAGGCTACAGAATATGTATAATTTCTGTGTATGATTAACAAAACTAATATTTTACTAAGATTCATCTAAGGCTGTCCATTTATTGGAGAACCAGTTATATTTACTCTGACGTGGATATATTGCTGAAGTCTTGGTCTCATGGAAGTGCCGGTAAGTAACAGACACCAATTTACCCAATCTGCGATTTCTACACGTACAAAAAAAGTATATAACATGATGCAGATTGTTACTGGACTCTTTTCTGGAATTCAAAATAGTTAGCCTAGTTTAATTTACCCATCAGAAATATTAATTTCAAAAGTTATCCCAAATTAATCAAAATCATTGTGGTGAAGCAATCGTGGCATTTTCCATTTTCCAAAACAAACGTTGGCTTTATCATACAGACTTAGAACGTATAATTAATGTCGACGCTTCTATACATTTGTGTATCCGTATACTTGAAAGAACTTTAGTAAAACTGTAATTCCATCAAAAAAAGGCTATTAATTTTATAATTTGTCTGCAGGAACAATATCCGTTTGATGAAGAGAAGTTAATGACAGGAAAGACACGATGCTACGGTGCCACCCTGCAAACTCCTCAAAACAAGGTAGAAAAAACAACATGATCATGACTAATGATTATCCTTTTATGCCTCAGGTGTTTGTATCCGCTAATTTTATAAGACGGGGACGGGGCTACGAACAAATATTTCAGTAAAAGGTATACACTGTAGCCCATGGTTTTAGATAGCGGGTGGTTCCTGAACTTTTCAAGTTGATTAATACACTAAACCACAAACCGCCCGCGTAAAATAAGACCTGACAAGAGACTCATCCGTATGCAACCTTAAAACCTCGAGGTGCACGTTGGCAATAGTACACCTAATTAAAGGAGGCAAGTAGCTAACTCAATATCATCCACAGTCTTCGACATTGCAAACACGACTTATTGGTCAATTTAAATCAAAAGATGGACTTCTGATATCCAATATTTAAAGGAGCCAAATCGCTATTCTTAGGCACCTAGAAATGGATACAATTGGCTCGCAACGCATATGCATGTAATAATGTAATATTATTTATTTTATTCAGATTGTACAGGATCTAACACCAACAGCGGTCAACATTCAACCGAGCGATAATTTGTGTGTCGCAATTTTAACTACATTATTTTGCTTTTTTCCTTTTGGTTTTTTGTCACTTTATTATTCTTGTAAGGTTAGTACATTTGTATTTATTTCTATGCTCTATATTTTTGAGAATGATAATGTCAGTATGATTTATTTGCATGGGCCATTAAGTTTGGTTGAAAGTGGGAATCGACAACATCCTAGATAATGTGACAGAGTCAAAATATGATCTTGAAATGAAATGGTGTTTAACATCCCACCTTTCTGCACCGACAGAAGACGGGCATACGCCAAGCATTGTATCATGAGAGAAATTTTGCCCGAACAGCGGTGCTACGGCCTTCTCCTATATAGAATTTCAACTGTCAAGTGTTCTGTTACGTGCACGCCAATGTTACACGGAATCTCGGGTTTTCGTCACATCCGAACGACTTAACGCTGTCTCTTTCCAGGCCATCTGTCCTGCACCACTGACTACCCCTCTGCCCTGCTCCACTGTCATAGGGAAACCACCCTGGAAAATGCCGAAGAACTTTCTGGGCCTATACCGGGAGCGCACCCGAGACCTGGTTGAAATGATATAGTCAATATAAAAGTTCATCAGATGATTTGATAAAGTATAACTGTAAATGTGAATTCTGCACCCCCTAGTTACGGGCCTGACCATAACAGTTTCGGTTAAGATTCCATCTTTCTGAAATTCATATTGGTTGTCTATTAGGTAAAACATGCTATTGATTGATTTGCAAGATTTCAGATGTCAGATAATAATTTCCAGAATTATTCCCCTTTGTTTATATAATAAATTCATGAGATATTCCCCTTTGCTAAGAACTCTTGTTAGAACCTTAGAGGCATTAAATTCAATCAGATTTTTAAAAATTCGTATGGATTATTTAGTACATAACTGCACGGACGAATTAGCTGCTGGGGTATGTTTTGTTGTCAGGGAACTTATGATTGATGGTAATTGGAATTTCGGGTTATATTTCTGTTCTATTATTGTTATTTTCAGACCAGAAGTTACTACAGACAAGGGAAGTTGAGAAGATCTATTAATGCCGCAAAACATTCCCAAACCATGGCTCAGTTCGCGTGCCTTGTTGGCTTAATGGGTTGGTTTAGTGGTGTTATCACACTTCTAATATATATAAATCATTTACTTTAAAAAGTGAAACAGGAAATATGCCGATAAGAATCTCTATGAAAACTTAAAGAGTAGAATGTTTACGAAATATATTTTTATAAACTTAAAATAACAGAATGTCAGTGCACTTGACAGATATTAACCCTCGACAGGATGAAAATGCGAAGGTGGTAATCTTGAATGCTGCATCTTGTAATAATATGCGTGTGTACGTGTGTACGTGTACCTGCGTACGTGTACCAGTGACTATAAGTATTAAGTCGCAAATGTTGATCGTTGTATACCATTTGTAATCGATGTGATGGTGACAGTAGTAGTATAGTGACTTCAAATATTTATGTCTTAAAATCTGTAAACTTTGTGGGCAATGGTTATTGTTCTTTAACTCTAGTTGATTCTGGGCTGGATATGTGAACTTAACATTGGCCGACTGTTTCTACTCTCGGTCCGAATGCGTGATCTTAACATTCATTGGGCAACTGGCTCCCGCCACGGTGAACTACCCTTCACTTTTCAATGTATAAGGGGGGTTTTACGTTCACTTCCAGTAATAAATAACTATGAGAAAATGGATATTTTAAGAGTATATTTGATGAAGCTTTTATTTATTATATTAATTATATTAAAGAACATTATGGGAGATTAGATAAAGAGCTGCAAGCAGTTCTCACTATAATAGTTAAAGGAGCTAAGTCAAATATTTGGGACCGAGAAATTGACACAAATGGGTCGCAATGCATACAATAATGTAATATGAATGTATATAAATTGATTTAAATTCAAACGTTTCTGTTTTTACTGTAATTTTTAATCAGTTAGGTTCGGCGAAATACGCCAGTATTCTCCATCGAATTTCAATCTCTAGCGTCTGGTTATTCCAGTCTACGCCAATATTATTTATTGGGCTTGCTCTCCAGATAAGAATATGGAATATGCCTAGCCTCGTTTTTCGAGCCGCTTATAATTACAGATAGCACTGAAACGCATTATGGTACACGATTCGTGTACCAATTGTAAAATGTTTATTTTGTCTTAAATATTGGATATCAGAAGGCCATCTTTTCCCGGTAAGATCACAACATCAATGTTGATTTAAGCCGACAAATAAATTGTGTTTCTAATGTCGAAAATTTTTGATGATATTGAGTTAGAGTTAGTTAGATATGTTAGATATGTGAGTTAGATATGTTGATTTAAACCGACAAATAAATCGTGTTTCAATGTCGAAGATTTGGGATGATATTGAGTTAGAGACTTAGCTACTTTAAATACTAGACAATGTAAAGGGAATTTGCTGAAAATTTCAGTCCAATTGAACCACTCTGCACCGAGAATTTAGCGATTGAAATTTCAGCCTAGCCTCGATCATCATTACTAAAGTCGGTACGGTAAAAAAAAAACATAGTCTCGATTATTCATTTCATGATTAATTCATGTATGAAAGTTGAGCAGCAAATCGGATCCTAATACAGTAAATATCGCAGGCTAGCGATGACATCGAGAGTCATTCTAATCTAGTTAAAATCTCAAGGATCCGATGCCATTGGGAGTTGATTATGGTCTGGAGAAGTTAATTAATGTCTAATTAATAATTTAGATAACATTTCAGGCCTAAAGAAATGAAATGAAATGTTGTTTTATGGCTCCAACCGGGCTATATTGCGCCAAACATATAACACAAAAAAAATTACATGCATAAATAAAAACAATATCACAGTAATTAACATTAAAAATAAAAAACGTCTTCTTTGCATATAAATAATTAAATACAAAAATGAAACGATATATATACAAATTAAAATTTATGACAAAAACCTGTCTCTTTTGAAAAGTCTAACACTTTACCATATAAACCCGGTTGGGCAAACAATTGATGTAATGATTGACCACGGTAAAAATGCGATCTTACATCTTTGAGATGCTAGGGCTCAATCAGAATGTGCTTAACTGTCAAAGGAACATGACAGTGTTCACAGTGAGCGACATAAAACAACTTCATCTCTCCTGTTGGTCTGTAGGAGATTGGCCAATCTCCTTAGAGAGGCTTAAACATACATTATTCAAGTGCTAAATCTGATTATTGCAAGTCTTTCTTTAGGACTGAAATATTATTTAAACTGTTAATTAGAAATTTATTAACAAAACAAGTACATAATAAACCCTCGATGGCATCGGATTCTCGAGATTTTAACTAGATGGGAAAGCGAGGCTAAGTCTCGAATATGCAAGTGCCCTGGTTATCACAATGCACACATCTTCTCAAAACTACAAACAATGATAACATGGCTCAGAATGAAGTGATTTAATATTAAATTTTCAATATTTTCATTTTACATTATCTATTTTTGAGCTATTATAGCAAGAATGGTCACCTCTTTATCTAAATCTTTAATGTGACGAAGTTTCTAGTGCCGGCAAGATCCCACGACCGTCGCCAACGGCCATAAATTAAATGGTTTATTGAAGGTTTAAAATCCATATATGGAATTAAAAAGGGTGATTTGTAATAATATTGCTAGAATTTTTGCTCTTGAAATAAGATGCCTTTATATTTCATTAATTAATATCTTTGGCAAGTTAGTAATTTCAAACATATTCACATATATAATGTGCACTAAATCAACTTAGTCTGTAATTGACAGTTGACACATAAAAAAGAGTTATTTATCGAAAACATATGTCACTCATTTACCACCAGAATTACACGTGAGTGGAATTATTCTAATTGCATCATTTGATTTAAAGTAACCAATCATTTTGTTAATTACACAAGTTCAGGGCCATGATCACGCTTTATGGTGCATGATATTCATTTACCTTTAAAAGAAACCGGGGAACCCTGTAAGTCAGACTTGCATTAGATTCCAGAGATCGAGGGTACATCTGAGTTCCTAGACAGCCGAGAGGCTGGATAGGGTGGAGAAGTGGTTTTAGCTATATAGTATTGTAATTTGTGCTATGCTTGTATACCTGTATTCAGCTATATATATATATAAAATATGTAGAAGCGAACTATGCATTATTATTCCTGGTAAGACAAACGTCTTAAGAAACTGGAAGAAGTAAATACACAACGTGAAGCAGAAGTAAAGACAGCTAGAGACAAATTCTAGACGATCACAAGGCTACAGAAATATGTAGTAAGAAAAGATGCATGGGTCATACGTAGGATGTGGCGACCGGTTTCCCATAGACGCTCTCCACGTCAGACAGAAGGCTCATGGTGCTACATATTCTATTTGGTTGCCGTGACAGTTTCGACTTTTAGGGTAAGCAGAAAATTTGGAAGAAGATTAGAAGAAAAGAGAGTATGCATCACACGTTGGATGTGGGGAGTTCTCCCGGCATATTTCCCACATCTAACCAGTGACTGCATAGCACTGCATAGTCTTACATATTCGATTTGATGCCGTAACGAAGTTTCGACCTTTGGGGTAAGAAGTCACTTTAGAAGAAGAATACATATTTGAAGACGTTAATAAGAAAACCTGTTCAATCCAGCAACCGAAAAATTCTGGTGGAAAAAAAAAATCTGGTGGAGATATTCGAAAAATTGGGTAAATACATTTTGTTTGGAAAATTAAATGTGTTAAATTTGTTTAAAGACCAAATAATATCAATTTAAAGTTAAAATCTGATAAGAAACTAAATATTTAAAATTTAACTATATAGAGAATAAAATATAATCATTCATAAGTTGAGATTGATAGGTTTATTAAACAATATAATATCATGAGTTAGGTATGTATATTATCGGGTTAACATGACCTGTAGTAAATTTGAGTAAAATTAAAGTTAAAGAGAAAGTTTAGGGAGTAGGTTTTAAAAAAAATGTTTTGATATAACTAAGGAATAATAAAGAAACGGAATAGGGAATAAAATAAGGAACTAATGTTGTCTCCGGATCGCAGTGAGAACGACGGCAGAGCTAAGGATGAAGTTGTGAGTGATTAACTCTAGTTTCCTAGTTGGCCGTGGTTTTTACTGTGATTCGTTAATTTGTGTTTTTTGTTGTTTCGTATACTACATAATTTTGAGGCCCTTAGTCCAGGCCTTAGAGTTGTTGTAATTTAACTTTTAATTAAAAAGTTAGGTTATGTTGAAAATCCCATATGGTTAATCTAGGGATGTTGGTTATAGTTTTCCTGGGAAAAACTAAAATTAAAGGCTCGTTAAATTGTGAGATTATCGCAAAGTCATCAATACGAGTTTAATAGGAGGTTAAGTAAAGAATATGACACTTTTTAGAAAAGTGGAGTTATACGGTAAATTTTGTCCGTATATAATTTTATGTAATTAAATTTTTGCTTAGAAACGTAATATTAACGTTTAATATATACTGCTAATTGCTTTAAGCTATCGACATGAGATGATTAGAATGTGTATTTGACATTAGGTCAGATTATTATAAACAATAGGTTCTAACACTGTGTTAAATTTGACGTGGGTGAAAGTCACAATATATAGGATAAAATGGGATGTCATTCAGATAGTGGCCATATCTGTGTGTCATCCTGGCTAATGTAATAATAAAGAGAATGTTTATATAATGTGGAATGTGTTCTAGGTGAATGAAACTGCAGTCGTTTATTTGGGACACAGTTCTATTTTGGATAAATTGTAGTCTGGTATTGTCATAGGTGTGAGCTCAGCTTGTGTCAGTGTCAGTCTGATAGGAAATGTTTATGTAATAATGGTTAGTGTTTATAAAAAACGAAATACAAAATTGTAAATGATTAGGTCAAAAAGGTCCCATTACTGACTGAGAATTATAAAATAATAGTGTAGGAATTCTAAAACACAAACGGAAATTCTAAAACAGAAAACGCAATTATAAAATTACTGATCGAGTTAGGTCAAGAGGTCAAAGTTAGTTTGAAGATTTATAATTAAAGGGACACATCAAAGTTTATTAATGATTAAATAAAAGTTTAATTTTAATTAAGAGTGAGTTACTTTAAGTTTTCGGAATAATATATTAATAATATTAGACTAATATCAAAATAAAGTTTTTTAAAAATAGTAATAGTTAGTTCTTGGTCTGATGGCAATGACATGTTTGATTGACGGATAAAATTGTACGAACCAATCATACTTAGAAGAAAAAAAGAAAGTTTCAACTTGATACTACATGTATGGTAGCTGAAACAGACCAATACACATCCAAGAAGAAGAAATGGTTTACTAGTTTACCAAATTGACATTTCCTGAGACCGAATTTAAAGTGAAACTGAACTTTAAAAATTTGAAGTGATGTGTTATAGTGTTTTGAAATTAGGACACTTGAAGATTTAAAAAAAGACAATTTGTGTTTTCTGTGTTTAGGCTTAGTGAATTTTCATAGGATTTTACAGTGATGAACTTTTTTGGAGAACTTTTGCATACAACTTTTGACTTTTGATTTTTGATTATTTGTGGGGGGTTTTCATAGCTTTGTTTTATGGTATAGTAATCATTTATATTTGCCTGATGCATGAATAATTATAGGGTTTAGTACATGGCAGTTTTTAAGAGTCTCCTACCTGTTCATTTAGCATAAATCTTGCAAGTGGGGGAGGTGATATATGTTGATTTTCTAGATTTCTGCTACATTTATGAATAGTTATATAATTCTACAGATGTTGGTATAGTTATTGTAAAGGATTCAAGGGATCTTTTACCCAATACCGAGCAAAAAGTCTTAAAGGAAGGGACGAATGTAATAATATTGCTAGAATTTTTGCTCTTGAAATAAGATGCCTTTATATTTCATTAATTAATATCTTTGGCAAGTTAGTAATTTCAAACATATTCACATATATAGTGTGCACTAAATCAACTTAGTCTGTAATTGACAGTTGACACATAAAAAAGAGTTATTTATCGAAAACATATGTCACTCATTTACCACCAGAATTACACGTGAGTGGAATTATTCTAATTGCATCATTTGATTTAAAGTAACCAATCATTTTGTTAATTACACAAGTTCAGGGCCATGATCACGCTTTATGGTGCATGATATTCATTTACCTTTAAAAGAAACCGGGGAACCCTGTAAGTCAGACTTGCATTAGATTCCAGAGATCGAGGGTACATCTGAGTTCCTAGACAGCCGAGAGGCTGGATAGGGTGGAGAAGTGGTTTTAGCTATATAGTATTGTAATTTGTGCTATGCTTGTATACCTGTATTCAGCTATATATATATATAAAATATGTAGAAGCGAACTATGCATTATTATTACTGGTAAGACAAACGTCTTAAGAAACTGGAAGAAGTAAATACACAACGTGAAGCAGAAGTAAAGACAGCTAGAGACAAATTCTAGACGATCACAAGGCTACAGAAATATGTAGTAAGAAAAGATGCATGGGTCATACGTAGGATGTGGCGACCGGTTTCCCATAGACGCTCTCCACGTCAGACAGAAGGCTCAAGGTGCTAAATATTGGGGAAGATCTAAAGCAGCTTTTGTGGCAAAATCTGCTTGATCATTCCCCTTTATATCAACGTGACTGGGGAGCCAAACAAAAGACGACGTCTTTGCTGTTGAACTCGTAAGATAGTAGCAGACAATAAATATCTGCTACTAATGGGTGTTCAAGCTGTTTATTGTTAATTGCTTGAAGCGAGGACAGGGAATCAGTAAAGATGATGTACTGTGGTAGATGCGATGATTGAATGGCCTGGAGCTCAGCTGTAAATATTGAAGCAGCAGGTGGAAGACACACAGAAATGGTATCAGATGGCGTCACGGTAGCCGAAGTTACCCGATCACCATCCTTAGAACAATCTGGCCATCTGTGTAAATAGGAGCATATTCACCATACTTAGACCTTATCTCTCTAAAGAGAGGTTGAAACACCATCGAGCTAGTATCTCTCTTTTTATATTGACAAAGATAGAAATCGATCAAGAAGCATGGCTGGAGGTCACTAAGTTCTAAGCAACTAAATGACCGTTCAATTTCAGGAAAGTTAAAAAGTACTTTGTTACACTTTTAATGTGGGGGATAAAGGATAACTTCTTATCAAATATCAACCCCAGCAATTTGGTTTCATCTACAACTGGAAGGCGGTTGCCAATTTGTCATCCAAGTAAAGTTCAGGATCTGGATGCAAACCTCGTTTCTGACAGAACTGCATGCAGACAGTCTTGGATTTCGAAAAACGAAATCCATTTTCGATTGCCGATTGTTGAAGTGAATTCTGCAATTTACGTTCGATTATCCGCATGTCTGTAGAACCATAGCACATAACCTGTGCATGGCCTCGAAGTGCTGGACGAGGTATACTCAAGCCAGAAAGTAAAATACTTTTCTAACCTGATTGACCCACGCTGCCGCGCTGTAGAATGGACTAAGGACACAAAGGTAGGTAGTATGCTGAGAGAATAAACAGTCGATCATTAAACTGGGAAAGGGTACATTCTACAGAGCTAAAACAATCAAAGCCGATTGATCAGATTGGGCCACTCTGACCTCCCGTCTAGGTGAACCATGGGCCAAAGTAATGTGTTGCAGAGAAAGGGCTCGCAAGCCAAATCCCCACTCAATTACCAGGATTTCACTCTCCACCGACACGGGTCGCATCGCACGGCAAACACGTAGCCCCATTACAGGGATCCCTTCAGTCACCTCTTACGACACGCCGGACATACAAAGGGTATATTCTTATCACCCCCTACACCCCGGGGGGGGGGGGCAGGCCTAAAGAAAGACCTGCAAAAGGTCTGTCATTGAGTTAACTTTGGGGGTTTCGATTCCCCAGTTGTAGGCCTACCTGGGTTTTCTCCGGCTTCTCCGGTATCCTCCCACTGCTAAAGACCACTAGGCTACCTAGCCTACTCGCAAGCGAATTATTGAAATAAAAATTTAACCATATGTTAGTCCCGGAATGACCTAGTTTGTTCGAGTGGAGGTTAAACCCCATTTCCCCTCTCTCCTTTCGGTCAATGAATAATTGCTGTTGACCAGTTTGATATCATGGATTTTCAATGCACCCTAAATGACCCTCAACCAAGATAATAATTAATGAAAGGGAGATAACTCTCATTTTCGTGTGTAAATAACGGATTGTACCGTACCTGATACATGAAAAAAGAATGATAATGAATATGTTGTGGTGTGGATTATGACAAATGCGTGCAAATTAAAAGGTTAAGTATGGGTCAGTTTATGTATAGGAGTCTCTGACAGGCAGTATACATCATTTAAAATTGGGTATCGGTATATATGACCAACTTCGTTGTTTGATTGATGACCACATGCCAAAGCCGGCAAAGGTCAGGAGAAAATCTGATCGAGTTGCTTATTAATATTAGAGGAGGACTGTTTCCTGATCTAGGTTAAAACTAGTTCTTCTAGGTTTCCAAGTGGAATCGAAAGGGTATGTTATCTTCATTTAAGTTATTTATTTACGTGCACACATATGCACCGATTTTGTTTTTGAATTAAATCGTTATGACAATAATCGAGATAATCGATTTCAAAGCCTCAGCACATAATAATAGGCCTATCTATAGTAGGCCTATTTGTCATTTGATTTGGACTGTCAAAGTGTTTACCCAATACAACGTGTGCATGTGGTACATGATGTATTTACCATGTCAAGAATTATGTACTGGGATAAATATAACCTACATAGTCCGAAATTGGGTTTATAACGTTAGGAAAATAGACTTTGGACTACATTAGGCTATAGCTACATAATCCGACAAGTAGGCTATGTTTTTGTAAATAGTGTAGCCTACTCTGGATTATGAAAATATCGTTACGGGTCTGACTATCGACTGTTTAATATATATTCTACATCTTTCAAGAATATTGGGAAATATCGATTTACTAGTTTGGCATAGGGCTTCATATTAGACTAGCGATGGGTTAGTTGCTTTATTATCCATAGGCTCTGTTTGGGTGAAAACTGAAAATTGCAGCTCGTCAGTCAGCTCGGTTAACTGAGCGAATGTAGGTTTTGGTTGCTTGATTATGTCTTTATACAAACTTTATTTAAAAGAAGTTTTAAAATGTCACAAATCGAGTCTCCTTTATACATTTATTGGCACACCTTGGAACACATGAAAAAATAGCGGCACACCTGGCTAAATATATATGACAAATATTTGAATTTTGCAAAATAAAAACATGGTAAGTCAGACGGCATACAACCGTAGACAGAGACTAGTCATAGACACATAGAATGACTCAAACTAAATAAAGAAATACACAGCTTATCAGTAGACACCAGTGAATACTCAGTTGGGATTACGTGGGGTTTTTTTTACATTTTCTTAGTGCGCCGTTCAAAATTTCGCGGCACACTTAGGAACATCTCACGGCACACAGGTGTGCCGCGGCACACTGGTTGAGAATCACCGCTCTACCAAGTTGGTAGAGTTATTGTAAGTTTGTTTTTTATTGGCATCTACATTCTACGATACCTTTGCCCAAGAACTACTCCACTCTTAATAAACATGTAGTGTAAGCCTATATAAAATTGTGATAGACTAACTTGATTTTATTTCGAGCGGAATGAGATTTTTAAACGTAGCATGTTCTAGATTTAAACGTATTAACATGCTGACCACAAATTAAACACTATTTTGACGACCTTCATTTGAACCCGTTGTTACATACACTCTAAACATCAAATTAACCCGTGAACAGAAAATTGTAATGCTTTCATGTTAGTTATTTCTATTTAGTTTGTTTCTTGTATGGGTTCTACATGCGGGGACATATTTGCTAAGTTATGGCGGCGCAGAGGAATTTCCTGTGGGAGGAAATCGGAGTACTCGGGTCGAAATCATGGAAATTTGGCTGGAGGGAGTTTTGCCAGCTTCCTGAGACAATGCATCTATTTTTATGAGGGGGTGGGGTGGGGTGTCAGTTAACATATAACCATACAATTGTATAATATGACCTTTAAACAGCTCAAATTGGTTTTGTTGTCCAGATTCATAGGCGTACGGGCTCGATGACAGTTAGGGGGGCAGAACCCGAAATGCCCGAAAAAATTTGGTGGCGGTCTTCCTCGAGAGGCGAAGAAGCGGAGTTTACTTTGTATGCCCCCCCCCCCCCAGAAAATTTTGGAATATTTGACGGCTGCAAACACGTTTTCCTGCTATTTCAACCCATGAACAAGCAACTTCAATGTGGTCTAATATAGCCTAATTACAATGGCTGACTCGAATTCCAATCAAAAGATCAACCGTTGGGAAAAGTTTTTGAAAATTTAACTGCCGCAAACGCGTTTTCCTGTTATTCCAGCCTGTGAATACAGCAACTTCAATTCGGTCCAATATAACCTACCTGGCTGACCCGAATTCCAAACAACCAATCAATCGTCGCGGGGTATGGGGGCCTCACCCTCCCAGAGAAAATTTTGAAAATTTAACCACCGCAAATGCGTTTTCTGCTATTCTAGCCCGTGAAAGCAGTTCCAAAAGGATCCAATGGTTTTGTAACCAAAATCCCATTCTGAATTCCAACCATCCAATCAGACTGTTGCAGTTGCATTCACAAATAATAATCGATGCCAGAAAAATGTCGCACAAAGAGTGGCTCTAGACAAAATGTTTTAATCCATAGTCAACTCAGTACAAATTCGTTGTATTCAATTAAAAGAAAAGTAAAATTAGTGTTTTATTAGGGATCGATGACAGTTAGGGAAGCAAAACTAGAAATGCCCGAAAAAATTTCAGGTTTACAGACAGCGGCGCCCGTTTTCTTCGAGAGGCGAAGAAGCGGAGCTGACCTTGTATGGACCCCCAAAAATTTTTTGAAATATTTGACGGTCGCAAGTGCGTTTTAGTGCTATTCCAGCCCGTAAAATTAGTGTTTTATTAGATTTCGGGAACTTTATTTTGCCAAATAGATGAAATAAATTTTGTTTTTCACTTTACCCGTCTGCCCGAAAATTCAGCTTGCCCGAAAGTTAGGGGGGCAGCTGCCCCCCCCCCCCTGCCCCCCTGGCTCGTACGCCTATGTCCAGATTGGGTAGAAAGTAAGCCCCCGGACCATCTTATGATAACGGATAAAGCACACGACCATGACACTTTTCTCATAAAAAGTGCCGTTTTAGAATTTCTTTTTATGTCGATGAGCAGGGAGGGGGGTGGGGGTACCTCCCCTCCCAAACCCCCTCTGGATCCGCCCCTGAGTACCCATGATGTTGAAACGGCAGGGATCGAAACCACGACCTCAAGCCAGATACGATAGGACAGGTCAACTAGAGCTCGATGCGCAACACTCATAAAAATTGGGCGTGGGGTCTGTTCCTGATGGTCGGGCACACACCAAAAACAATAGGGATCATCCTACTCACGACCTGAAAGAGCTTAGGACTGGAGCCGCGACCAAGGTGTATAACACTAATTTACCTTATTAGCGATGAATTGCTGACCAAGTTTGATGGACTGGCGACTCGAACGGGACTCGACGTGCGTCGACTTGGGACTTGACGTGTTCCCACCTCTGGTATAAAGGGAATGTAGGTAATAACCCCCCTCCCCCAATAAAAAAAAAACCTTTTGGAAAGTAGGTACCCCCCCCCCCCCCCCTAATATAACAAAAAATTCTAACGAATTTGACCAAGTCATTTTCTTTCTAATTTTTTTTTTCAATATTTATTTTTAAAAACTTCAAAATACCACAAAGCAGTTCCGTGCTTTGGTGAAAATAGGATAAACTGTACTTTGATATTGGTATTTCTGTGGGATGAAAATAATAATGATGAACTTTGCATATTTTAAAACAAGTGAAATGGACAATTAATTGATGAACACGGTTTCTGTGCTTACTATCTTGAAATTATGAAAATTATTGTACAAAATTCTCTGTAAATATTATACAGGCTATGCTTCTTCGTAATAAAATTATTCTCCTGTAAAGCCAGGGAATGTCAAGAATATCAATTAAATCTGATAAAGTTAAATTTGACAGAGTAAAATCGGGAGGGGGGGGGGGGTGGTAATCTTATAAAACTATTCTTGCAACAAAACATCATTTTAGTTGTATTTTGATGTTAATTGACAAACATATATTATGCAAGAGCTAAATCTGCCTATTGCAGGTTTTTCTTTTGTCCTGAAATGTTATCTAAATTATTATTTAGACATTAATTAACTTATCCAGCCCAAAATCAACTCTCTATGTCATCGCTAGCCTGCGATATTTACTGGATTAGGATCTGATCTGCTTCTCAACTTTCATTGATGATAAAATAGAAAATGGATAAAATGAAATGAAATGGGGTTTAACGTCCTACTGTTCTGCTCCGATACTGGGCTAATGAAGACGGGCATACGCCATACAGTGTGCTATGAGGGAAATTTTTCCCGGGCAGCGGCACTATCGCCTACTCTTATATCGAATTCCAACTGCCAGGGGATATTTTACGTGCATTCCAATATATATACGGGATCTCGGTTTTTCGTCTCATCCGAAGGACTAGACAGCTGTCCTTGTCAGGCCCTCCGTTCTGCACCACTGACAAGGGGAAACCACGTCGGAAAATCTGGATGAACTTTCTCGGCCAATGCAGGGATCGAACACCCGACCTCCAGGCTAACGATCCAGCGTCTTAATCACCTAGCCACCGTGGTTCCCCTTTAAAAGGAACTACATGTATTAAAAAATTGACAAAATATTTTGTGTTTGAAGGTTGGGAGGACAAATTTAAATTTATCTTGATCAAATCCTTTTTGAATTTTTTGAAAAAAAAAATATTAGAGGGAAATTTACCTACTTTACAAATTGAGATATTGATTTGGTGAGGGGGGGGGGGTATTACCAGTGGAATTTTTACTGGGAGGATACAACTGAATTTACATGTGTCAACATTTTTTGCCCGGTAGTTTATACCATGGCCGGGAAATTCTGCGAACACCATAGAGATCATATGTGTTGACAGCACAGAGGATCCTTATCAAATTTGGTGAACATCTTAATTTGATGTAAACTGACTATTCAACCCAGCTAAGCGTGCTACCCTGCCCTCATAAATGCAAAGACAAAAGGTACCGATAATGGTAGATAGGGCTCGAATACGATTAGATTTCTTAAAAGGATAGGGATGTGTTTGGCTATGTATCCTTCCTTCCGAAAAGGTACTCGCTCTTCTGAAAAAGTGCCCACGAATCTCGAAAAAGTTACATCAAATACTCAATGGAATACCTGCGTCAAGGGCATATTCCCACAAACAAGTGATCCAATTTTCTCTAATTTCGGCTTCGATTTTAAAAAGTTCACAGTTTCCATCCATTTACAATCACAATACATATGTACTTCATTTAGCCCGTATTAAAATTGTCATTGGCGGACTGGGTAGCCCTGGACTCTCGGACCAACTGGTTTCGTTGGGCCCCCATCACGGTGACATGACAATAATACGAAACTAGTTTGATTCACTATCACTGCACCTCACTCGTAGATCTTTTTTCTCCTCAGATTGAGGTCGTTTTTAGTGGATACGAAGATGGATGTCAAATTATGTTTTCCAGTCAGGGCCGCTGGCCCTTCTTGGCCCTCGAACCACAAGTCTGGCGGCCCAGTCCGCACATGAAATCAGTCTGGGTTTTGAACAATGTCTAGGGAATTCGACGCGGGTAATAATTTGAGAGATTTGAGACTGCAGCCAAGAATTCCAATGTTAAAGGGACTAGTTTTAAAAATTCTGATATTGCAACACGGGCGACGGGAGCGTTTTCAAGCGTTAGCATATGCTAACCGTTACCACTAACAATACTAACATTTATTCGGACACCAGTAACTTGCTTGGCCAAGCTTAAAGTAAGTAGTAAGCTGTTTACGCTGGTGCCACTTTCGGTGTCTTAATCTTGATCATCTTCTCAGTTTACTCTTTATTACCCCCCCCCCTCCCCATTAGCAAATATAATCGAATGGAACTCGGCTTATACCCCGTTCTAAGGTATGCCAGTTCCTTTTGATGTTGTTTTTTCTTTATTCGTGGGTCATTTAGTTCTTGATTGTTTCGACCCATGTTCATGTTCACATCTTTAGGATTTAATCATATTCCATCAACGAAGCAGGCGATACGTTTCAAGTCAGTAGCTTGAAGCGTATATATGGTATTAGTGTCAGTGGCCTGTGGCACGAAGTAACAGTATATTGTCGCATACATAATATATTATGTCAACGCTTGGGCGATATAATATATTATGTCAACGCTTGGAACTAGGATGGAGGTGACTAGGCATGAACTTGCAACGATAGATTTAATTGGCGCTTTGATAACCAATGAATGCTTAGTTTCGATTGTTTTTTTCTTTTCTGTTTTTTCTCTCTTTTCTGTGTCCTAACCCTAACCCTAACCCTAACCGAAAGAAAAGTGCCCTTTTTTGAAATTCTGACATCACAGGTGCCCTTTTTCTGATAAGGATGCCCTCTTTTATTTACAGGGACACTTTCTATGGCTCTGATGACGCGTACATTCCACTGAGTCTACAGGTCTAATATGCTAACACGCTTGGAGCGTCAACACAATATATTATGTCGCCCAAGCGTTGACATAATATATTATGTATGCGACAATATACTGTTACTTCGTGCCACAAGCCACTGACACTAATACCATATATACGCTTCAAGCTACTGACTTGAAACGTGCAGGGTGAACGAAGTGCCAATGCATGGTATGTCATGGCTAATATCCGTCAAATCAATTCTAGCATGTGACACAAAATCAACAAATTACTGACACTGCCCCTCCCCAAAGTGTCCTAAGTTTTTTCTGCCTACCCTCCTTCGGAGACCCTACTCCTCTGCTTTCTAGCACTAAATTCATCATGTTTAAATTCCACGGACACGAGAGCGCCGTCATGCCACTCAAGAGGAAATTGTTAACCATCACAAACCTTTCAAGGCATTTTGTAAGGTATTCGCAGTGATATCGTCTAAGCATGGGCGTGGATTTAGGGGGGGGGGGTCCCCCCTTAGAATCGGAAGGGGGGACGAATCGGTCTCTGCCCCCCCCCCCCCCATGATTTTGATCGCCAGGACATATTTTCAGGTTTATATCCACATGAATGTCCTGTTCTGAAGGCTATCTACCCACTGCATTGGGTCTCGTCACTGTAATTCATCTTCACGATATCTTCCTCCTTAATTGTAGGTAGTCAATTTTACTATATCGTCATCATATTACCCCTAGTTACAGCTTTCATCGAAATAGCACTGGTAAACTGTTCGTAATTATTATTTTGGTTTGGTAATGAAAGGTTCCAGGGTTCGTCCGCCCCCCCCCCCTCAAAAAAAAAAAATTATGACAAATCCACGCCCTTGGTCTAAGGCACATACTACCTTAAACACATGACTTCCGGGTGATTAAGAGACTAGTCCGAACTCTAACCCTGGAACTTCTTTAGTCAGGAGGGATGGGGATCGTTAGTTAGCCTACTGTTCAAAGTGCTTCCACGCACTTAATTTTATAAACCACACACCCACGCCAAAATAAAATCGTTCTCACGCTTCTTATACTGAGTGAATGAACTTAATCGAGATTTGTATGTATCACATAAATTTTTACTATTTTTAGAAAAGATAACAAAAATTCATTTGCTCTACTTTTCTTTCGTAATATGTCATTTTTCGGGATTGACTTTGGCGAACTTTGTACTGTTTATACGTCTATGTTTACATAATCATACAATTCACATGTGCTAGACCCTTCCATCTCGTGAATAGAATAGCTGGATTTGACAGGATTTGTATGATTATTTACTAGTAGGCCTAATTCTTGTCAGGGATATATATTTCATCGAGCAGAATATTCATGGTCTACACGAGGTAATTTTTTGACACGGTATTTCTCTTTTAAATTCTACCATATTGTACATCCATTAAATTGTTTCTTTCATTCTCCAAAATACAATCTTTTTTCTTCCAAAACCTCGTCCGGCTGTCTTCTATGTATTAATTTATTACGGTTTTGAAAATGAAATTACAGACATTCTATAGCTTTCCAATGGTTTGAACAATTGCAGGGGTTTAAAAAATTATAGGAGTTTAATAAACCACAATGTGATGGCAATAGCTGCGTGGGTTTAACAACTAACATTTTCTATTATATAAATATAGATTATGAAATAAAATTAGAATACAATAAGGAGTCGTCTGAAATTAGGAAGTCATTATAGAAAGGCGGCATCGGGCGTGTTGTCTCGCGTCAACACCGAAAAAAGAACTCGATATTCGTGAAAAATAAACGGGTTGATCCGAAAACGGCTATATGTTTCGTCCAGCGGGCTTTTTATTCTTACAGATGACAAACATTAACACGAATCTTAATAAATGATACCAAGGTTATTTCACACCGTGTATACGTTACTAAGAAACACAATAACCGGACATGTCACCTAAATACCGAGGTATAAATTCTGATTCGAGACATTATATTTTATAGTGTGCGCTGTATAAAAAGTCACCGCTTAATTATGGTAACTGGTTTTGGGGGTTGACAACGATGGAAGGATGATGGGTTGGTGATCAGACTGGTTGTGGTCGATTCACATGTTTATTGGATAATATATTGTAGGTAATTTTTAACTTTCAGATGGCGAACGAGGGAAACGAACTGGCCGCTTCCCAGGAACTGCAAACATTTTTGCCCGGAGGAAAAAGGAAGGAGAAACGTGCAACACCCGTAGATAATGGTGTCAATAGAGATCAGTGGACCCGCCAGTTTGATTTTGTTTTATCTTTGATTGGTTATGCAGTAGGTGTTGGTAACTTGTGGAGGTTTCCGTATCTGTGTTTGAGAAATGGAGGAGGTAATGTACCTATTTTGGTATCAAAAATACTGCCGATGTTTTAGTTCAGCTCGGAACGTAGGTCTCATTACACTCGCACGGTCCGTTCAGAAACCGTCCTTTTGAATCTTTGTCGTTTACTGCGAAACGATCGTGTGTCAGTCTCTGTGAACGCCTGAACAATGTAAAAGGAACATAATATTAGTGTGAAAATAAGACCTTGCTTAGCTCGCTAGCGTCAGTATGTGGAACACAACATGCTGTTCAAAATACGTCCCCTTCTGCTATAGTCGCCCAGTAAAATAGAACATACAATTCGGTATATCTTGATCAAATAATCCCCTGTTAGAATACATGTATATTTAAGTTTGTTTGTATGACCTAATGTTATTTCTGGAGGATTAGGTACATTGCTCGATAATGTCGTCTTCCCGTGTGCCTAGAAATAAGGTCACAAGGCAGTTTACATCAGTAAAGTTACTATTTGACAACGTTCAATTATTTTTCTTTCTTCGGTTAAAATAAATCTCAATATATAATTTCAGGTGCATTTCTTATACCTTTCTTTTTTTTCCTAATACTATGTGGTATACCACTATTCTATCTGGAAGTATGTTTAGGACAGTTTTCAGGCACTAGTTCCTTATTTGTCTGGAAAATGTGTCCTTTATTCAAAGGTTAGTATTTAGCCGTATTTAAATAGTTTTGGGGAAAACTCTACAATTTGAGAATGTTTAGAATGAACAAAAACTCTTGGAAAATTAGGAAATGGTTTTTATTAGCCAACTAGCAGGATACCCGGCTTCGCTCGGGGGTCATAACTCCGAAACCGGAAGTGGTAGACTTGCGCCACCTGGCCTATGTTACTCCCCGGTCCGAGCTACCCCTATACCCCAAATTTCAGACTCGGGGCAGACCTAGCGTAGCCGCCAACCCCGAACAGACCGGCTTCGCTCGAGGGTCATAACTCCGAAACCGGAAGTGGTAGACTAACGCCACCTGGCCTATGTTACTCCCCGGTCCGAGCTACCCCTATACCCTTAAATTCAGACTCGGGGCAGACCTAGTGTAGCCGCCAACCCCGAACAGACCGGCTTCGCTCGGGGGTCATAACTCCGAAACCAGAAGTGGTAGACTAACGCCACCTGGCCTATTTTACTCCCCGGTCCGATCTACCCCTATACCCGAAATTTCAGACTCGGGGCAGACCTAGTGTAGCCGCCAAACCCGAACAGACAGACTTCGCTCGGGGGTCATAACTCTGAAACCGGAAGTGGTAGACTAACGCCACCTGGCCTATTTTACTCCCCGGTCCGAGCTACCCCTATACCCCAAATTTCAGACTCGGGGCAGACTTAGTGTAGCCGCCAACCCCGAACAGACCTGCTTCGTTCGGGGATCATAACTCCGAAACCGGAAGTGGTAGACTAACGCCACCTGGCCTATGTTACTCCCCGGTCCGAGCTACCCCTGTACCCCAAATTCAGACTCGGGGCAGACCTAGTGTAGCCGCCAACCCCAAACAGACAGACAAACAGACAGACAGACAGACAAACGACAGTCACAAATATATATATAGATAGATATGGATATTGTCGTCACCCCCGTCTGCTCATATCTGCTTGCTGAAGTTTTAGAGGCTAAAGTTGTTGACAGATTCATATGTTCACAGATAGAGACGCCTTGGTTCTCGATAACTGTTCTTGACCACTTCCATAAATTGTGGATGCTCAGGATGGGTGTCTTTAAATATTTTAGACACCTTTGTTGTTTATGAGATGAAGAAGTGGAGACTTACTTTCAGAATTTTAACCCGTGGTCAGTTTTGTAGACCCTAAAGTGACTAATGTTATTTTCCGATTGATTTGAAATTGAGGCAAACAGCAAAAGTCGTCATCCAGTTATGATAGCACCATTAAAACTAGTCAATCACCTCATGGGTTGTGTTCCTTCGTTAATTTACTACCCAGGAAATACCTCAATTACCTACAAAAGAATGAATCCTCAGATGACGAAGCTTCTGTCGGCGAATGTTTCATTGTCTGGCAACCTATGTTTAATTTTAATTGGCAAGGACATAACAGCAGTGGCCTTCAATAGCTACCCTTCTGATTTCCTCAAACAAAAACACTAACTAGACACATCACTATCAGTTTTTCTAAACTTTTGGCTGATACGAAATTTAGATGTGTTTTTATAGGATGGCATACAAAAGTCAGGAATAGATAAATTACATATAGTTACGCTATTGATAAATGTATAACGTAACTAATATGTTTCTGGTATGGGAAATGAGTATGGAAGTTCCCAAAATCCGAAAAAAAATGGACCTTATCTATCTGACTTCCCCTCGCAAGAAAGTGAAATGAACTAGGGTTTAACGGCCTGCCGACGGGGCTAATGAAGACGGGCATACGCCATACAGTGCGCTATGGGGAAAATATATCGAATTCCAACTGTAGACACGTCCTTGCCAGGCCTGCCTCGGAAAATCCCAACTTTCTCGGCCAACATCTGGAGCGAACTGGAGACGACCTGGTTAGCAATCTGGCGTCTTAATCAATACGGCCCGTCCCTCACAAGGAAACGCGAAATCGAATGGTATTTAACGTCCGGGCAAGATATATGAAGTTTTGCCCAGTTACTTATTTTTTTATTTAAATTCCAGGTGTTGGGTATGGTATGGTGATAGTATCAGGAATGGCTACCATATATTATAATGGTGTAATAACATGGGTTCTATATTATCTAGTTAGTTCATTTCAACAAGAACTTCCATGGCAAGCTTGTGGACATTGGTGGAACACACCTACATGTCGTGATAATTTTAATCTCCATGCCAACTCTAGTATAAACAATGGAAGTTACTATAACAACACAGAATTCACTACAAATTTTACCAATATTATATTTGACAATGGGACTAGTTCAAATTCCTCAGAGCTAGTTGGTATGACAGCAGCAGAAGAATTTTGGCAGTGAGTAATCTTTTTGTTTGCTTACAATTGAAATTGAATTTTGCAGAACAGGCCAGATTTTGGAGGATTAAAGTTATCATTAGTCCGTTTCACTAAGCATATCAACTGTTATTTACATGTAGATGAATTTCTTCATTAATGCAAGTAAATATTATAAATGAAAAGTTAATTTGAAGCATTTTATACAGAATTTAAAATTGGTGTAAATATGATTTTTTGTCTACAGTACTTAGTCAAACTGTTGTTTTCATTATCTGTTTTGTATAAAACAAATTACCTAGCGACAGGAAATTCATAACAAAGTTTCCTGGTTTAGCTTTTTATTTTTATATTAATTGAATATTTTATTTACAGGTACAATGTATTACGTAAATCATCAGGTCTACATGAACTAGGTCAAGTACAAGGCCATATATCTATTTGTCTATTAGTAGCCTGGGTTCTTGTATTTCTATGTCTTATAAAAGGTGTCAAATCTCTTGGTTATGTAAGTACAACTTTTTAAATATTATCCATACACGCCAATTCAACCAGAACATATTTTTACCTTTAAGGTTGTCATCAATTTCAGTAATCCATGTGTATATTGGCACAGTAGACAAATAAACAATATAACCCAGGTATCTTCTCAGGACGTCGACATTATTTTTATATGCCATAACAGATTAAGACGATGAAGAGGTAATTGGATTAAGGGTTTATTTTAATTCCACCTTACCGGTTAATATTTGGATATTTTTCATGACCTTTGTTCATCTGTGCAACCCTTTTTCCTGATGCAGATTGGAAAGGCTGTTATTACCCAAAATTATGAACTAAAGATTCCATACAATTCCTACCAAGACATGAAATAATTTGTTAGATGATGTGCTTTATTAGATACGCGTGAATCTATGCCACGTGACAACAGATGCCAACAACCTGCCGATCCACATATTGGATAGAGTGGAATGATTTTGACAACACTGGTTCAAGAACCAATAACCATTTAGAAGGATGGCATGAACGGCTAAAGAAGATGACTGATAACGTCCATCCTGATATTTATGCATTGATATCTTTTAAAAATACAGCAAATAACTTTAGCAAATAACTAATTGCAATATGATGCCGGTCAGAAAAGACCAAATTCCAGTTATTAAATCGAAAGCATAGACTATTTACTGGTGCCATTAACATCTATGAATACGCTGATGTCGCATCTTATTTTGCCCACATAGATTAAAAATACATGCACTTTAAAATGTTAATCATTGTTGAATTGTATGATGATATGTTTGCTATTTGAAACTGTTAAATTTCGCAAATATGTCGACTAAATAAACAGGTAATGGGGAGTTATACTAATCCTTTAATCCAATTACCTCTACAACCTCTTAATCTGTTATGAGTTATAAGAACAATGTCAGTGTCCTGGGCATAAACCGTTAAAATTACCACTGTTTAAATTAATTTTGTTTCCACAGCTACTTGATCGTATCATTTCTCATAAAGTCAGTATAATGACCCCCCGTTTTGCCTTGTTTCCATTTAGGTTGTGTATGTTACAGCTTTACTGCCATATGTATTATTAACTATATTTCTAATACGAGGATGTATGTTACCTGGTGCCTTAGATGGTATATTATTCTATATTACTCCAGACTTTTCCAAGTTGCTTACCTTTAGTGTAAGTATTATGGTTCGAAATTAGTTATGACCATCTTGATAATCTGACGATATTGGGCAAGAGGGTGGGGTATTATTAAATATAAAAGTAAATGAGAAAGTGTCAGCTCAAAACCGTTCGCAAGTGATTGTTAAATTTACTTAGGGATTATGAAAGGTCATTGCACTATGAGTAACATATAATCACGACAATGACACATAGGTTGGACGCAACTTTTCTCGAGCTTTATTGGCAAAGATCTGCCTGCGTTTTCACTGAAATGTAGCCTCGATAAGCAAGGCATCTATTAAATGATTAATCAAAACTAAAGTGGAATAAATGGCGAACGTAATAAAAGCTGATTCGGGGCGTTTACGCCGGAAACTGTGAGGTTATCTCGGAACCGGCTTTGATCTCACACAACAACTTTTGGTCTTCGAAGGAATTATTAGTGAGCAGGAATTCGCCCATGTATCTGTTATCACCCGTCACTTTAGTCAGTTATATAGAGGGGTAACTCGTGTTTTCCTTTTGCGTTCGTCACTTCCGATTGTTGAAGCATTGATTACGCATCTATCGTAGCAATGATCTCCGTGATAAAATAATATTTGGAATTTGTTTAACCATATGTGATAATGACTGGCACCAATATTGTCCTTTAATTTCAGAGAGTGTCGCGGAAGTGCGACAAGTGTTTCTAAGCGAACCCCGTACACAATTAACCTGTTTATGTTTAATATGGCTAGATATCTTTGACAGCACATTTTTAAAATGGAAATTGATACACGTGTGTGTTTTGAACTTTACTTGTGATTAATTTGAACTCTTTAATGATAATGATATCAGAAAATCGTAAGAGCCTTACATTTTATATTTACAGGTATGGACAGAAGCTTGTCTTCAAGTATTTTATTCTCTAGGTCCAGCATGGGGTGGTATTATTACTATGTCTAGTTTTAACAAATTTCATCATAACTGTTTTAGGTAAGGAATTTAAATGAATTATTTAAAGCGGCATTATGGAAAATTAGATAAAGAACTGACAGTTCTCGCTATAATAGTTTCAAAATAGATAACGTAACGGGAATAATATGCTGAAATTTTTAGTCAAATTACTCCACTGAGCGAGAAATATTAATTTTAATAACACTGTAGCCGCGATTGTCAATGTTACCGTTATTACGATAATAAAAAAAAGGTCTCGATTATCCATTTTTACGGTTAAACATCAACGGCCGTTGAACGGCAGATCGGATTCAAATCTAATGAAAATCGGGCACATCAGGTGGCATCGAGAGTTGATTATCGTCTTGTCATGTTAATAAATGTATATACATGTAATTAATGGTTTATATTATAACATTTCTGGTCTAAAGAAAGACCTGCAGTTGGCAGATTTACCTCTTGCATAATGTATGTTTAACTAAAGATATGTTCGACCCGGTTAGTGTGGAGCGGGTTTTAAACTTCTATTTGCCGACCGATAACGTTGTGTTAATTATTAATTAAGCCCCATTCTATCAATGTTTGCTCTGTAATGGGTTTCATAGTCATATGCAAGCATCCCTTCCGTAGATTTTGTTCGATCATTTTGTGTTGGTTTAAAACTGACGTATCTTTTAGGGATGCTGTAGTAGCTACGTTAGCAGATGGCTTAACGAGTTTCTATGGAGGTTTTGTTATATTCGCTGTTCTAGGCTTTATGGCCAAAGAAGCTGGAGTTTCTGTCACACAAATAGCAACAGAAGGTTAGTATATTTTCAGTGATAGAAAATCGATTGTACATAATTGTCATATGAATCTCTTGCTTGCAAAAGAGAGATTTAGTGATAAATCTATAAAAAGCAATCCTAAAACAACCTAAAGATTTTGGAATGGTTGAACAAAGATTAGCCTACAACCTTGGTATGTCAAACTAATACATATTAACTTAATGTTCTACTTATACGGTTGATTTCTTCGAAATTCTCAGTATTTCAGTTTCCGGCAGTGAAAATAAAGTAAGATTCTTTTTATTATACAGGTCCAGGTTTGGCTTTAGTAGCTTATCCGGCAGCAATAACTAAATTACCTCTACCCCAATTCTGGGCTGTTTTATTCTTTCTAATGTTATTGTTACTGGGACTAGATAGTCAGGTAAGCTTCTTGTTTTCAGATAAGTATTTATACAATGTTAAAAGTGAGTTATGGTTAAATAATGATGTCTGATGCCTATAATGTCAGAAATCCATTGTCTATGTCCTCGAACTAATGACACAATTTTTAATGTGGTAACTTTTTTTCCTGATCAAAATTAGACTAGGGTTATTCAAACTACAAATTAGAGGTGAAATAAGATTTCTTGAATCGGATTGATCAGTCAGAATGGGGTTCAGTGACAATGTGCCCTTTCTAAATTTTCTGACCAAAGCATTGCCAATAAAAATTTCTCTCAAAATGTTTTTTTTTTTACTTGTCAAAACCGTCCATGATGGAGATTGATATCCCAGACGAGAATAATATTTAGATATAAAATTTAAGATATAAAATGATAATTAAAATATTTGAGAATGTGGGGATCTAATACAAATATCGTGTTTAGTGTATGGTCCTAATGTCGTGACGAGTTAAATACCAATGAATGCAATTTAAAATATCTCATTTGTATTTATGACATATAGCGATATACAATTATGAAATATCTTAACATAAGGGTAATTACAGATACATTATGGGAGGTTAGATAAAGAGCTTACAGTTCTCGCTATAATAGTTAAAAACTAGATAATGTTAAGGCAATTTACTGAAAATTTCAGTCAAATTGATCTACTATGAACCAGGAATTAAGCGATTGAAATGTCGGTCTAGCCTCGATCATCATTAGTAAAGTCGGTACAATAAAAAACATAGTCTCGATTATCCATTTCATGATTAAATCATGAATTAAAGGTGAGCAGCAAATCGGATCATAATCCAATAAATATCACAGGCTAGTGTTGACATCGAGAGTTGATTATTGTCTGGATAAGTTAATTAATGTCTAATTAATAATTTAGATAAAATTTCAGGCCTAAAGAAAGACCTGCAATAGGCAGATTTAGCTCTTACATAATGTATGTTTAATGTGTGTGTTTTATTAAAGTGAACCGTAACTGATGTATTTAAAATATGTGCAATAAACTGATAAGATCTTCGTTCAGTGGGGTTAAGATGAGTTATTCTAAGTATCAGGGAATTCTAATAATGGTTAATCATTTGCCAACAAGAGCCTTTATACAGGGGTTTATAAACATTTGTAGTTTGGTATGTTTGAAAGTTTGGTGAGTGGAATAGTTGATGCTTTTCCAAAACAACTGTCAAAACATCGAATGTGGGTGACGGCGGGATTAACAGCATTATGTTATTTAGTTGGTTTACCTATAGCAACAAATGTAAGTAGAGATGTAGGCTACTTTTTTTTTTAAAATATTTAACCAAATAATATTTTATGTAATATTTTCGTACACAATGCAGTACGCTAATTGTAAATGTGCCATAACTATAATATATTTGCTAAAACAGTGGCGCATAAATACAAAATCTAATTTGGTTTTAATATATTTTTCACAATTCCTATTTCCGAATATATCATATGATATTTTTTTTAGGGTGGTATTTATGTATTTCAACTGATGGATTGGTTTGTAGCAGCGTTTTGTGTTCTTGTAATCTCATTTTTAGAATGTTTGATAATTGGCTGGATTTATGGTAAGAATAATTCAGCTATTGCCGTTTTAAATCTTTGATTTAACTGATACGTGTAGAACAGAATTCTTACTAGAAATAGTTAAAATTATTGCTAATGAATTTTTCTAGTTTAGTATACAGACCCGCTTTCTGTAGTACTTATCTGTTGACGATTAAATACTGCTTACGTATAATTCCCCAACCCGCCACTATATCGGCGTCAAAACAGATTTAAAATCGCTATCAAATCATTTCTGGGTTCGATATATCTGCGATGGGACTGGTAAGCAGACATACCATCAGTGATCGACTAGACACTGTTCCTTGTCAGGCCGCCCTTGCACCGGGATCGAACCACCGTGACTCCGGATTTGTTTAAAGTTGCAATTTCATATTTTTAAGTTATATTTTTAAAATTTATTAAAATAAAGCCTTAAAATAGATGGTGTCTATAAACAGTCCTACCTTGTTAAAGAATAGTCCTATTAATCCTATAATTCACTATTGCTAGTTGAGAAATTGGCAAAAATATCATTTTCTTCTTCAAATTCAAACGTTTGAAGATAGCTACTCCACGGTGGAGAATAGAAAACAAGGGAGGTAATTGTATTATTATTTCCGGTGTAAATGAGTTTTAAGTGTGAGAATGACACCTATGATCGTATAATAGTGAGTTAACAACCTATTGAGCAAAAGACATAGAAATAATTATGTTTTGACTTTCTTAGAAAATATGAAATTGTAACTTTAATCGATAACCTATCGGTAGCCAATATGTGATGATTTTAGGGCTTGTCTAATAAAGAAATTATAGTGTGCCCTGATTCATTGTAAAACTATTGTCTGTGTCGTCTTCTGGAACAATAATTTGATATACATGTCAATTTCTATGTTTTAGGTGTAGAACGATTTTGTAAAGATATAGAATTAATGACTGGAAGAAAACCAGGAATTATTATAAAGATATGTTGGTGCTTTATCACACCATTTCTTATGATTGTAAGTAGCTATAAATAATGAATTGTTTGAGGGGCGGGACATTTAGTCTAGTACATTGAAAAATTCCTTTTATTTTAAAGGTAAGCATGTGTTTGATGTGTACTGCGTTGTGGTTAGACGGGAGGGGTTGTTGGACAACAGCAAAGACCGCCCCGGGCCATAAGGGAGTTGGAATGCTGGGAGGGGTGATTTTGATTTAATCCCGATAAGGATTTTCGGATATTCAGTTATCACGCGACACATAATTGGGGCGTTTTCAAAATAGAGATTCGCGTTTAGTTAATGAAGCAATTTTGATGTATTTATCCTAAACTACTTTCAAATTTAACAGACTGGCAGAATATCTACTTATGGGTCGGTTTGCCATTATTAAGTTTTCAGTTTGATCAAGAATTACAGTTAATTGTGATTCTACAACGGAAAGATTTTATGTGTTGTTATTTTGTTACAGTTGTCTATGATATTTACCATATCAAACCTAAAGATGCCAACATATGATGGTTATATTTACCCTGAATGGGCCAGATTCGTTGGATTTTTATTGTCTGTTATTCCTCTCATACCCATTCCCCTATTTATGGTGATTGAGCTTTATAAAGCTGATGGTAACCTATTTCAAGTAAGTATATTTATACATGTAGTTACACAGTCGGGCAGCCACAGTGGCTCGATCCGGGTAATGACCGAGAAGGATTTTCCAACGTGGTTTCCCTTTGTTGATGGTGCAGAACGGAGGGTCTGGCAAGCAACAGAGCCTATTCCTTCGGTTGAGATAAAAAAAAATAACAAGAGCATCGCTAACGCTGCAATATACGTCCACATTCCAGCTTTGATTGATACGGTACTTTTTAAAATGAAGAGAATGAAATATGAAATGGCTGTAATATGATCAGAGGCCAAGAAGGCTAGGCGTCGGGTTTGTTTTGCCAAATTTACAGACAAAATACTAACAATAAAATGGGCGTTACACTGCCCCACGAGGTCGGGGCAAGCATCAAAATAAATGGTTGCTGTCTTTATGGTATAAGGAATAAATATGCAAAATTCCAAGATGATCCATTCAGAATTGCAGCCTGTAGACGATAAATACAAAAACTGGGCGTGGCTCTGCCCATGGGGGTTGAATATGGAAACAATATAAATAGGTACCATCCTGTTATTGAAATGACAACATCAATAGTTGCCGTCAATAGGGTATAAGGAATAAGTATACCAAGTTCCAAGATAATCCATTCAGAATTGTGGCCTTTGGGCGTTAAAGGCAAAAATTGGGCGTTGCTCTACCCCTGGGCGTCGGGGCATTCACCAAAATCAATAGTTGATGCCCTTAGGCTATAAGGAATACATATGCCAAATACCAAGTTGATCCATTCAGAATTCCGGCCTGTAGACGATAAACATAAAAATTGGGCGTGGCTCAGTCCCTGGGGGTCGTGACATGCAGTTGTCGTCCTTAGGCTATAAGGAAAACATATCCCAAGTTCAAAGACAATCCATTAAGAATCATAGCCTGTAGGCAACTCACAGAGACACAAAGAACAAAATGGGTGTGGCTCTGCCCCTGGGGGTTGGGCAATCACCAAAACAATAGAGGTCAGCCTTAGGGTATAACGTATAGGTATAAAAAAGTTTTTCGAGATGATCGATTAAGCATTGCAGGCTGTAAGTGACATACAAAAAGAAAAAGGGTGTGGCTCTGTCCCTGGGGGCTGGGCATTCACCACAAACAATAGGGGTGTTCCTTAGGATAAAAGGAGTAAGTATGCAAAGTTTCAAGGTGATACGTTAAGAAATGCGGTCTGTAGATGACAAACAATGAATACAAGAAATGGGCGTGGCTCTGCCACTGGGGGTCGGGCATGCACCAAAAACAATAGGGATCATCCTTAGGGTATAAGGAATTCATATGAAAATTTTTCAAGACGATCGATTAAGAATTTTGGCCTGAAGGCAACACACAGACACACAAAAAGAAAATGGGTGTGGCTCTACCCATGGGGGCTGGACATGCACCCCAAACGATTGGGATGTTCCTTAGGGTACAAAGAATAAGTATGCAAAGTTTCGAGATGATGCGTTAAGAAATGCGGCCTCTAGACGACAAACAAACAAATACAAGAAATGGGCGTGACTCTGTCCCTGGGGATCGGGCATGCACCAAAAACAATAGGGATCTTCCTTGGGGTATAAGGAATAAGTATACCAAGTTTGAAGAAAATCCAGTAAGAATTGCGCCCTGTAGGCGACACAAAGACACACGAAAAGAAAATGGGAAATGGGCGTGGCTCTGCCCCTGGGGGTTGGGCATGTACCCCAAACGATAGGGATGTTCCTTAGGGTACAAAGAATGTGTATGCAAGATTATAAGTTAAGAAATGTGGCCTGTAGACGACAAACAAACAAATACTAGAAATGGGCGTGGCTCTGCCCCTGGGGGTCGGGCATCCACCAAAAACAATAGGGATCTTCCTTGGGGTATAAGGAATAAGTATACCAAGTTTGAAGAAAATCCAGTAAGAATTGCGCCCTGTAGGCGACACAAAGACACACGAAAAGAAAATGGGCGTGGCTCTGCCCCTGGGGGTTGGGCATGCACCCCAAACGATAGGGATGTTCCTTAGGGTACAAAGAATGTGTATGCAAAGTTTCAAGATTATTAGTTAAGAAATGTGGCCTGTAGACGACAAACAAACAAATACTAGAAATGGGCGTGGCTCTGCCCCGGGGGGTCGGGCATGCACCAAAAACAATAGGGATCTTCCTTGGGGTATAAGGAATAAGTATACCAAGTTTGAAGAAAATCCATGAAGAATTGCGCCCTGTAGGCGAACCACAGACACACACACACACACACACACACACACACACACACATACATACATACATACACACACACACACACACAGACAGGGGCGACGGCATAATACGTTCACATTATGAATGTGGACGTATAAAAAAAGAGGTTCTGTTTACGCACATGGCGTATGATCGTCTTCATTAACCTAGTTGGTTCAGAAAAGTAGAAAACACACATTTTATTTCACAATAAAGTAAAGGTGTGTACACTCGAGTAGTCGAGACCAGAAATACAGGAATGATTATTTCAAATGCTTCAAATTTAACAAAAACATAAATATAATTTTTTCATCATTCAGTAAATTTAATTAGTCTTCCGTTATTGCGATCACGTTAATATTATTTTCCAATTTATTGCCATATAAATTGTCACACTGATCAGCAGTGAATATTCGCTAGGCCGCGACAATCACTGATAAGGATGACATCGATGTGACTTAATGAGCCACAAATATTAACTTTTTTCCTCCGACAAATTAAATTCTAAAACATTTTTATTTTGTGTATTAGAAAAATAAATAAAGACGTTTGACTTATTTGTAGGTAAAAATTATTTCCTATGTAGTTTAAATGAGTATTGAAATGAGTAAAAGACTCCATTCCGCCCGAACCAGTAACGTCTTATGTAAACAATGCACGCGCCATTGAGCCAATGATTGACGCCGCGTAATGAGACGTCACGTGTTGAAGGTTGTAGTCATTTCGTAATCCTCTGTGAAACAGATTGGAAAATTGTCTGTATCTAAAGGTGATTTTCAAATGCATAAGGCCAGTATCATTCTTTTTTAAATTATTTTTCAGAAATTCCGCCAAACATTACGTCCAGCAGCTGATTGGGGGCCATCTTATAAAGAATATAAACATGACTATTCATTAAAGGAACATCGACATACATTGCCATTTATAGGTTTAATTAAAAGACTACATAGTAACAATAGAGTATAAATTAACATTAACTTATCGTGTGGAGCTTTACCTTAACATGGGACTGCAGAATTATCATTCCAGTGCCTGACTAGTGAAACTGTTCTCTTCCTGTTATCCTGTAGTGAATTTAAGAATGGCTGTATGGTGGACAGAATGTGACAAAATCTATTTCAACATGACAATAGCTTGCTCTTTATAAAGTCCGTTTAAACATTTTGTGCGATTTGTTATGGACTTCTTCCAGGTGTGATTAAACAAGACAAGATTGTAATATAATACAAAATAAAGGATATTTCGCTTTTCCAGTATCCGTCTTCATTATACCTACCAGTCGGAGCAGAACAATAGGACGTTAAACCCCGTTTGTGAACCTCCTTGAATGATCGCACCAATTAAAAGGACCTTATGGATCTGCTTGTCCAATCCATGCTTGTATCTCAAGTTATTTAGTATACTATATAAATATCTAGTGAGAAGACTTTAGTTTGAAAATGTGTTGTGTATAATAATATTTGGAACTATTACTTTTGGTGAAGTTTATCTAATGTTTATTTTACAAAACTGAAAGTAACTATTGGTATATACTGTTGATATTGTATGTCAGTTGTTGTATAAAATGTAACTATATAGTGCTTTAATAAGTCAATGGTTATATGATGCAGCTATTTCTATATACATCTTTAATAAATAAAACAGTGTATTATATTTTTTGAAAAAATAAAACATATTCACATGTGTAATAGTTACTCAACACAACCGATCCCACCGTTTTATCACCGTTGGCCCTCTGGCATTTTATCTCAGTAGTACAATTTAGACAATTTATTCTTCATTAACTTAACCTCATTTCATCCCTCTTAAATACAGTAGCAGGAGCAAAACTTTACTGAGGATCAGTTTGAGCAAAGACTTGCAATTACAAGAGGGGCTGACCTACTGGCAGCCCAAAAGATCAACCAACCATTGTTACGCAAATGAACCAGTTTATAATAAAGACAGGTGTGTTTGTGGGGTTTTTTATTCAAGTAAACACAGATTTCCAGATCCCATTGGAACTACAGATAAACAGACAATAAGGCAGTTATATCTATACAGTAAATATACACACATTATACCAAATACAAGAAAGCAGTGTTGAATTACTGGGAAAACAAATAACTTCACTGGTAAAGACTGTATTTACATGAGAAACACTGATAACAAAATTCATGGTTTGAAATAAAAATCAATTCATAAATCAAGTTCTCTTTTAGTTCATCATCTCATACTATTGTACTTACACCCATGACTGATGACTTTCAGTTTTCATGGCTTGTCATAATTTTAATTTTAGAATCTAATATTTTATGATGGAAAATATTATATTTCTCCAACCAATGACCTAGTTAGAGCAATTGACTACTTCAGTGCATTCAATTAGGCAAGCAAGTACAAATTACATTAACATAAGCATAGTGTACAGAGAAAGGTACACTTATTTGATACTTTTATAGGGGAGTTGTTTGTCTACATGCTACAAATACATGTAAAACAACCCATCAAAGAGGCTAATTTCTCCCACTTTCATCCCAAAATAAATTGATAATGCACATTAATAATTGCACATATATCAATTATGTACAAAGTGCAAGTTAACAATATAAGTACTGTGACTAGATCTTATAAAAGCAGCCATTTTCATTATAAACACAATCAGTATTTAATTAGCAGATCTTTCAAATACAAATTTGTTTCAATAACTTCTATTTATAGTCAATTTATAAATTTGATAAATCCTGATATCTAAGTATACAATAATAGATTTGTTTTGTACTTGTTGCAATCTGTGCCACCAAGACAAACCGAAACTCAACACCCTTTAATCAGAACCAGACACGTCAGATATAAAACTTATCAAGTGGCATATTGTCAGACAAATATATAGATAGAGCAAGTTCAGGCTATCTTGTACTTCAGTTTATTTACCACATAATTATTTTTCATAGAATAGGTTGTATGGTATCTGTTAATATAGAAAGATTATCCCTGATCACAATAGGTAAAAAATAATAAAACAATTAGCACTAGATGTGTACAAATCATATTGGTCTTAAAGGAGTAAATAACTTAATATCATACTACACTACTACCATTACTACTCTACAAGCTGACTTCCTCAAATATGTAATAAAATAACCATAATAATGAAATATTGAATAACAAATGACTATACATACTAGTGTTATAGGAACAAGGGTACAAATTTCTAAATAAATTTGATGACTATTGCTGATAAAGTTGAATTCAGAACTGAATAGAAGTTATTGACTGGTGTTAGAACATTATCAAAAATATTTTCGTGAGAAATAGGACCCTTGTCCTAACGCATACATTATGAGACATGCACATTATAAACAAGCTAAGTAATAAAAATTTAATAAATATTTTATAAATTCAATGGAATTACTTTTATACAATTACATATTAAGCATTTCATTTGTTGAATAGTAATTTATCTAATTCGAAATTGAATTTAAGATTCTACAAGAATTGCACTAAATGGATGACCAAATGATACTATTTCAATGAACTAAAAATGAAGTTCTTGATACCCAATATATCTACATCAGATGAATTAATCCAAGTTGTATATATCTCTTTAGGTTAATAACCTGTTTACCGTTTCATTAAAGGAGGATATAGTATTTTAACATGACTGTCTATAATATAAATTATAATGTTCATTAATTAAATATGACAATAGAGATTAACAAAAAAAAATTAAATGACATGTTTACGCTCAAGGATTTTCCATCATAAATATCTTTCTAATGCTTTTATATTTAAAGAAGCAATTCAATGCATTCTTAATAAAGTTTTATTAGGGGCTGATTTTGTGCGGGCAATGGTGTAGATTTGAGCAATGATTTTTCTACAGTGAGCTGTAACGATTATAATATAATAATATAGGTTATCCCTTATAATATATTCTATGATGCAATAAGTTGTAAACTGGGTATGATATGCATCCTTTGTTCACAGGTAAAAATGTATACACCTACTGTTTTGGATTATAGTTGAGTATTTTTTTTTTTTTTACTATCAACATCAACACTACCCTAGCCATGTCATATATCTTAATTTAGGGAAAATAACTTCTCATTTCAACTCAGCATATCTGGCCAACTAGTACTAAACCAAATGCTAATTTTAGTCAACTAAGTATTCTAAATGATTGACATAAATGTACAGATTTATTAATTTATTTTCATGGTGAAAAAAAAAAAGATCACAGATTTAACACACGAAGGCAACATAAGGTTACTTTTGTATTTTCCATCTTTTTACAATTTTACATGGCACAGGATTTTAAAATATAAAATATTGCCACTCTATTTCCTATTGCTTGAAATAAAAGGTGTGGCAAAAAATATACTAATATATCATCCCTATTTCAAGAATACACTGGTTCAACTAATGCATGTTTTAGGGGTTGGTGTGTCAATATTCCACCTCTGCGATTTATATGCAGATATCTGGCATTTTATATATTAACGAACAACTATTTATATCTATGAAAAACTAATTATAATATTACAATAATAAACAGAATATACAACAAATTAATTATAAACAGCAACTTATAAATATAACATATTTATCATTTGCATAACTGCTGCATATAAATGTTTACAAAAACAAACATTTTCACTGTAACAAAAACAAGACTGTAGCCCCAATGGAAAGGAAATACTTGTTTTTATCATCAATTTGGTTCTCTTGGCATTTTCTTTACAATATAAACACTTTGAGCAGTTCGCAAACCTATTATCCATTTCCTTAACTTCCGAAATGCCATATCTTTATTCCATACAAAACTTTAAACTGTTCTCCAAAATAGCTGTTTGGCTACCAAACATAGTGAATAAGCAATTCTCAAAATAGTTTATTAAAAACGTCAATAAAGTCAAATTGATGAGTTAACTATTAAGGAAAGGAGATCCCTTACCATCTTTATATATTAATAATATAGATATATCTACACATTCACAAGATGTGGCATACACAACTGGTAATATAGATCAAATAATAAGCAATAAATTATTAAAATTAATTCATATCAGAAATAACTTGAGAATTACACATAAGAGCATTCAAATAGACAAGAAGCATGAGGGAAAACTTGAATGATGTGTAATTTATTTTTTTCTTTCAATGACAGCAGGTAATATCATTATAAAAGATATTTGTATCTATATACACTAAGTTATTATTACATATATTTATAAATGTGAACACTTGACATATAATAATAACAGTACTGTTGATATACATTAAGTCTATTTCACATGGTAAATATACCACAATCTCAAATAAATATAGCTGTTTTCCTTTTGACCCCCCCACCCCCCCAATTTAATTTTTAATTAACATATTTTGAAAGTCCAATTTTACCCTCACCTCTTGCACATACATGTACTAATAGCAAAAACTGATCAAATTTATGAGATCTTCCAAGTGGGGATTTGAAATTTTTGATAGATACATGTTCTAGATTTAATTTTGAGGAAAGCAAACGCCCTTGCATAATATAATAATATCAAACTGAACATCATTTTTTTTTATGCATTTTGCATCAAGGGGAGAATAATCAATAATGGAATACAAAACACAATATTTGAAATCGGGACAGGGATGCTCCTGTCAGTGTGAGATTGACTCGCATATTGTTTAAAGACTAGTTATTGGAGAATAATAATATTCTTTCTACACTTCATTCTACTAGTAATAAGCTGTTCTATATGTTGAAACAATTGGGAACTTTTGGAAAATATACAATGCAGCAAATTATTTTTTTCAAGATTTTTAAAGAGGTAAAATACATGAATACTTCACAGTGAAATTGAGACAATGTATTTATGAATAACAATCATAATTAACATTGAGGTAATTAAAAGAAGAAATTCTTCCACCATTGAAGCTAATTGACACTTAAAAAAATAATCAAAATATGCATGTAAAAACTGTTAACAGAAGATGCAACAAAGAAACTTTTGTTATCTATGGAATTGTTCTATGGCCTGTTAATTAATAAATTATTCTACTAAAAACCCAAAGAAATTGTGAATAATCAACAGCAGATTAAAATTCGTTATTCACATTTTCTTTGAAACCATCCTTCACTTATCAATAGAAACCTAACTTTGAGCCAGTTTGTGACTAGTCCTTCATCCATTCAATCATATCCTATATCTATTATCAATATAAAAGGACTATTTTGAATAGGGAGGAATAGGTTGCCCACTCCATATAATGTTAATAACTTTTTATATAGGAGAAGTGATAGCTATTTACACATATATAATATATAGAATGAAGAAATTCCATTAATTTAACAAATGCAATTTACAAGTCAGTTACTATGCAATGACTAAATTATGAACAGTTCTCCTAAAGTTTTCATAACATGATTCTTGATATTAGAGGCATGTGTTGTGATGTTCTTTTCAACTTGTCTTATCTATTTTAAGGAGTCAATTAAACTATATCTTTAAATCTGATTTGCTTGTTATAACAGATGTTTATGCAAGGTTTAGAAATACTAAATATTTTTTTAATGACAGGGAATGTTAAACTGACGTTTTATACTGGAAGAAATAATCTAAATGTTCAACTAACTTTCTCCGAGCTTTTGACTCCTCTCTGTATTTCTATTATGTTTAAGGGCAAGCAGCAGTTATATGTGATATGGTAATAAGCAAGTATTGCAAGGCAAACCAAATTGCAAATAGACAACACAACACAATGTACAGCCTCCGTAGAATCAAAATTGAAGCCACAAACCCTTTAGAAATCATCAGGAACTTGAAGCACTGGCATCATTGTTGGAGTTAACTTCCGGTGTTGTTGCTTTCTTGCCCCGTGTCATACGCTCTAATTCTGCCGCTGCGTCTCTGGTCACCGATGCCTTGTCTGAAAAAATGAAATAGGTAAAATTGAATAAAATCGTAAAAAAAACAAAAGAAGCAGCATAATTTGAAATTATAGAATACATTTATGGTATAAATTCCTTTTCTGATTTATACTTCGAATTTGATCACCTAAGACATACAGCTCCTTGCTTAGCAAGGGCTATAGATTGTGATAGGTATTACCATAAGGATTGCTTCATGTTTTTAGATAGTTATCATGGATAAATCTAGAATCTTGTAAAGTATATAACCATAATAAATCTGATTCATGACAGAAACTTATTATCATTATGAACCATGTATAATTTGTATTCTTACTGATTCAAATCATGATATAATAATATTGGAATTTTTATAAGACATACATGTATATAGATGAAAACTGTATAAATACTCAATTATAACAAATGAATTATCAACTTGAACAACAATAATTATCAACAAAATTGTAAAGCATATAATCGAAATGTCGCAACAGGATGGCAGCAGTCAAACAAGTATTATTTTGGGGTGTTAGTTTATCAAAGTGAAAACTACTATATGAATATATAAATAGAATAAATGATTAATGTTCAAGTTTAAACTTATCTGAAATCTCATTAATATAAAAGAATATAAAAAGTTTCATTAAAATTAAATGGAAACCAGCGGTTGCCAGGCAAGATGTGCCCACATTTTGCAAGAGATGGATAGAGAACAAGCTAAAAACAAAAGCAATTTTTCATACAATCAAGGCCCATAATCCAGAAAGTTATGGTCCGATACATGCCAATCGCCCTGCTTGATTTGTCCATACCGGTGCATACCGGCTGACTTGATTTAACCGGAAGTCGACAAAAGTTTGGCTGTGGCATACACCAAATGTGCCACTTCGCCAGCAGCGGCGATCACCGGCACAAGATGGTGAACATGTCAATGAGATAAAATTCACGTTATTTAGAAATGCCATAAAAACACTAATTTTAAAGCGTAAAAATTAAACCAAATATTTTGAAGTTGAATTGGAGCTTCGTAAAACCAGATGTTCATATGTCATTTATTTTTTCGCAGTAATATTACTACTAATAATTTTCTGCTTGTTTTGCTGTCACTTACTAATAGGATAGTCATGTAACCGGTTTAATATTGTAATATTATCCGACACTATATTGTTTATCAGCTGGGTGACTTGATTTGCTTTGATACGGTAACCTGACAGGTGTACGCCATGTAGCAACCGGCTCATCTATCGGTGGACAAATCAAGAAGGCCCAATATTGAAAGGAACCAAGATCTTTGGGAGACATACCTATATTTCAAGTTTGGTCAAAATCAGATAAAAATTGTGACCTGTGTCCACAAACAAATTGTGGACGGACGAACAGGGATGATGGCATAATACGTCCACATGAATATAAAATATATATTCAAATTTGAACTGATCAGATAACCAACGGGGGTGTGGTTGGACCTATTGGGTGATGATATTGACATAAAGTCATATGGCCAGTATTGTTAAAATTGGACAAAAATGTACTCTAACCGCTTTCACAAGGAAGTGTGTGTGGACAAATTGACTGACAGATGGATCAGGATGACAATACAAGTCCACATCAAATGAAGTCGTATAAAACATGTAAATATCAACAAAATCAACATAATACAATTCTTATTGTCTTATTATTACCGTCTTGCATTATAAACTGAAAGAAGGAGACATATATTACAAGACTAACTTGGAATGCTATACAAAGGTTTAATAATATGGAATCCATGCCAGGCAACTCCATTCATGAAATAGATATTATAGTTATAGGAGAAAGAAGAGAAGTAAACCTGATCACAAACCAAAAGAGCCATTTTGAAACAAAGTCTGGACCAAGACATCACGAGATGCTGATTAACTATGTGTGAGGAAAACTAAACTAAGATTAAGGGATAATTTCTATATCTAGCTCTTAAAAATCCTTGAAGGAAGATAATGCATGAGGCCATGATCTCTTCTGAACAGTGTCACATTTTAAGCAATCAAATTTATGTATCAATCATGCAATCTTTCTTGCTAAATATAATTTTACCTGGTCTCTTAACAGTTAATTGAGACAATAATATAGGTTGATATCCTGGCCTCTTACCTTTTTTTCAAACCAAACAATTTCACATTAGTGCATTTAAAATCTTTGACAAGTTCAACCATCTGTCATTAACAACTTGATTAAAGTATTTTTCCTTTAAATTTATATTATTTCTGAAAGATGGATATTACTTAAGAGCTAAAGGGAGGTATTCTAAACTACGGGTACCTTTACCGGCTCCAGCAGCTCCTGTCTTCTTGCTGAGTAAACTGTTAAAGAAATTAGCTAACATCCCTTCACTTGTACCAGGAGGTGCACCTTTACCATCTTGTGACTGTAAATAAACAAAGGCATGTTTTAACAATAAATCATTTATATGTATTGTTAACTTCACATCAATTCTTAAATTAATGTCCGCTGTTTCAGGCAAAATTTCCCTCGTCTTATTAGCCAGATTAGTGCTGAAAAGTAGGCAATTAAATTTTTCGTTTTGTTTTATTTCGCACCAGTTTCTCATAATACCAGCCTTGCATACAACTCCACTCATCCAGGGGCACTGACAAATTCATCAGCTCCATTAAGACACCAACTGACTGATAAAAGATGAGAAGCCATGGCTTAGTTGGGTTTTTGTTGACAATATAGTGGGCTATAGCTGTAGGAATTTTTGTAACTATTACCTTTCCTCTAAGAGGTGTATTAGGAGTACCCCCAGGTCGTTCTGGTGTTCTCTGTGCCTGTGGTCTCTGTGTTCGAATAGGTGTACTCTCCTAAAAGATTGGAAAAATATATATAAAACCCATTCAGTATTTAGTTATGTTTAATTAACTGGTAAAATTCAATCAGCAAACAAATTATTTGGCTTAAATTTGAACTACTGGTGTTTGTTTTTATGTCTAGAAAGACAATGGTTAGATAAGAGACTGTCCTGGCAATGCCAAACTTTATTTCAATGCTTCCCTGCAGTGTTATCAATATCATCTTAGTTACAACTTACAGCTGCTGGTCCCGGGGCCGGTTGTTTACTAAGCTGTGACTGTTGTCGCATTAAGAAAACTTGTTCATCTTCTGCTATTATTTCTGCATCTCTCTGGACTGGCTGTAATATACAATGTAATAATTTAGTTTTAGGCAGTTTCAATTTCAACATTTTTCAATACTTTAGGTCTACATTGCTATACAGTAAAACAAACCAGTGGCTGCCAGACAGGATACGCCCACATTTTGCAAGAGATGGATCGAGAACAAGATAAAAACAAATGCAACTTTTTGTACAGTCAGGGACAATAATCCAGAAAGTTATGGCCTGAAATGTGCAAATATCAAAAGGACTGAGATCTTTGGGATATAAAGATATGTTTTAAGTTTCACCAAAATCGGATAAAAATTGTATTACACAATTCCACACAATTTGCGTACAAAGAGCGGCCATTTTGTCGGGCAGTTTCATTTCGATTTTCCCGAAATTTGAATTCAACGTTCATTATGGTGGAATGATGATGTATTTAAACAGTTTCTAAAATCGGAAAAAAATTGTGACCTAAAAATGCGATTTTTCGAACAATCACGGGCCATAATCCAGGAAGTTAAGTTCGGGTATCCGTGATTAACTAAAGGAACCAAGATCTTAGTGTGTAATGGTGATATATTCACACTTTTTTTAAATCGGAAAAAAATTGTGATTTTTTGTTCAATCAAGGGCCATAATTCAGGAAGTTACGATCCGATATGCGCGAATATCGAAAGGAATCAAAATCTTTGGGTTATAAACATGTATTTCTAGTTTCATCGAAATCAAATCAAAATTGTGACCTCTAGAGGGTCCACAACCTTGATTTACCAGATGTTTACACTATTTGTGTACGAGGGGGGCTATTCTGTCTGGCAGTTTTGGTCTGATTTTCACGAAATTCAAACTCAACAATCGTTACGGTGTGACGACTAAGCAAAACTTGAACCGGTTAGTCGGCGGCTAAATAACCGAACCGATTCGGTTTAGTCGGTAATGAAAACTAACTGAAAAATATTAGTCTTCCATAGTCTACAATACACGCTAATATACTGGCCTTTATATACGGAGCTTAAAACTGTAATGGCGACATACATACAGTTCTATGCTTTATGTGTCCAGTACATTAAAAAATTTGGTTTTGTTTGTACTATGTAGTTTGTTCAAATCTCCTGTTTAACCTTTTTAATAAAAGTAATAAATACAACATATAAAAAACTTCAAACAATGACGTATTAATCAATAATATTAGTGATAAACCGATGAGAAAGCGTATCTGGGCATCAGCTCAGTGCGCATGCCTATTGACCTAACCTGGAGGATTGCTTGTTTCTGATTGGGCACTTCAACCATTGACCTTAGCGACCAACCAATCAAATAACGTAATCTTAAAATAACTTCATTAGGTATGCAAAAACACACTCGCTTGTAATCGTGAGAATATCCACGACCGATTACGGAATATAGTATATACTGTCTCGTTATTATTATTGTCGACCATTTATCAATGATGTAGCTTATTGCTTATTCGCCCCCATAATTGTCGATCGTTAATACATGTATCTTTTAAAAAAAAAAACATGTTATAATATTCGGGCGACTGGTTTATATCATGCTGTATTTTTTAGACGACTATCGATTTTCCGAAACTTGAACCGGTTTGTAGGTAAAACCGAACCGACTCCGACTAAACCGACTAATCGTCACACCCTTACTTAAAATGCGATTTTTCGTTCAATCAGGGGCCATAATTCAAGAAGTTCAATTCCATATGTACGAAAAAAGAAAGAAACCATCTTACTTAGGTTATAAACATGCATTTCAAGTTTCATCAAAACCAGATCTAACAGCAATATATAAAAGTTTGGGTGATATAAAGGATAACATGAAAAAAATGGTAACTGTTAAAATGTTGGATGAAATAAATACAAAACTTAAAGATCTAGTAACTGTAAGTATGTTTGAGACTATGATACAAGACCATATGGACAATTTTTTCCGTGATATTAAATTCAGAGTTCGGGATCAAGTCAGAGACATCCTGTCAATTGAGCTAGAAAAACAAGGAAATGAATATGAGAGAGACAAACTGGAGATAGAGAGTCTTAGACAAGATATAGAGTGCTTAAAGGGGGAGCTAGAAAATTGTAAGAGCGTAGAAAGAGAAAATGCTATGGCAACAAAATCAGCTTTGATACTCGCAAACAAAAATGAACAATATTCTCGGAAAAAAAATATAAAAATTTACGGTGTGAGAGAGGCGAGAAACGAGGACTTAAAAACAAAATTCCTTAAACTTGCTCATGACTGTGCCGGTCTTAAGATTCCAATTATGGAAATAAATGCCATTCATAGAATACCATCAAAACATCCAGATAAACCTCGCCCAATCATATTAAAGGTACTAACAACATATGCAAAAACAGTATTAATGAGAAATCGTAAATACTTCAAAGAGCAAGGTGTTATCCTGCTAGATGACGTCACAACCAGAAACGTAGAGCTCATAAATAGACTCAAATCACATGAAGAAATAGAAAATGCATGGTATTTTAACGGAAATGTTCGTGGTGAGACATATGACAAAAGACGTATTATTTTCAATTTATATGATGACATAAATGAAACCCTTTTCAAGATTAAACCTGCCACTAATAACAGTAGTCAAGAAACAGTGCGTTAGATAACTAAGAAAAATGCGTATGACTCTATGCCCAGTGTAATATACTAACGTAGTTATTCAAAACCGTTCTAGTTTAAAGCGTTTAAATGACACCTTTACACAAACGAAAATCAGTCAAGACATCAGTGTGCCTATTCCAACATTACGATATATGTTTGCAATCTGTGTACATGTGTATAACTTTATGACATTTATACGTTTATGTTTTCAGCATTTTCATTCAAAACTATTTACAACTAATTTATACAAACTACATGGACTTATCAGTACAACTCAATATTTACTTTATTTTGAATTAGACATATTTGAAATTATAACGATTGGTCATTGTTTGTTACAATGGTACAAATTATTAGTATGAACAGTAGAGGGTTGAGGGATAGCTTAAAACGGAAAGATCTGTTTAATTATTTAGCAGAAAAGAAATACTCAATATGTTGTCTACAAGACACACATCTTTTGAACTCTGATTTTAAAAAAATGCATTCAGAATGGGATGGCGACATTATTTTAGGTGAAGGAAAAAACAATGCAAGAGGGGTCTGTATACTTCTAAATAATAACTTTGAATATGAGATAAAACGAAAACACATAGGTCAAGACGGTAATATTATAGCGGTTGAACTGCTTTTAGAAAAGGTAATTACTTTGAATTTAATTACAATATATGGTCCAAATAGAGATACTCCTGATTTTTATTGTAAAATGAAAAAGCTAATACGAGAATTTGACTCAGAATTTAATATCATTTGTGGCGATTTTAACCTTGTCCTTAATTATGATCTTGATTGTTTTAATTATGTTAAATATAACAACATAAAGGCAAGAAAAGAAGTATTAGATTTAATGAATGATGAAAATCTTTCAGATGTTTGGCGGGTATATTCTCCAAATAAGAAAAGTTATACATGGCGCAGAAAAAACCTAACAAAAAAGGCCAGATTAGATTTTTTTTTAATTTCCGAAGAGTTGATAAGTTTAATAGATAAACCAGAAATTTTACCAGGTTACAGAACCGATCATTCTGTAGTTTTCTTGAATATAAGAACTAGTTCATTCGAGAGGGGCAGGGGATTTTGGAGATTTAATAATACACTTCTCGAAGATGTTGAATATGTTAGAATAGTCAAAAATACGATTCTAGACACAAAAAAAGAATATGCCGCATTACCTTATGCGAGAGATAAAATAGGTCTTATTAAAGATAGTGACCTTTCATTTGTGATTAACGATCAATTATTTTTCGAAATGTTGCTACTCAATATAAGGTCAAAAACTATATCCTACAGTGTATTTAAGAATCGAAAAGAAAAAGAACAAAAGCAGTTTTTGGAAAAACAGTTACTCTTTCTGCATGATTTTCTTCAGGATAAAGATGACACGTTTTTAAATGAAATTTACCATGATTATTTAAATCAACAAGAACGTTTAAGAGAGAAATACATTAAAGGATTGATTTTAAGATCAAATGCTACATATATTGAACATGGTGAGAAACCATCCAAATATTTTCTAAATCTGGAAAAAAGAAATTATGTCAATAGGAATGTTACAAAAATTATTGATACAAATCAACGACTGATAACAAATCAAAAACATATTTTAGAAGCTATTAAGGATTTCTATAAAAATTTATACGAATCACGGGACAGTAGTTTAGAAGATGTTAATCTTGATGAAGTTTTAGCGGACCATAACATTACCATTCTTAGTAACAATGAAAGGGATAGTCTAGAGGGGGAGATAACAACTAGTGAGGCCCTGTCTGTATTAAAACATATGAAACCCGATAAGAGCAGTGGAAGTGATGGCTATTCGAATGAATTCTATAAGTTTTTCTGGCCAGACTTATCAATTTTCCTTGTCAGATCCTTTAATTATTCACTAAAGGCGGGTATCTTATCAGAAACACAAAGGCTCGGTATTGTTTCGATACTTCCAAAAGGGAATAAACCAAGGGAATTCATCAAAAACTGGAGACCAATTACATTGCTAAATACCTCCTACAAAATTCTATCAGCCGTTATAGCAAAACGTATTAAATCTGTTTTAAATTATCTCATTCATGAGGATCAAAAGGGTTTTTTAACTGGGCGATTTATTGGGGAGAATACACGACTTTTATTTGATATCTTGCAGTATACAGAAATTGAAAATATTCCCGGACTAATTGTTCTTATAGATTTCGAGAAAGCTTTTGATTCCATTTCATGGAGATTTATTGATAAAACTTTAAAATTCTTTAATTTTGGACAACAAATCAGGAAATGGGTGAACATTTTTAATACTGATTTTAAGCTCTGTGTTAAACAATTTAGTAAATCGAGTGAGTTCTTCGCCATCGGACGTGGCTGTAGACAGGGCGATCCGTTATCGCCCTATGTTTTTTTGCTATGCGTTGAAATTTTGGGTAGTTTAATAAGAAACGAGGAAGACATTAAAGGAATTAATTTAGGGAATAAAAACCAAAAAATCGTACAATATGCGGATGACACTGCTCTGACACTTGACGGTAGCGAAAAATCTCTTAGACAGGCCTTGAATCTTCTTAATGAATTCGCAAAATATTCAGGTTTAAAACCAAACTTAGAAAAAACTTGTTGTGTTTGGATAGGTTCATTAAGAGGAAGTCAAGAACGATTTTTAAATGTTAAAAAAAATTTAATCTGGGAAATATCGGAATTTACGGCCCTAGGAATAAAATACAGTACTGATATCGATAAGATAATAGACCTGAATTATAATGTTAAGTTTCAAGAAGTTTTTCACTTGATGTCAAATTGGTCTAAACGAAATTTAACTGTACTCGGTCGAATAACTGTCGTAAAGTCAATATTAGTACCAAAATTAAATCATTTACTAACAAGTCTACCTTCACCGGATATATCTTACTTAAAAAATATAGAGAAATCGTTATATAAATTTGTTTGGGGTAATAAAGCTGAAAGAGTGTCCAGAAAAACTATGGTTCAAAATTTTGAAAATGGTGGATGTAAAATGATTGATATAATAGCATACTCAAAGTCGTTAAAAATTACTTGGTTTAGAAGATTATTAAAACATCAAAACACTGCCTGGGCAAAATTGTTAGTTAATTCTTTACCAGATAAACAGTTGTTGGTTGGCTCTTTCGGGGATGATTATTTCTATAAACTATCAAAGCGTACAAAATTGTCTTTCTGGCAAGAGGTTTTTAATTATATAAGTATTGCGCTAATTAAGTTAAAACCGAAAGATAACGAAATACATAATATTCTACGTCAGCCATTGTGGTACAATTCAAATATAAAAATAAACAATAAAACAATATATTTTGATGTTTGGCATCAAAAAGGAATAAAGTATGTTTATGATCTTTTCGATAAAGGTGTTTTTATGACATACGACACGTTCAAATCTATCTATAATTTCTCTCCACACTTTACAGACCTGTATGGATTAAAACAATCACTTCTTGCTAAATGGACTACTTTAAACAACATAAATGCTAAAACAGTAGATGTCAGGTTAATATTACCCATTTACCCTCAAATTATTGAATTCATCTCTATGTTTGATACTGGGGCAAAATATTTCTACACACATTTCTTAGATAAAAAAATTCAAAAAACTAAATCCGAAAACTCATGGGAATTAGATCTAGGAATGAAATTAACTTTAGAAGAATGGGCTCGTATTTACAAGCAAACATTTGATTTCACCGTCGATACTAGGCTGAAATGGTTTCAATTTCGACTCAATAGTAGAATAATTGGTACAAATAAATTTTTAGCTAAAATTGGAATTTTTAAATCAGATTTATGTACCTTTTGCAAAAAAGAAACTGAATCATTAATACATCTTTATTACAGCTGTGAACATGTACAGGTATATTGGAAAGAATTAGGAAGCTGGATTAAACTAAAGGCAAACAATGATTTTGATATCACCTTGATAAAATGTTTATTTGGCATTGATACTGATAACAAAATTCCAAATTTGATATATAGTTTAGCTAAGTTACATATATATAAACAACGGCTTAGAGAAAATAAACCAATTTTGAAGGTATTTAAAAAAGAATTATCATGCTATTTTGAAAAAGAACAAATTATACTTGGTGACAAAGTTCATGATAGATGGAAACATTTTGAGGGTCTTTTCAGCTGAGCTTTTCCCTGTGTCAACCTTCCTCACTTAATTAGTATTCACTTAATTAGTATGTACGCTTTTAGACACTGGTATCCGTGTAGTTTGTTTGGGGGCGGGGTTACTGTATAGTATAGTATAGTATACTTTGTAGTGTATAATTCTTCTGACACAACAATAAATGATTTTCCGCGTGAAAAAAAAAAAAAAAAAAAAAAAAAAAAAAACCAGAGGGTCCACAACCCTGATACACAATATTTTGACACTATTTGTGAACGAGGTGTGGCCATTTTGTCCGTCAGTTTGCATCCGATTTTTACGAAATTCAAACTCAACCATCATTAGGTTGTAACGGTGATATATTCAAACGTTTTTTTAAATCGGATGAAAATTGTGACCTCTATGGTGTCAAGCTAAAAATGTGATTTTTTGTACAGTCTGGGGCCATTATTCAGGAAGTTGTGGTCCGATATGTGCAAATATCGAAAAGAACCGAGATCTGTAGGTTATAAACATGCATTTCAAGTTTAAACCAAATTGGATGAAAATTGTGACCTCTAAAACTAGCTAAAAAGGTGATTTTTCAAACAATCAGGGGCCATAATCCATGAAGTTACAGTCCAATACACGCCAATATCGAAAGGAACCGAGATCTTAGGGTGATAAACCTATATTTCAAGTTTCATTGAAATGGGATAAAAATTGTGACCTGTAGAGTGTTCGCAAGCAATTGTAGGTTGACGGACGGAAGGACGGACGGACTGGGGCTACGACAATATATGTCCACATGAAAATGTGGGCGCATAAAAATATTCACATGTTTTGAAATAATGTGCCTGTCTTGTCAAGGCGTTGTCACACACTGTCATCCAAGCCTTTTACTAATCTCTAGTGGACTCTGTCTGGTACTCATTAACAAGCCAACAGTGAGGCTGATGTCCCCCGCCAAAATCCCAAAATAAATAGATGACACATATTAATTAATCGCACATTTATTTTTTTCAAAAGTATCGAGCAATGAAACTATACACTAAGTTTCATCACTCTCTATCACAAAGAATCAAGGTTATCTTGTCCCAAAGCATCGACCAATGAAATTGTTTAGCTCTGCTTAGCTTTAGTACGAAATGTTAATCATTGAACTCAGTCAAGACATTCACCTAATGAACATCTACATCAAGTTTAAACATTCTATCTCAATTAAAAGCAGAGTTGTTGTGTTCCAAAGTCTTGACCAATCAAATTGCTTGCTGCTCCTTAGCCTAAGCAGAAAATTCTCACCATTGAACTTAGTCATGGTAATGATATAATGAATCTATATTATTAATAGTTTCATCGCTCTCGCTTCTTTATAACCAAAGTTATCGTGCCCCAAAGAATCAACCAATCAAATTGCTTATCTCTGCTTACCCTAAGCAGAAAATGCTCACCTTCGAACTCCATCAAGGCACTGACCTAATGAACGTCTACCTACACCAAGTTTGAACATTCTACCTCAACTAGAAGGAGAGTTATTGTGTTCCAAAGTCTCGACCAATCAAACTGCTTATCGCTCTGCTTACACTGAGCAGAAAATGCTCATTATCGAACTTAGTCAAGGTATTGATGTAATGAAACTATACACCAAGTTTCATCAATTTGACTTAATTAGAACTAAAGTTATCGTGGTAATATTTACCTTTCTGGTCATTGGTTTCATTATAATATCATCATAAGAATCTTCAGGTTTTATACTATTCATAGTTTCATATAAAATACTAATCTTTTTTTCATTATCCCAACCACACGGGCTGAAAATAAATAAATCGCACTTCATTAAATAGATAAATCACACACCATTAAATAGATCAAAATTAATAAAAACAGAAAACAATTAATGCACATATATATATCTATATTTAAAAGGTTTGTATTGCATTATCAATGATGATTACAAATAATCTATTGGGACTCAGAAACTTGACATTTTTCTGATAAATAAAACTGATTATCTTATTGTATAATGTAGGATCAGGTTTTAGCCTGATATTGTATTTCCTAAAAACACATTATAACATTAAAATTTCTGTTTTTGATAGTGTCTCAATGGAGATGCGTTTATTAACTTGGATAAATTTCCAGTAATTTCCTACCTAACGATTACAATCTATTTTGTGAAATCTTTATTAACATTATTTTATTTCATTTAAGCAAAAAAAAAAGAAAATATAAACATAGTATGAGAACAGGTAAAATTAAGAGACGTAAAAATATATCAACTTACACAAATACAGCATCTTTTTCTACTACGTAAGCTGGTTTATTAAAAGGAAAGCCGTAAATTCTGTGAGTCAGATATTTATATAATAAATCACAATTTCTATCTTCTTTAACAGAAGTATATATTAATGAAGCACCATCTATGCAAGAGTTAAGGAAGATCACTTCACAAAGACAAATATTTCGCTACAAAAATGTAAGGTGTGACATACATGTACAGTATGCTTTTCGCAACTTTTCTATGAAATACTGTATTATTACTGTGTTTATTATCATGGAAAAATTCTGTAATTTACAGAGTGAATATCACGATAGAAGAGCCAGTGTTGCTTTACACAGTGCTTATGATATATACATGTCTATATTAATATGAGATTTTAGGATCAACAATGTAACAAGATAGCCACGAATACACAGGGCTATCATTTGAAAATCGCTCCATTATTGTGTTAGTTATCAAGAATAATCTACAAGATAATAACCTTATTTCAAAAGATTCGATATGTGTGCTGTATACAAGAATACTAATAGATATATTTGGCAAATATTTTGAAAGCCGTCATCATTATCACAAACTTGTACGCTTACAAGTGATAAGATTGGTATATAGCGACAATTTCCAAAGTTAAGCAACAGTATCATTTTGATTTGGATCAAAAAGAGAAACGTCAATCTGATTGGATTTTATGTTTTAATTACTTTTCTGTCCTTGAACCCAAATCATTTTGTGTTTAAAGAGGTCCTGTCCATTTATCTGGATTAACTCATGCATATCTAAACACACTTTTTTTGAGTCAGTCTGCATAAGATCATCTATTAATTAGGCAACCATGTGGAGATATAGAAAGGATACAATTTAAACAAAACTTTCTAATATACTGTTGAATAAAATCGAAATGTTCATCTTTATAGTCATGTTCTTTTTCCAACGTTGAGATTCCATCACTCTAAAAATAGGCAAATGCATCAATTAAATATCAGGGCTGTTGGTAACATATCAAAGAAGCAAACTGTGAGACTGATGTCTCCCTCCACAATCCCCAAATCAATATTAATTAAAAAAACATTTATATTTTTAAAAAGCATCAAACAAACTGCTATGATCGAACTCAGAATCAATTAGAAGCACCTTAATTTCCCCCAAAATAAATGAAATTTATTGACTACTTGCACATTTCAAACAGTATTGAGTAATCAGTTTATTACTCTGCTTAACCTCTGCAGAAAATGTTCATTATCAAATATGGAACAGTCAATTTAGCAAGAGATAGAGAAATAGGGTTTAACGTCCACTCAACACAAACTAAATCATTTTATTCATTTTAGGACTAACGTAGTAACATATGGCACAACATAATAATAATAATTCGCTTGCGTGTAGGGGTCTTTAGTAATGGAAGGAAACCAGAGGATCTAGAGACAACCCACAAGGTTAGGCAGACCAGGTGACTATCTCCGGTCATGTACAAGTGTGGGATCAAAACCACACCACTTGACTCCATGACAGACCTTAGCCACAGCATAAAATGTTCATCATCAAACTTAGGCAAGGTATAACAAACACTTACCTGAAGTTTGAACATTCTACCAAAATTAGAAGCAGAGTTATTATGTTTCAAAAAATGTGATGGACAGACAGGCGTACAAACCCAATCTTAATAGTCCTTCCGCGCTGTACCATAAAGTCTGTCATTGAGTCAACTGGCGTGGTTTCGAATTCCCGGTAGTACGTGACAAGGAGTAGGGTCGCCTGTCCAACCTTGTGGGTTTTTTCCGGGTCCTCCGGTTTCCTCCCACTGCTAAAGACCCCTAAAATTAAACCATGTATTAGTCCCGAAATGACCTAGTTTGTGTCGAGTGGACGTTAAACCCCATTTCTCTCTCTCTCCTAAAGGCAGGGAGAATTATATTACAGTTTTGTTTTAATTTCTTTTTCACTTCTGTTACCACCACATTGTAATGTAACCTACCTCTATCAGCCATGTTTTGCTAGCTAAAGTGCAATGTACACCACCCTAAACTCTTATGTTTGGATTTTAAAATTCTAAATAATTTCAACATGACTTCATAAGTTTGGAAATGAATGGGGAGATAACTCTGAAATTTGTGATAGTGACAACAACATAGTGTATAATGATTGAATGAATGTGGGCATATACATAAGAGCATCGCTAGCGCTGCAATATACGTCCACATTCCAGCTTTGATTGATACTGTATTTTTAAAAATGAAGGATATGAAAAATGAAATGGCTGCAATAACTAATATGACAAGAAGCAAAGAAGGCTAGACGTTGGGTTTCTTTTGCGAAATTTTTTGCGAAATTTACAGCTAAATATTAACAAAAAAGTGGGCTTGACACCACCCCAATGGGTCAGGGCATGCACTAAAATAATAGTTGCTGTCTTCATGGTATAAAGAATAAAGTTCCAAGATAATCCATTCCAAATTGAAGACTGTAGGCGATAAACACAAAGATAGGTTGCCAGGCAACGAAACATACGCCCACAGCAACTAAATCGTCCGGGCAGTCAACAAGGGTTGTCGCATATTTTTACTTTTTTCGGTAATGAAACATTTATAATACACTAAAATCTGATTAAGAGCAACAACTCACGAAGTAATTATCAGAAAACTAATAGAATTTGTTTGGTTTTTATAAAGTTCTGCCCCATGCTAAGGTTTTGTATGCAAAGCTTTTAATATCCTGGATTTCTGTTCAAGTCATAAAAATTCATTGAAAATCAATATACTTGTTCGTCTCAAGATCTTAAACTCTGTGTATCAATCTGAAGTCAATCGGATGATAACTTTAGCCTTTAGAGCCTCACAAGATTTTGCAAAGTGATCAAGGGCCATAACTTTGGCAGTAATTATCGGAAATCGTTTAAAAATCAATATGAATCTTCGTCTCATGACCTCAAACACTGTGTATAAATTTAAACTCAATCGGATATTAACTCAATCGGATATTAACTTTAGCCTTTAGAGCATCCACAAGATTTTTTGAAGTGATCAAGGGCCATAACTCTGGCAGTAATTATCGGGAATAGCTGAAAATCAATAGGCTTCTTCGTCTCATGACCATTAACACTGTGTATAAATTAAAAGTCAATCAGATATTAACTTTGGCCTCTAGAGCGTCCACAAGAATTTTCAAAGTGATCAAGGGCCATAACTCTGGCAGCAAATATTGGAAATCGCTGAAAATCAATAGGCTTCTTCGTCTCATGACCTTAAACACTGTGTATAAATTTAAAGTCAATCGAATATTAACTTTGGCTTCTAGAGCATCCACAAGATTTTTTGAAGTGATCAAGGGCCATAACTCTGGCAGTAATTATTAGAAATCGCTGAAAACCAATAGGCTTCATCATCTTATGACCTTAAACACTGTGTATAAATTTAATGTTAATCGGATATTAACTTTAGCCTCTAGAGCATCCACAAGATTTTTTGAAGTGATCAAGGGCCATAACTCTGGCAGTAATTATCGAAAATCGTTGAAAATTAATAGGTTTCTTCGTCTCATGACCTTAAACATTGTGTATGTATTAACTTTGGCCTTTAGAGCATCACAAGATTTTTTTGAAGTGATCAAGGGCCATAACTCTGGCAGTAATTATCGGAAATCGCTGAAAATCAATAGGCTTCTTCATATCATGACCTTAAACACTGTGTATAAATTTAAAGTCAATCGGATATTAACTTTGGCCTTTAGAGCGTCCACAAGATTTTTTGAAGTGATCAAGGACCATAACTCAGTAATTATAGAAAATCATTGAAAATCAATAGGCTTCTTCGTCTCATGACCTCAAGCACTGTGTATAAATTTAAGGTCAATTGGATATTAACTTTGGCCTCTAGAGCGTCAACAAGATGTTTCAAAGTGATCAAGGGCCATAACTCTGGCAGTAATTATCGGAAATTGTTGAAATTCAATAGGCTTCGTCGTCTCAAGACTTTAAACACTGTGTATAAATTTAAAGTCAATCAGATATTAACTTTAGCCTCTAGAGCGATGGACGGACGGACGGGGGCGACGACAATATACGACCACATTTCAATGTGGGCGTATAAAAATTGGGCGGGACTCTGCCTGTGGGGTTTGGATATGGAACAATATAAATAGGTACCACCAGGTTATTGAAATGATAGATATTTGGACATGGACCAATATAAATAGTACAATCCTATGATGGATCATGCCAAATTGGATCCAAATCTGTAAATAATTGCAACCTGTATATCATTTACAGACAAAATATTAACAAAAAGTGGGTGTGGCACCGCCCAAAGCCGGGTGGGGGAATATCATGCACCAAAATCAATAGTTACCATCTTAGGGTATAAGGAATAAGTATGTAAAGTTTCAAGACGATCTGTTAAGAATTGCGGTCTGTAGGCGACACACAGACACACACACATAGACACAGACAGGGGTGACAGCCATATACGTTCACATTTGAAAAAGCAGTGTCTTCACTACCTTTGTTAAAACTACAACTACTGGAATTCCTAAATTCTGTGACAGTGTATTTTCGCCTAATGGTAGTAAAACTTTTTCTTCACCCTCCGTGGTTGGGGCTGTTGGATGAAGAGGGTTAGCATCTCCTCGAGGTGGTGCCTGACTGGACGTCTGACCCTCTTCTGGCTCTGTATATTCTTGGAAGAACCTAATCACTATAAACATAGAAAATGATACTATTAAAATAAAAATTGGTGAGTTCATTGAACATTTATGAAAAATACCTTACTAGTGATGGTCCGATATGGCTACCATCGGTTCTACTGATATCAGATACTGACAGCGAAATATATCGGCCTATACAGATACATGTACAATTACCGATAGTGGTGGAAATAAAACTATTACACATTAAAATGTCATGAATGTAATGATAATTGATGTAGTAACATGCCATTGTTAGTCAGGAAACGCCCGGTACTATTTTACCTCGGAACGCCGTGGTTTTTTTTAACGAAAAATAATTGGGTCTTGAAGTAGTAAGATTTGGAACTATTTCACCTCACCGAGAGTGATCAGAGGAGGCTCATTGTTTATTTTAAATAAAAATTCAAAAGCCTAAAGAGGTATTATTGTGCGAGTTTTTGATCTCTTATTTCTGGTATAAGTCCACTGCATGATGACATACAATATCAGCATGCATTGAAGGGAGGCTACAGTGACGTAATGTTATGTTCTCTAATTTTATCTTTTTAATCATCATGCAATGGGCTTTTCCATATTTCAGTCACATGTTTTATCGGGTCGACTGCTGTATGTTTATGTCTGTTTGCACATGCGCAGAAATATTATTCTTAAACTCTCGATGTCTGAATGAAATAAAGATTAAAAAAATAACGTAGACTGGTAACGATTTTACACTGTTTATTAGTTCCCTTTACGGCCTCAGTGTGAATTCTTTTATTATGTCTAAATAGTCCTGTGCACGGCAACTAAAATAATTGACAGAGTGTCAAACAAATTAATGATTTAATTGTTCATAACTCAAATGATATTTTAGAATTATTTACAGAGAGAGTCCTTTTGAACAGATATCGGCAACTCAAGTATTGGCAAAATGGATCAGTATCAGTCGATACTGATTTCTTACGATAGGCCACTTATTGGTCAATTACCGATTTTTTAACCAATTATCAGACTATCATTATACGGTACCTTGCTCTAACTAAGTAGACCTAAGAAAGTTATTCTTGTGGTCTCAGAATAGTCATAAAGTCATATCAAATTTCATAAAAATGACACCATATTCTTGGTTGATTTAGCCTACCGGTATATATGATATTCACATTCAATACGTTACATTACAAGCCCTTATAACATAATATTTCTAAGTGTTTCTGCTCGATAAAGACAAGAGTACCATCATCGAAACGTTTCTAGTAGATGTATATCATAAACCAGTAATCTTTATCTGTATGTGTTGCATTACTATTATTTCTGTACAGACTGACACACTACCCTAAACAAATTCTCTAATATTAATAATCATCCACTGACGTTCGGACTAGATACTGGTAATACTCAACCAATAATTTCTTAATAATATTGACAAGAATGCAGTTGCACCATGCAAATCATATTATTGCACTATTTCCTTAGTATGTTTATTAACTTTATTTGCGTTTTATAGTGCATTAAAACATAAGACATGCACCTGTTACAAGTTAGTAAAAGTCATTTAATAACTAATCTATACTATATATTACTCATTGTACATATATTCTACATATGGCTATAATAACAAAAAATCAATAAATCTCCTCCCCACCTAGTCTACTCAAATACATTACAATTCATACTATTACTAAAGCTAGTCAAATATCACATTTCCTTATTCAATATTTAGCTTCATTTATTGACAAATTATAATAATAAGTGTCAGAAAAACCTTGCATGCAAATGAATTTAAATGCAATTTAGGTGAAACTCAACTGAAAAACATAGTAAAAAAAAATTCAAAATCACACAGTTTTTTTTACCAATCTATAAGAAAAGAGAACTTACAACTTTGCTCATACTCTTGCATGGTCTCTGGGGGAATTTTTAATCTGTCGATATGTTCTCGTAAGATTCCTGACCATCTTTTAACTGATTCCATTATAGACCATGGATTGCTCATTGAAGCCACCAACAGAACTAAAGAATCAGCAAAGCTTTCTGGGGTTAACGCAAATCTTAACAATCCTGTATGTTCTGGATCTCCATCCATTACCCAAACATTTAACCGAGCTTGTTCTGGAATTAGTAATAATGTTTGATTATTAATAAGTTAGCTTATACTTATAGACTGTATTTTTAATAATCAAAAGCAGCCAAAAAGAGCTAGGCCTATTTAGTGATAAATACACGTAGTCTCTCTTTACCAACTTACAAAAGGTACCATACATGAACTGTATATACAGTCCATAATCCAGATATCACATAAGTTTATGGTAATGAATTTTTAAATATTTAACATTCTTCCATTTCGATTGAAATGGATATCTCTGAGTAACTGACTACTGTACATTATTTGTCTTGATTACCCAGTAATAATAAATCAGTTTTGGTAGTTATCTTTTTTTTAAAAATTACAATTAAGTTAGCACCTAAAAATATACTGGTTTTCCACATCATTTCAAAGCCTGAATAAATGTGATGGAGTTTAATCCCCACTAACACCAACCTTAATATACAGCTAAGAAGGCAATACAACTCTCAAAATCAATAATTTTGACCAGAGTAAAAGAGACTAACTGTGATCATTGTAACTAATTTATATCTTTCTCTATGGTCTCAGTCAAATAATTATTTAGATTATTTATACATCACTACTGGTACTCATTAGACCCATCTATCCATCCAGTCTAAAGACTAAATCAACTGGTATTCTAATCTCCTGAACACAATATTCAATGGCTTGTAATGTATTCTTTTAGCTATACCTGTAGAAACCCTACTTCAAAGATAGGTTGCCAGGCAACAAAACATACAACCCCAGCAGCTAAGTTGTCCGGGCAGTGAACAAGTGTTGTCGCATATTTTTTCTTTTGTCAGTAGGCCTAATGAAAATATGTACAATAACCCATGAAGTTATTATCAGAAAAGATTAGAATTTGTTTCGATTGTCTCATGACCTTAAAGCTACGTTCCCAGAAAAGTATTTATCGGGTGGTTATTTCCAATAAAAGTATGGCAATTTTGGTATATATGGAAAGTAGAAATCTCCAATCTTACTAGAAAAATACTGGATTCCCTGAAAAACACTCATGGAGCGCATACAGGACAAAAATGTAAGGGTTTCCCTAATCGACAGCCCAATGATTAGGAGTGTCTGCACGCGTGATGTCAAAGGTTGCACGCGGAGATTGAGCGCTTGATGTACATTTTGATGTACTTTATGAAGAATTAGACGTACAACACTTTCTGAGATAAAAATCACGAAAAAAGATGCGGGCAGTGGATAATCCGAAAATTTAATTTGGCTTCGATATTTGTAATAAACAGTCAGCAATTAAAGAGAACATCATCTTGTGTATGCAATGGATTCTCCTCCGACTTCGCTTGCGTTGCTACATGTAGGTACTGAGAGAGGTAAGTCACGTGACACAAACATGACCTCTTTTGATTGACTTTTTATAGCCAGGGTATTCCCTGACAATTGCAATGTTTTGAGATGGATTTGAAGCAAAATTATGATAAATTAATTCGTTTGTATGTTTTTAGTCCAAATATATCATCAAATCACCCAGTTTGTACCCGGGAATGTATCTTTAAACAATATACATCATCTTTAGACTCTAGAGCGTCCACAAGATTTTTCAAAGTTATCATTAACTCTGGGAGTAATTATCGGAAATCATTGAAAATCAACAGGCTTCTTCGCCTCATGACCTTAAACACTGTGCATAAATTTAAAGTCAATCGGATAGTAACTTTAGCCTCTAGAGCGTCCACAAGATTTTTCAAAGTGTTCAAGGGTCATAACTCAGGTAGTAATAATCGGAAATCGCTGCAAATCAATAGGCTTCTTCATCTCATGACCATAAACACTGTGTGTATAAATTTTACAAGTCAATCAGATATTAACTTTAGCCTTTAAAGCATCCACAAGATTTTTCAAAGTGATCAAGGGCCATAACTCTGGCAGCAATTATTGGAAATCGCTACAAATCAATAGGATTCTTCGTCTCATGACCTTAAACACTGTGTATAAATTCAAAGTCAATCAGATATTAACATTAGCCTCAATGTGGGTGAATAAAAAAAGTCAGCCCAAAAAGACATCTAATTACAAGATCTTGAAAGTTTAGCTTAACAATCAATGATAATTTTTTTTTTTAAATAATTTCAATTTCAAACATCTTGTGTGCTGACCGCCATCCACCTTTTTGTTAGATGATGATTCTTTAAGTAAATAAAAAAACAATAGTTTTACACTGTATAATATTAGTCCAGTATCTGCCCTGAAGGTTTAAAATCAAAACAACCAAAGCAACTGAAATGTTTTGTAACACTTACCATCTCTATATTCGTCTTTGACATCTATATAATAATATTCTAATCCAGATCCCTTTTTAGGTTCTTCTATTCCTTGTAATTTGGCTATTAAAGTTGTTTTACCAGAATCATTGTCACCTGAATAAATACAATTGATCATTATTCATAAATTTTTTTCACTAACTTAACAGTTACACATACATTTAGATAAAACGTTTTGCTAAATTTAAATTCATACTTACAGTTACACTTAGTACATGTAGTTAGTACATGTAGTTGGTGACACAAACTTGGTCCACGATCTTGATAGGCCTTCACGTATAGATTGCTAAGATGAGATTAGTGCACATGTTTTGTCTCGGCCTCTTCTTTTTTTGTCTACGGGAGCCACGGTGGCTAGGTGGTTAAGACGCTGGCTTGCTAGCCTGGAGGTCGGGTGTTCGATCCCTGCATTGGCCGAGAAAGTTCATCTGGATTTTCCGACGTGGGTTCCCCTTGTCAGTGGTGCAGAACGGTGGGCCTGGCAAGGACAGCTGTCTAGTCCTTCGGATGATATGAAAAACGGAGGTCCCGTGTATACATTTGAATGCACGTAAAAGATCCCTTGGCAGATGGAATTCGATATAAGAGTAGGCGATAGTGCCACTGCCCGGGCAAAATTTCCCTCATAGCACACTGCATGGCGTATGCCCGTCTTCATTAGCCCAGTATAGGAGCAGAACAGTAGGACGTTAAACCCCATTTCATTTCTATTTTGTCTACATGACCATGACGGTCTTCTCTGTGGATTAAGTTTGTGAAAACCACGATTCAGAGAAAAATTATGGACTGGATTACAGAAATTAAACCAGGGCTGCTACACTTCTATGATGTGCGCTTCACGTCATACGTCACAAAAACTGATGACGTTTACCTGTCTAAATGTAAATGTAAGTGTAGATGTAAAGCTGTGAAACCTCTCTATTATCAGTATAAAATTACAGATAGCCATGCAAAGTGTGGAAATACGCCAATGCAGCAGCTATGTTTTGTATTAATAAAGCTGTATATTGTTTAACATGTCTGCTATTCTTAGATATTGGGGTACATTTTTTTTTTCACGATGAAATATCGGAAACAATATAAAACTGCGGAAATACACTGCTGTTTTTATTAGAGGTAATCAGTGTACATGTATGTTAATAACAGGCCAATTGCCTACACATGAACATAAACAGTTCATATGGGCGGCTTATCTGACGGCCCCATTTCACTCGCAAAGCGATACAGTGTCCTCATTTTTCATCAACCCTTCCTTGAAGTTTCAAATTTGACAATGAACCCCTCCCACGTGTATGGCGCTATTGCGTGTCGCACATGCAGCTCAGTGGTTCTGTTGGGGCGATAAGTTCTTCATCTGTGAACATACTCTCAAAGCATGTCAAGTGTCCATGACTATTCATCATATCACAACCTGCATAGGTATTTGCATTTCAATATCCCCTACTTTTTTTGAAGAGTATATATTGAAACAACACATTACTTAATGTCTCACTAGTGACTATCAAATTAAACCACATTGAATTTACACTTCTTTTCACTAGCCATCAAGTATATTGTCTTCAACATTGACCACATGGTGGAGTAAAATACTTTTACTATCTTGTCTATAATAATATATATTATTTATTCTATGTCAAATTGTATAAGGAAGGAGTTTTTCCTCCATTTGAGAGACTATATGTACCTCATCTTATAACCTTTTCATTCCCATGTAGTAATTAAACATATTAACACTAGGGTGTAGGTATAAATTTATGAATACACAATTACTGAATTTATTACAATACTACTAAAATACCCTCATCTTTATCAAGTAAATCATACAAATTTATAACTTGTCTATCATCCACATATTAGTGGCTCGATAGAGACAATGTATTTTTTCAAAACATTGCATATAAATTCAGTAATACTAATAGCATGTCCATTAAATTATACCTTGTGTTCATTTAAATAATATGTGTCACATAGTAGGTACATGTACCTGATAAACAGAGAGTTCCAGTACATAACTCATGTATGTCACAAAAGTGCATGGAATGTAAAGAAAAATTTGAACATCTTTACGACATTATCATGATGTATTACAAATAGGCCAAACTATATTATGAAGTATGTATGTGAAAGAAAACAATGTGATACTGGTAAATGTACCTGCAATTCCTTGGTTCAAACAAGAAATGATGATGAATACAGAGTTCAAATTTTCTGAACCGGTTTACCTCTGTAAACAAACTGTGACCAGTTGAGTGAGTAACTGTTTCTGTGTATTGTGCCTTGTCCGTATATTTGTTTTTGTGTAAATTATGTGTGGTGCAGCCCCCTTGCACTTACTATTATAATTACATCCTTACCCTTACTTTCAACCCATACAGATTTGCCTTTATATTCAATTATCTTGACATTCTGGTTAAATTTTCATATTTCATGCTTTATTAAATTTTTTCATGTACAGTAGAATCTGTATGAGCAGCCACTCCTACTCAGCGACATCTCCTTGTAAGCGGTCACGATAAATTCCCCCCATAAAAATTCTGTTGTTTCATCTCTTTATTCAACGGTCACTCCTCTAACGCGGCCAGCGGTCACTATTTTACTAATAAATTCAACAAAACATCGCCCATTCAACGGCCATTGTTGAATGATACCATCTTGTCGCTCTTTGTAACACCCCCGCTAATCCCGTGAGGAGTAGTTAATCAACTGGACCCCCACTGATCAGGTAAAAAGAAATGTAAAAATAACAACCAACCCGGCATTATCTATTAATTAATCTTTTGTTTTATTAAACAACTAACCTGATCATTGTTTTCACGCGTAACCACACATTATTTGATACTGATTGAATAAAATGAAAGTACCGGGTTTTGTCACGATCATCTAGTATTTTTATTGTTAAACAGACGTTTTAGCGCCTCCTATATTATTACATACAGAGTTACATCCCCTGTAAATAGGAGATAAAATTAGCGATGTTTTTTTGTTCATGTGCTTTTTTGATAAAATAAAATTAATTCATCGATTTTCTTCACAAAAATGGATAAATATTATCGAATGCATCACAATGGTAGACAGTAGTATCGAAGGTTGGTACAAAATGACAAGTATACAGAAGTTATGTACGAGATTTGAGTAAAGCATTTACGTTCGGCGCAAGATTCAGCTACTCAAAATTACCGCTTCTAATGCATTCAAGCGTAATATTTAATTTATGTCAGCACAAAAAGCACCAAGATTTTATTACGAGGTCACTCCCGTTAAGTTATGTCCGAGATTTGATTAAAGAATTTTCGTTCGGCGCAAGATTCAGCGACGGTCAAATTTACTGCTTCCAATGCATCCAAGCGCAATATTTAATTTATGTCAGCACAAAAAGCACTGAGATTTTATTAAGAGGCCACTCCCGTTAAGCGGTCAGTTGTGAAAATTCCCTTGGGTGGCTGCTTAATGCAGATTCTACTGTAATTGTAAATGTTATGATCTTTGCCATTCACTTTGACATTTTGAATTGTCTGTATTGTATTTGAGTAACACTGTTGTTTTGCAGATCCATACCTACAACGGAGAAGGAACTTAATGCATGACAATATCATTTTGTAGTAGACCTGCTACTTTTTGTAAACCCATTTTGCTAAATTGCTAAAGTAACTGCCACGATAAGAATAGTATTGTAACAGTGTATATGCTACTTCTGGACTTCTGTGTGATCCCTGTACTGACATGATAACTACATACTACATACAAGTAACTATTACAGTGTTATATTATCCTATTCACACTACATGGCTATTGATTGACTACTTACCTAACACTAATACTGTCCTTGAATTAGATAATTTGGATGCTGAACTAGACTGTACTTCACTTAGAATACTTGCCCTGAAAATAATAAATACATTAATCTTAATTTTTCTATATTAAGCTTACACATGTATCATAATTATAAATTTGGATAACATGTATCCATTAACATCATTATAAAATAATAAACAAAAGTATTGTGAGTTTGTAATCAATATCAACAAATATGGGTTGAAGAATATCAAAGACCAAATCATATACCGATGTTTACTCATTTCAAATACATGTAAGCTCACATGTACTTAAAAACGATCACAATGTCACAGTTGATCAATTAATAGTTTTTCATATTCAAGCAGTTATTAGTTTTGTGCCATCTTTGTGGTCCTAAATATATATTTCACTTTTAATTCAAACAAAATATTTGTTGGGAATAACATGCACAGACTCAAGTCTATAAAAGAAAGTAAGAGAATACAGAAGTTATAATTTAAGCTAGTCAATCACTTTGCCCTGTGAATTGTTAGTGAAATAGACAAACTTAGTTTGACTTATGAATAAGCTTATATATATGTTCTAATACAAAACATGTATAACAAGTTTAGGCTAACACTTGTAAAAAAGAAGTTTACCCTGGAGCTACATGTACCAGTATTGCTATTTACATGTCAAACCCACAAAATAATATTATTTATTATTATTACTATTATTAGTACATGTAAGTAGTACTGTACAATGTACATCTTACATTTGTATAAATTAGTGATTAAAACTAAAAGTCAGTTTTTAAATAGAGAAAGCTGTATGTCCATATTAGACTTTTTAGAATTCATGCACTGTAATTAATAGTTACAATACTCCATATTCCACAGCAGACCACAGTGTTAGGGTGGCCCACGCACCTACAGAAATACAGTCCACCGCTGATAGTTCGAGACTACCACTGAAGCGTGCACATTCGCCGTGTCGAGGCCAACTTTCTGACAGTATGATACTATAAATAGCCATGGCACGTGCAATTCTCTACAAATCTATCAACTATTACAGCCGTAAAAAAATTATTGTTGACGATTTTGAATAGCAGTGAAATTAAGCTTCTTGGTTATTACAGCAGATTTAGAAATTACGTTCGTTTCATTTTTTAAATCGCTTTATCATTAACTGTACCGTTAAGAGCGGCATCTTTTGGTTTAGTACAAATAATATCTCAGAAACACTCGGGTTAGACAGGAACATGATACTAGCAGTAGTTTCATTTTACTTTTACAAGCTTCTTAAAACAATTGTTGAGCTAGCTAACGTGCTCATTTCTAAATTCAATTTCTTGTTCTAGCTTTCTGTTATGTTTCGTAAAAAAGTAGTTTTGATTATCCCGACCTGTCAATCAGCCCTAGAATGGTCGATAGACTGGTTAAGCGAGACTAATTTCAAAACAAGGGCACGTAACCTATCTTTTACTCAAAAGTGTCTGGATGTTATGGACGACACATGGAACCAGTTTTCAGTCTATTATTTATAGATGATTAATGAATTAATGGTCATAGCTTATTAAGTACAACATGATCGTTTATTTAGTGACTATAATTGTGTGAAACTGATTTGAGGCTTGGCATATATATAAATATTGTGGCGAAATTGTTGAGATATATGGAGATATTTATTTATGGTGGGTCACCCTAATTAGTAACAGTGTCCTGTGTAGACCTACCTAGTCCCTACTGTCATCAACAATGTCAATTAGGATTACATGGACACATTGATTGCTGTAGCGTAATGATACATGCACTCTAAGCTTATGCAATTGTTCTGCATAGATCATACGAAGTCCGTTTTTACTTCTGTGGCCTATTCCAAATCCATTTAAATAGTCATAACAGGTATGTCTAGTGTTACTGGCTAAACAGGTAATACTACGTCTACGATGAGGACAATAATTAGTAAAAATTAGCCTAGTTCAAGTGCTAATCTATGCCAGACAATATCAGATTAATACTAGATCCTCACATATAAGGAGCAGTATGAAAGGGCTTTGATATAATGACTACAATATTTATAATTCAATGTACTTGATGAGGATTAAAATTCCATTCGTGTCATCGGTCTTTACAGTCAAAATATAAATTCCACTCTCCAGAACGACTAGAAAAATTCCTGCAGACATTCCATCCGAAGCTTTAAAAAAATACTACCCAGTGGTCTTTGGGGTAAACGTTTTGAACAAACTGATTGTTGGGTATAGGGCACCTACGCCTATAGGTTCATTTACCATAAATTCTGTGATTCGTCTGAGCTAATATCCTCTGTAACGAGTGAGCCCATCCTGTCATCCCCTTCACCGATGGGCGCCATATTGCTCCGTAATGGCTGAACTCTCTTCGCGCATGCGTGTTTGCCAGGTGTCTAATTCATGCGAGAATGATTCATCTGCTGTGTGATGTCACATGTAAATAGAAAATCGAAAGATGAACATATTATTATGCTTCTAGATACAATTTTCGATATTATATCGTTCATTTCATGTTGCCTAAAAAAAAAAAAAATAAAAATAATAATATATGTTAAACAATATTTTAGTTTAGTAACATGTTAGACTGTGTATGGGCGTGTAAAACTGTAAAGTAGAGCAAAAGAAAATTTGTCCGTCCCCAGTCCGACCATTTTCCAGCCGACCCTGCAACGAGTACCGCACAGACTACGCTACCGTAATGGGACTAGTAACCTACACAGAAAAATCACAGAAAAATAACGCTGAAATACTATTTGCTTGGATATCATTTTATTTTTTAAATTATGACAGTCTACTTCTCTTTGGGATCTATTTTAAAATACTGGATTTGCCCCCCTTTAACTAAAAATTTACAAGAAGGCGAAGAAATTAATGCTCAATGAAATAAAATGACTTATCTGCACCAACCAAGATAATAATGAGAGGGCATACGATTGTTTAATCAGGGAAATGTTGCCATGACAGCGGCGTTTCTACCTACTATTGGCAAAATTCAAACCGCTAAGGGGTCTGACGTTCACACAGCTGGCCCGTAGCCACGCGCGGGGGGGGGGGGGGCTAAAAAAAATCAAACCGGTCACATCCTCGGCCCCTCCCAAAAATTCCGCTGCCCCACCAAATTTTATGAGCTGGCTACGGGCCCGGCCCACAGACCACACGAGACCTCTGACTAGATTAGAAGTTGTTCTTGGCAGGTTTTCCGTCCTCTGCACCACTGACAAGGTGGAAACCAATCTCGAGGTACTTTTTCAGATAACACACAAATCAAACCACTGATTTGTCTCGGACCTCCTGGTTGGTGAGTGAGTCAGTGGCGGCGCCAGCCGTCGGTGATTGGAGGGGCAAAGCTGGGGCAAAGTCCAAGGTTAAGGGGACAAAGGCACGAGCTTCAACTAGGGGTAGGGGGCCTCCCCCAGAAAATTTTGAAAAACAGGTTGCCGGAAATACAGCCTGGCAGTATTTCAGGCACTGATCGATGAGGTAAAGTGTCAAACGAACGGACTTGCGAATCACGACGAAGCCCACTCACGAGCGTCAATGTAAGGAGTCCTCTCCCAGAAAATTTTGAAAAATAGACTGCCGGAAATGCTGTCTTACAGTATTCTGTCAGGCACCGATCGTCGAGATAAATAGATCTGCCCAGATATACCGTTCGTCGCCTGATCACTAGTTTATATCCGACTAGAGAACAAAATGTCAAACGAACGGACTTGCGAACCTCAACAAATTCCCCTTGTGAGCGCCAAAGTAGCGAGTCCATTGGGGACCTCGCCAAGAAAATTTTGAAAAATAGACTGTCGGAAATGCTCTACAACATGCAAGTTTATGACTGAGTGGGGATGTGGGATTTATTCACCGTAGAAGGTATTGATTACCGAAACGTATCACAAATACTTTTTTTTATTTTCTAAAATTATTGGGGGGGGGGGGGGGTGGCAAACAGAGGGCAGACCAGATTAATGGGGTTGCCCCCCTTTGCGCCCCCCCTGGAGCCGCCACTGAAGTGAGTGAACGCCTGGCCCTTTTCTTTTGTCACTGAGCCAGCATATCCCTACAAACTGAAATCCAAAATCAAAAGATTTAATCTTATCATTTAGTTTTGGGTGATTTGGGATTTAGGGGGTAAACATAACGGGAAATATTTAGTGGTGGTGATGAGCATGGGATGGAGAGTATGTGGGGGGGGGGATATCTCCGCCACTGCAGCCTTTGGATGGGATGTAAAAACGAACAAATGAATATCTTTATTCTGCAAGTTTATCATCAAATTATGCACAAAATTATATAGCTTAAAACATCGGTTGAGATGTGTTCGGGTATATTATCTCGAGCGCTCGACTTAGTATCTCGAGCGGACGACTTAAGTATCTCGAGCGCTCGACTTTACTATCTCGAGCTCTCGACTTAGTATCTCAAGCGCTCGACTTAGTAGGCTATCTGATCTCGAGCTCTCGAAATTTTTTTTTTTTTTTTTTTTTTTTGCATGTCTTAAAGATGGGTTCCCGCGTATAAACTGGGTGATTTAATGGAATATATGGACTAAAAACATATTCAAACTAATTAATTTGTCATAACTTTGCTTCAAATCTTTCTTAAACATCGTGTAATTGCGAAGGTTACTGTCCTGCTATAAAATTTCGACCATACCAGGCCATGTTTACGTCACGGGACTTACCTCTTTTGGACGTCAGATGTTGTCTTTAATCGCTTACTATTTATTACAAATGTCGAATCCTAATTAAATTCTCGGATTATCCACTACCCGCGTCTTTTTCCGTCATTTTTATCTCAGAAAGTGTTGTACGTCTAACTCTTCATAAAGTTTATCAACTTGTACATCAAGCGCTCAATGTTCGCGTGTGACCTTTGACATTACGCGTGCAGAAATTCCTAATCGTCAGGCTGTTGATTAGGGGAACCCTTACATTTTTGTCCAGTATACGCTCAATATGTGTTTTTCGGGGAATCCAGTATTTTTCTAGTAAGATTGGATAACTCTACTTTCCATATATACCAAAATTACCATACTTTTATTGGAAATTACCACCCGATAAATACTTTTCTGGGAACCCATATTTAAATCAGCCACCGCACAACTTACATCCACCGAGGTATTAAAAAAATTGAGTTAAAATAAAAACGCGAAGCCACTGGATGTGTATTGAACTCAACATTTTAAAGGGGCTAAATCGCTAACATTTGGGACCTAGAAATTGACAAAAGTGGGTCGCAACGCATATAATACTGTAATATGAATGTATATAAACTGATTTACATTCAATGGTTTCCGTTTTTACTCCAATTTCAAATCAGTTATGTTCGGCGAAATAAGCCAGCAGTCTCAAGCGAGTGCAAATTTCTAGCGTCTGGTTATTCCAGTCTACATACGCCACTTGATTTGGTGCAATGTGTCTAGCCTCGTCCCTCGAGTCTCTTGATACAACTGGGGCTGAAGCGCACTATGGTACACGATTCGTGTACCAATGGTAAAATGTTTATTTTGTCTTAAATATTGGATATCAAAAGCCCATCTTTTTCCGGTAAGATCACAACATGAATGTTGATTTAATTTGACAAATAAATCGTGTTTTCAATGTTGAAAATTTTGGATGATATTGAGTTAGAGACTTAGCTACTTTAATATTGCTTATAATTTGTAGTGGGTCCAGTTTGGGATTTATTAAACAAAGTTATTTTTATTATAATTCAAATCTGTAGAAATCGTGGAATACGGTTTAATTTGAAGATTTTGATGCATGACAAAAAAAAACCCCAACAATGTTGACATTTTTTGTGAGGGTCTTCATAGTATGGGACGCCATTATTTGGAGGGTATAGCCATTTTGCGATTATATCCAACTTATTTTTCATTTTTAACTTATTTATAATGTTATCCATATATTTTGCACTGTATTAATATTGGCAGAGTAAGGACTATATTTCAGATTTTTTCCAACACTGCGTGAAGATATTTCCAAGACGGCGGCCATTTTTAGCGGGGGAAAATCGGACGACGTACTGATATTTATTAAGTAGCCGTGTTTGGTGTCAATATATATGTTTCCAGGGGGCGCAGATTCCATTTCTGCCATTTAGAACTGTGTAACATGTTAGCATATTTAGCATTTTCCCAATATGGCTGCAATTTGGGGGATGGAAAATGGGATGATGTGCTGATTTTGATTATTTGAAGGGTAGCCATTGTGCGATAATAATCCAACTTATTTTTTTTTTATTTTCAACTTAATTATAATGCTATAGCACTGTATTTATATTGGCAATGGTCATATGACAATATTTCAGATTTTATTTACATCACTTCATGAAGATTTCCAAGATGGCAGCCAATTTTGGAGGAAAAATGGGACGATGTGCAGATTTTGATTAAGTAACGGTGTTTAGTGTCAATATAGGCTATATTTTGTTTTTAATCGCCCACATTTTTATGTGGACATTCTCGTCGACCCTGTCTGTTCGGAGGCTTGTCTGCTTCTCCGTCCGTCCACAATTTGTGTGTTAACACTATGCCCTCTGTTTCCCCCCCCCCCCCAATAATTTTAGAAAATAAAAAAAGTATTTGTGATACGTTTCGGTAATCAGTACCTTCTACGGTGAATAAATCCCACATCCCCACTCAGTCATAAACTTGCATGTTGTAGAGCATTTCCGACAGTCTATTTTTCAAAATTTTCTTGGCGAGGTCCCCAATGGACTCGCTACTTTGGCGCTCACAAGGGGAATTCGTTGAGGTTCGCAAGTCCGTTCGTTTGACATTTTGTTCTGTAGTCGGATAAACTAGTGATCAGGCGAGTCCAGGGGCGTGCTGGCAGGGAGTTTAGGAGGACGGTGTCCTCCCAGGCCCCCATTAAACAATAAGACCACCCGTATAAGCGGGCCCCCCTGAGAGCTCTAATATTCACGCGGAATCCCCTCAAAAAATTGAGAGTGCGCACGCGAAAAATCTTACATACACAACGATTAGTAAAATATATTATGCTGACGTGCAAATGTCTGCCACCTTAAGGTGAAATGGTCTTTGATACATGTATTCATGCCTCGATATGTATAAGATGCAATTTATTATTTGGATAGAAATACATTGTATTAGCATTATATTAAGCAGACCTGTCATGAGTGTCTTGTGTAGTACAGTAGTATGTCTTATAGTCAAAATAGCAGCATAAATTTGGAAAATATGATACCTAGATTTCTCCCAGAAGTGCTTGCAAAACGCGTTTCCCGTTGTCAAATTTCCAAATTTCCCCCTACCATCGGTGCGCGGGTCGCCTTCGGTGACCGACGGGCCCTTTCGGTATCTGGTCAGATCTATTTGTCTCGACGATCGGGGCGTGACAGAATACTGTAAGACAGCATTTCCGGCAGTCTATTTTTCAAAATTTTCTGGGGGAGGACTCCTTACTTTGACGCTCTTGAGTGGGTTTCGTTGTGATTCGCAAGTCCGTTCGTTTGACACTTTACCTCATCGATCAGTGCCTGAAATACCACCAGGCTGTATTTCCGGCAACCTGTTTTTCAAAATTTTCTGGTAGTTAAAGCCCGTGCCTTTGCCCCCTTAACCTTGGATTTTGCCCCATCTTTGCCCCTCCAATCACCGACGGCTGGCGCCGCCACTGCGCTCTTTGTGCGCAAATTGTGTAAAAAAAAATATGGTATAACAAGGTTGTGGACCCTCTAGAGGTCACAGTTTTCGTCAAATTTAGATGAAGCTTGCAATCCATGTTTATAGCTCAAAGATCTTGGTTCCTTTTGATATTCGCGAATATCGGATGCTAACTTCCTCAATTATGGCCCCTGATTGTACGAACATATCTCGTTTTTATCTTGTGGTCCCACTAGCAGTCACAATTTTTATACGATTTAAAAAATAAAAAAAACCCGTTCAAATATATCACCGTTACACCATAATGTCGTTTGAGTTCGAATTTCGCGAAAATGGTATAACAAGGTTGTGGACCCTCTAGAGGTCACAGTTTTCATCAAATTTAGATGAAGCTTGCAATCCATGTTTATAGCCCAAAGATCTTGGTTCCTTTTGATATTCGCGAATATCGGATGCTAACTTCCTCAATTATGGCCCCTGATTGTACGAACATATCTCGTTTTTATCTTGTGGTCCCACTAGCGGTCACAATTTTTATACGATTTAAAAAATTAAAAAAAAACGTTCGAATATATCACCGTTACACCATAATGTCGGTTGAGTTCGAATTTCGCGAAAATCGAACTAAAACTGCCAGACAAAATAGCCGCTACTTGTACACAAATAGTGTAAACGTATGTAATATCAAGGTTGTGGACCTCTAGAAGTTACAATTTGTATCCGATTTTAATGAAACTTGAACTGTATGTTTATAACCCACGCATAATATCAGACCCAAACTTCCTGGATTATGGCCCCTGATTGTTCGAAAAATCGTGTTTTCTAGCTTGTAGATTGTCTAAAGGTCATAATTTTTATCAGATTTTAAAACTGTTTAAATATATCACCATTCCAATAAAGGTTGAATTCGAATTTCGGGAAAATCTAAACGGACCTCCCCAGCAGCTTATTATATATTATAGAGGTCACAATTTTTATCCAATTTTGATGAAACTTAAATACATCTTTATATCCCAAAGATTTCAGTCTCTTTCGATATTTGCGCATTTCAGGAACTTTCTGGATTATGGCCCCTGATTGTACGAAAAATCGCTTCTTTTCTTTAGCTTGTTCTCTATCCATCTCTTGCATAATGTGGGCGTATCTTGCCTGGCAACCGCTGTGGGGGGGGGGGGGGAGAGGGGGCAGATTCCATTTCTGTCTTTTATAACTATGCAAAATGATCATGTTAACATATTTATTTAACATATTTACCCATATGCCTGCCATTTGTGGCGGGAAAATGAGACGATGTGCTGAATTTTGATTAAGTAGTCGTGTTTGGGACGCCATTATTTGAAAGGTAGCGGTTGTGCGATATTCCAACTTATTTTTTGTTATTTTAAACTTAAAACATACATTATGCAAGAGCTAAATTTGCCTATTGCAGGTCTTTCTTTAGACCTGAAATGTTATCTAAATTATTAATTTTTAGACATTAATTAACTTATCTAGACCATAAACAACTCTCGATGTCAACGCTAGCCTGCGATATTTACTCGATTAGAATCCGATTTGCTGGTGCTGCTCAACTATCATTCATGATTTAATCATGAAATGGACAATCGAGACTACGTTTTTATCGTACTGACTTTAGTAATAATGATCGAGGCTAGGCCGAAAATTCAATCGCTAAATTTTCGGTTCAGAGTGTATCAATTTGACTGAAATTTTTAGCAAATTCCCTTTACATTATCCAGTTTTTAACTACTTTAACATTTGTTGGCCGAACATTGTTTTTGGAATCTTATAAGTTTGATCTCGTGAACATTTTTCGGCCAACAAATGTTTGTGTTGAAATCCAACGCACACCGGCTAACTTTTGTCGGAAAACATTGTTCAGCCAACAAATGTTAGCCGGTGTGCGGCGGGCTTAAAGTAGCAAATCTTTAACTCAATATCATCCAAAGTCTTCGACATTGAAAACACGAATTATTTGCCAATTTAAATCAACATAGACTGGAATAACCAGGCGCTAGGGTTTACCATTCGATAGAGCATAACTGATTTGAAATTATAGTCAACACCTAAACGATTGAATGTAAATCAGTTTATATACATTCATATTACATTATTATATGCGTTGCAACCCAATTGTGTCAATTTCTAGATCCCAAATATTAGCGATTTAGCTCCTTCAACTTTAAAAGAAAAACAATATAAACTTTATTTTATTATTAATTTAATTTCTGATATATATTTGGTTTTTATATAAGTAACATAATAATGTTTATAGACTGTGTAGGATATTGGTGTATTTTAACGTTTGTAATATAGAATTCGAAAGTACAAATATGACAGCCTCGACAGATCGATTTTTTTTAATTATGGACCAGAAATTCTCCACATATTCGAACTATTTCTGTCATATTAGATAACAACTGAATATATGTACAACACGGGAATATACTTTTAAGTATAATAATCCCGTGTATATTCTTAAAAGACCGGAAATAGGTTACTACTGAAAATCGCACATAATTTTAATATTTCAAATATAGTTTTACGCCCACCTATATTATTTTTGTGTCAAGCCTACTCAATATTAAAGATCTATTGATTTAGCTCAATTTTTTTTTAGATTATTGATAATTGCTGGCTTTTGGTTATAGGCCCTAACACAAAAACAGTTATTTTTTCAATCGGTGTTTGCTTGGAAGCTTTAAAGAATAACTTTCCAATTCACATAAATAGTAAAAAAAAACTATTGCCACATATTGTTTCTGTCATTACAGACTCGGGGAGAATGTCTGTTTTATATAACACTACTGTTAGTGTAAAGTAACAGTACATTTACCACTTACGTGTTGCGCAGACTCCACGACCTTTTAATCGGTGTCATCAAATCGAGTGGCGAAAGGCTCCTACACTGGTAGGTGATAAAAATGCTTGGTCGTCACAATGGTCGCGGCAATCTGGATGTTATCATTGCACACATAAGTCACATGTTTTGGTCTTTGGACACAACTATCTCAGATTTTATACGTTTCTGTTATGTGTGAACTTTATTAAGTGTAGTCATGGAAGAAAGGAAAATAATTTTCATTCATAAAATTGGCCTAACAATGTTCGTAGCTTTGTTCATCACGACATGGCAAATAGATACCGTTGATTCGGCTGAACATGGAGAAAAAAGTGAAAGTAACCATACTGAAAGATACAAACTCGCTGCTTGGAACTTCCATCATGTAGAAATACCATACGTGATATGTCTGTGGGTTTTATTAGCCAGTGTTACAAAATTAGGTGAGAAATACTATTTTCTTTAAAATTAATTGACTTAATGCATATTACTATCTTACTATCTATCCTTGTAACTTTACTGTTATTATCCCGTACTTATATTACTGCACGGTCCATCACGGTCCCACATTTAATATACCGTGTCTTGATCCAATTACAATATGTTGGGCATATTAGAGATGTGTTTTGAAAGAGTTATTTAAAGAAAATTCAGAATTTTTATGATATAGTTAAATAGTGTTTTACCATAACGGGTAACTCAACGACATAATCTACCCATATTGATGAACCTTGACATTGACTCCACCCACGATGAAATTGTGTGTAGCCCACTGATATAATAGATACGATGAAGTTAATATTTAATAGTTTACTTCAATGAAATAATATTACAGTTTTTAAACTTATTTGATGTTAAATATTATTATTTCATATATGTGAATCTATAATATTTCAGATAGTTTAATGAAAAGTAATGACATTACTCACTTGTGCAAGTAGAACTTGTCTAATATTATAGAATACTTCATAATATACTAATGAGGTATACATGTACATAGTAAATACAGGAATGGGTCATTGAGTATCTATGCAATCATTAAACAAAAAAATGGTTTCCTACACCATACAACCAATTAGAAACACTGGGCATTAATTAAATTATTAGTGTACAAACTGTAGATTTTTAGGATCAATAAATAGGCAATGAAAGATCATTAAGATATTGTGAGAATGTCTTAAACATCAATATACATGTAGGCCGTAGGTAAATAAAAATGACTAAGGCAGACAAAATGGTTAGTCATTGTTTTTATGATTTGTCATACTCTTATTGGGCACCAAGTAAAATCCTGTTGATCAGCTACAAGGAATTTATATTGAAACATTCTCTTTTGTTCAGTGTGATAATTGTTATAAAGTTCATGCGCCTATGCATTATTCCATAATTTGAAATGAGTTGTTTAATTCAACACAAAGAAACATAAAATATTGGGCACCAAGTAAAATCCTATTGATCAGCTACAAGGAATTTATATTGAAACATTCTCTTTTGTTCAGTGTGATAATTGTTAAAAAGTTCATGCACTTATGCATTATTCCATAATTTGAAATGAGTTGTTTAATATTATAGATACATTTTTTCTCTTCATTAGAATTGGTATCATTAAAAAGCCAAAAGTTTCTAATTAATTCAAAATGTATACTTGCATGTACAAGCCAGCTAGATTAAAATGACAGAGCTCTATAAATCATTTGGGGTATATTTTTTCAAAAAGTTTAACAGATTTAGCCGAAATGAATGTTAGAATCCACTAGAAAGTTAATACATACAGATGAAATGGAAATAAACAAGGAAAAATCAACACTAATATGTTTCTTGAAAGCTATAGATTTTAATGAAATTTATCCAGAAAAAAAGATTTTAGAGTTTATTGTGAAAACATCAGTACAGTAAATGTAAAGTCAAATTAAACATCTTAAGACCATACATGATATATGTATTAAATGTCTATTGATTTCAAGTTGGCGTCTTTCATCTGAATACGTACAATAAGGGTAGTTCTGAAATGAATACAGCATCAAGTTCAATTAAGCTTACGTTAACTGACCAAGACAATTATTTGACTAATATTAATTTTCATGTATGAAGGTAATCGGTGAAAATATTTATTTCAATTAACAACCTTCTGTAGATAAGCTATGAGATAATAATTGATTAATTCTCAATATAATTGATTTGCTAAGGAGGAAATATTGTTTTTGATAAAGTTTTAGATAAATTTAAGTAGATCTAATAAGACAATGATTTTCATTGTAAACATTGTAGAGATAGTTCAGAGTTTATCAACTATTATCTTTGCTTACCAGGTTCTCATTGTGATAAAGAACTGCTGACTAAATTTCCCTTTTTAACATTTTGGGGCAGGGTGGGGGAAGAATTAGTATCCAATAATAAAAAATAATAATAAAATGTAGATCATAATTGAAATATTCAATGTTTTAATAGGTTAAACATGCATTATGCAAGAGGTAAATCTGCCTATTGTATGTCTTTCTTTAGACCTGAAATAATATATAAACTATTAATTAGACATTTATTAACATGAGAAGACCATAATCAACTCTCGATGCCATCTTATCTGTCTGTTTTTCATTGATCTGCTGTTTGATGATTAAACGCAAAAATGGATAATCAAGACTTTGTTATTTATCGTGACAGTGCTAACAATGACAATCGAGGCTACAAAGAATTTAAAATTTGGTTTTCTCAGCTTAGAGTGAAGCAGTTTGACTGAAATTTTCAGCATATTCCCTTTACATCATCTAGTTTTTAACTATTATAGTGAGAATTGCCAGCTCCTTATCCAATCTTCCATAATGTATCTTTAATTATAAATACATGTACTGATAAACATGATGAAATGGTATTAAAAAGGTATTACATGTACCTGGTCACAGTGAATATAAATATGATACATGATCTAAAGTGTATTAAAAGTGTATTATATAGTGAATATATATAATATCCAATGTTTAGAAGTATTTATTTATAAAGACCAATATACATTATAGTTTATGACTATTAAACTTTGTGAAAAGAAATTATCTTTACTATTGGAATGACCATATCTGGGACTTTCTCAGTTATCTTGTTTATTTGGTTGTAATATATTATGCTTAGATAGGATGGTTACAATTTTCAGAAAATTAATCATAAGTTGCATCTGTAATCATCTTAAGATATAGTAATAAATATCACTATATTTTTCTTATAAAATAAAAAAAATATTGTTTTGACAGGTGATTGTAGCTTCTAGACATAATTAATTATTACCCAAATTAATCTTATTTTTTATATAGTACTTTATAGTCTGGATGGTCATAACATTACATCAATATGATGTGTCAAAATGCTTCAGGGTAAGATAAAGGTGTTACTTCTATCTGTATGCTCTTCACCTTAATTATATTTCTTTAATTACTAGCTTTATCACCTTCCCAAGGCTTGATTAATTGATTTATCACATGGTAAAATTCAATTAAATTGGGTGCAGCATGTTATATGGCTTATGAAACTCTTATTAATTATACAATATATTTTTAAACCAGGAACAGGGCCCCAAGCACTACTCATCTTCTTTTTGTTTTTCTTCTTGGGGGCGAAGCTACCCTCGAAAAAGGCTGACTTTAGGCTTGGCCAATTCAAGTACAATTGACATGAAACTAGGCATGCTTGTTCCTTGTACAATTGCTCATCAATTGATGGACTTTTTGATATGGCGTCACAAATTCAAGATGGCTGCTATAATGTCATGCTCCTTTCCTGGTTCATTGTACGCTCACACTTTCATGATGTGTTAAATGGCTGCTATAACATCATGATCACTTCCTGGTTTATTGTACGCTCACACTTTCGTGATGTTGAAATTTATAAAATCGTTATATTTTAGTTTCATTATACGTGTAAAACATTTTCCATGAAGATCTAACGATTTAAAATGAATATTTTATATTGACTAATTCAGGACTGATTATTGTCTTTCTGATGATCTATTGATTTAAGATGAACATTTCATTTTGTTTAACTGAGTACTATGGTTAAGTTTTGTTGAAATTCAACAATATCTTTGTGAAATTAGTTTTCTTTTGTGCCCTAGGGTATACCGTCACATACAAAGAATGGAATGGAGATAAACTAAGATTTTATTGTATAATTACATCCATCATGGTTATCTTATAGAGTTTACAGTTTAAACAAAAGTTGATTATATAAGATAATGATATCACAGACAAATCAGACGGATGGTTTTGCAGAGGATATATATGCCCTATGAAAAATGGCTTATTTACAGTGAATACTCTTTTAGTATGATCTAGAACAGATCAATATGTACTTTTTTGATTGATGACGCAGGTTTTTATTTACCTTCTAGATTTATGTAAGTCTGACATGTATGATGTGTATCTACATGACTTGGATTTTAAGGCATATTTATAAGCTTAACTACTGGTAGCCTTTCAAATTATCTAATTGATGGATCATAAGAAATCTGCTCTGCATAAATTTGATAAAATGTAATTCAACCAGTCCTAGCTGATATTTAGTCAGCACTACTAAAATTTTGAAAACTCACATTGACCTAAGTGATTTTTATACACCAGAAAGGAAAGAGGATTTTTATGACTTGGTGTAAAAGAAGTTTATGAGGTGACTTGGCCTTGATGAATAATGCACCAAAGACCCCCTGAAGCTTTATTAGTAAATTATATCTTTGTTCTTGAAATCCTTTAGCCTACGAATCTGTTTGACTCCAAGCCATTTAAAAAATGTAAAATTTATGAAACATCACTAAGTTCAACTAGCCAACAGTGCATGAGGCTGATGTCTACTGCCGAAATCCCAAAATAAATAGATGAGACATATTAATAAAAGTAGCTACATGTAAGTCTCTAACTCAATATCATCCAAAGTCTTCGACATTGAAAACATGAATTATTTGCCAATTTAAATCAACATTGATGTTGTGATCTTACCAGGAAAAGATGGGCTTCTGATATCCAATAGTTAAGACAAAATAAACATTTTACCATTGGTACACGAATCGTGTACCATAATGCATTCCAGGGCCATTTGTGATAAGAACTTGAAGATTCCTTCTTCCACATGTCATGTCAAACGGTGACACAGTTTGGAGCTCTATAGCTTTGATTCTAATTGAGTTCGATGCTGAGCATTTTCTGCTAAGGCTAAGTAGAGACTTCAATCTGAATGGTCGAGATTTTGGAACACATTAACTGTCCTTCTAATTGAGGTAGAATGTTCAAACTTGGTGTAGGTGTTTATTAGGTGAATGCCTTGACAGTGTTCAGTGATGCAAACTTTTGACGAAGGCTAAGCAGAGATAGGCAATTTGATTGGTTTAGACTTATGAACACAGTAACTTTGGTTTTAATTGGGTGAGAGTGATCAAACTCAGAGTATAGATTCGTTATATCAAGAC